GCCGGCTCGCTGACGGCTCAAGCTCTCCAGTCGATGGAGAGTCGAGTTCTGCTGGCTCTGGGCGGACTGTGCCAGACCTTGGCCATAGAGGCGACGCGACTTGACCGAGTTTCGCTCGGAGGCCATTCCCGAATATGGTGGTTTGGAGACGGGAGTCTTCTCCTCACCGGCACTACCAGATAGCGTCTGGTGAAGGGGGCCGGCAAATGGAGGTTCATCGAACGAAGTAGCGGCCGTCGATGTGCGACCATTGGTAGTAGGGCCCGATGCTGTTGAGGAAAAGGTCGTTCGCTTGGCAGAAACACTGGACAAGGCATCTTCTGATTCCTGACCCTGAGGGTCTTGTCCAGACTCTTCGCTTGCCTGGTCCAATCTTTCTCCGGACCGTTGCCGCTGGAAAGCAGACGTCGTCAGGTCATGCTCATAAACCACGCGACCTCCAGTGGCAGTGCGTCCCGAGTCTAGACTGACTTCCGATGAAGTCGCCTTGTTGGGGATTTTGTAGACCTTCTGGCGTCCGCCAAAGAGGTTGTTCCCTTCCGTGCGACGAGAGCGGCTCATGATGCTACCTTGTTGTGACCGATCGTCGTCCGTGCCGTAGCCATCGCCGCCCGAAGCGTAGGAATCCGTGCGCCCTAGGGCCACGGATGGTCGGCTTCCATCTATCGAGACTTCGTCGATATCTGACAGCAAATTCGGGTTATGGCCAAAGATGTTCAAGCGGGAGGCCCGTCGGGGGAAGAGAACGCTGTCGTCGCTGGCTTTGCCGATTATCGATGCCGGGTCATCTTGTTCTCTGAGCATACTGAACCGCGCCGACAGTTTGGGCATTATCAGACTGGTGCGGAAGTCATCGGACGACGGCAGCGCTGTCGAAAGGTCGAGCTCGGGTGTCGGTTCGGGTTCCTCCTTCTTGTTCTTCTTCGTCAATTTGGCCGTGAACGACGACTGCGTGCTCTCAGGGACCTCGACCTCCTCCTTGGCCTTCTCCTTCTTGTTCTTACGGAATCGATTCATCATGGGAAGGAGTTTGGAAGCAGGGATACGGGGATCGGATGCAGGTCGGTGGGATCGCTCGGCGCACGCGAATCGAAATGACTTCCTGGAGGCCGAAATTCCACGGAAGCCAATGTGCCGTATACAAGGTAGATAGGCACCACGAATACACTAGAAAGATTACGGGCCAACCCCAGGAGTCAGAATGGGCACTTGCAGGGGACGCATTGCATGAGTCGTCGGGAGAGTAAGCAACTCACAGGGTGGGTGCCAGGTCGTGAAACGAATTAATTGGGGACCAACGCAAGGGCAGAGGCGAGATTGAAATGCTAGCCCGGGAGCATCTAATAAATGTGTCCAGGGCAGGCAGCCAATCTCCGATAGTTTTGTTCTTCTTCCGATTCTTTCCTCAATCACAGGACCATCCCCTTGGGTGCGGAAATAGTCTCAATCGAGACTGACTCTAGCAAGGTAGCCAGAGAGTATGAATTCGACGGGCCGAGTATCAATAGTTGGGAAGTGTTGCAGAGTGGGCTGAGCAAATGGGCGGAGATGGCGAGACTGGGGGGCAGAATGATTTGAGATAATAATACGGGAAGAATTGGTCGCGTTGGGGGGGGAATTCTGCATGAGACGGGGGGAATGTGGCTGCACAGTTGCAGCGGGCGCGGAGTGGGATAATTGGCTCTGGCGGACGTCGAGCGGAGCACCGAAAGAATGGCAGGTGGACGCTGGGACGGAAATAGATTGGATCGGGTGGGAATCAGAGCGATCGAAGAGGAGGAAGAATAAAGCGAGAGACTGGAGAAAGAGAGAGAAAGAGAGAGAGAGAAGGCGAGGGTATATGAAGAAGGAAAGAAGGGAAGACGAAAGAAGGAGCAGAGGGACCCGAAAAGGGAAGAAGAAAAACAGCCGTTTGAACGGAGAAAATGAAAGAAGGGATCTGGATTCGATCGGCATCTGTCTTAATTTTTTATTTTAGATTTTTAATATTTTCTCCTCTCCTCTTTTCGTGTTAGCCCTTTGGTACCTGAGAACAGTCCAGAGCGCACTAGAGGAACAAATTATTGGGTCCATTGGAGACGCCGGCGAGTCTTGGGAAGCGGATCGACACGAGATTTTTGTATTGTGAGTTTGTGAATCGTGATTTAATCAATTGAGATTAAGGTTACAGTCTGGGTGCTTTCATTTTTGGTGCAGCCGGCACATTCGAAATGCTGGTGTTTGCAACTGAGTAACCTTCTTCAATTGACTACTACCTATACCTACGAAGAATAAAGTGACAGTCAACCATGGGCGGTGCCTTCGGTTACGCTCATCTGCTCATCTCGGACGCGACCCGCCGCTGCCCCTTGCAGTCTCCACCCGCAGGAATTCCATGACTGTACTTACAGCGCTGGAAGTCTTTGACATACGTACGGAGTAGTACGGAGTACCTACACTGCATGTACTCTATTAATATGTATGTACTTTAACAGAAGGTAGTCATGATGTCAATCGCTCAGATCGAGCGTTCCTGGTTATCGAAGATCCAACAACGGACCGGAGAAGGTACCGTACTTCGCTCCTCCTCCGTCCAGAGAATTGGACTTTGGAAAATTCCCCCGACGAACAGGTAGACTGTGCTCCCTGCTCCCTGCTCGCTACCCCGTCTTGAACAAGTCCAAATGAATTAATGATATCGAACTTCCAGGTGCTTTCCAACTTCTAGCCCCGTCGCGTATCACGGGATGTGGGCCGATCGGTCCTCCAGCCTGCCCAATTCAGCCTCAATAATAGTAAGTCATTTAAATTGCTTGGGCCACTGAGATCATTCAGACCTGTCGCAGGTAATTTGGAAAGGAGCGAGGTCGGATTCTTAGCGAAAGAGGACTGCGTGGTCGACGAAAGTATTTGCCCCCCAGAACCATCGCTAATAATATGTACTCAACTACCCACACGGGGGGAGGCGTCGAAGTTATCAGCTGAGCCACTCTGGCGATAGGGCAATTGTGACCTGTCTTCGGGGCGCGGTTTCACTTCCCCCCCCCCCCCAAGCTATGCGACGATGGGCGCTAGATGTGTTCCGGCAATATGGACGAGCGGGGACGATCCCATCGATGTGCCATATGATGGATGAAGTGCCGGGCAACTGGCATGAATATTAAGTGCAATATGCAGCATGGTTTCCTTTTCTTTCAACCCATCCGAATAATCCAAGCCCCCGGACACGGTGATGCAACCCGACAAACGGGAACAAAGGAAGTTGCAGAGCGTCCAATGGGAAATCTCGGACTAACGGACTGAGCAGCCAGATGTTGATAGATATCACAAGCAATTGTTTACTTCGTACGGTGTGCTCAGGCCTCATTGGGCCCGGGACGATATATATTTCATCCCGGTGGGTGTACCACAATAGGTAGGCATGGAGCACCGCGGACGAGCCAAATTCTGATTACCGGCGTCACTTACTCCGTATCTCGTCTTCAGGACAATCTCCCATCGTCATGGAATCCCTAGAATATTCTCAGTTTCGCATTGTGTGCCCCGTAGGGTAAGTATGCGGTGGAACCCAACAGCGATCGTCGACCAAGGATCCAGAATTCAGGAACGAAAGGATAGGATTCCGACGGATTGGGCGCTAGTCGGAGAGAGCAGGCATTGGCAAGCTAGACGAGACGAGACTAAAGTCACTAACCCTTTCGCTACTCAGTCCTCCGTGAGTCCGCCCGAAACCCAAGGAAATAGTTTCTCAATGACACAAAACAGGAACGGGATGGGGCTGACAGCCGTTGAACAGGGTCTAAAAAGGATTGTTCCAGTATCAAGTTCCAAGCAACGAGGCAGTGAGGCGTACTTTTTAGAGGCAGAGAGCAGTTCTTGTGGTCTGAAACCGGGGCAGGATTAGTCTAGTAGCCTTCTTTCTCCATGAGGGAAAAGGCCGATAATTTGGACGCCTGAAACCGAGACCAACACTACGGTGGATGTTGCCTGAGCCTCGCAGATGGTAACATCTACAGTACTTTACAGGGAATCCTGTGAAAGAGATCCAGCGGTCGCATTCGGAGGACCGCACGGGATATTACCGTGGATGCTGCCCGATCCATCAATATTCAATCAAAGAATCTGATTGTGGATGACATGCTGATTAATATGATAAATACGATAAACAATCAAACTCCCCCAAACAAGATGACGAGAAAAAGCTCCCGATCCATGACGACAGTGTCCCCGTTTTCCTGCCGCGCTGAAGGATCCAGATCGGTCGGTCGACCGTCAGACCCGTGGAATGCCATCACCTTAATTTAATGATGATAACCATGATGGGAATTCCAATTTCCTGCAAATTAATTCTCCTCCTCCTCCAATCCAATCAAGCTTTGTCCGCCGTCGGACGGAGATGCGCTTCTCCGTTTGCTCGTCCGGCGTTTCAGCGGGCGGGTAAAGTTCGACGGGGCGAGATACGCGACCGGCTCAATGCTATTCTATTCTTATTTCTATTTTCTAGTCCTGAATTTTTTCTATTGCTCCCCCTCAAGGCCATCTATTATTTAATAAAAATAGTCGTGAATCACGATGGTGCATGATTCAGTCGTGTGAATGTCTGGCCAGACTCTTTTCGTAATTCACCCTTGGCCCTAGTTACAGATGAACGACGAAGGGAGCCTTCTGAATAAAGTTGGACCAATTTTTGACCGCGATTCGCAGGGATTCAGGGATGCAATAGAGGAATCCCCTTCGAGGTTCACGGGGTAACAGCGACCGTTTATATGGGCAAGGAAAGACTTTGTCGTTGTCGATTGTCTCGCGCCCTTGCGGACGACCACTTCGGTGACGCCATAGATCATCAACTTCATTATTAATCCAATCCCATCCACCCCTCACTCACTTTCCTTTCCTTTACATCCGACACTCAGTAGATCCTTTTTGACTCCTTCCATACTCCTTCCACCAACAGCTCCTTGAATGCCACTCATCTACCTAGTACGTACCTACGTTAAATCTACAACATCCATCATCAGATAATGCAAGTCCTTCTCCTCGGCGGCCACGGCAAAGTCGCTTTGCGATTGACCCCGCTCCTCCTCAATCGTGCCTGGAACGTCACCAGCGTGATCCGCAACCCGGATCATGAGTCCGAGATCCTTGCGTTGGGCAAGGGCACCAAGGGCAAACTCAACGTCTTGATCTCCAGCCTGGATGATGTCAAGAGCGACGCCGACGCGAAGAAGATCTTAGATGCCGTGGCCCCGGATTATGTCGTGTGGTCTGCTGGTATGTTCTCTTTTCTTTTTAGTGTCTGTTTATGTTTGAGTCTGTGTCGATATGGTCGGTCGGTTGGATTCGAAAACCATCCATCTATCTGTCGATCTATATGTGTTGCATGCGCTCTGCATGGCACTTGCAGTTGCAGGCTCTTGATGGCTCCGCCCCCCTTCCTTCTCCCTATCTTCCCCATAAACTTTAAGAAAGGAAAACATTGCCACAAGTCTTTCGATCGATTGATCTATACCTATCTTTGTATACGCAGTAGGCTAATCTGGTGTGGTTCCCTTGGGGTCTTTCTCGCTCCCCCATCCCTACTCCCTTCTTCTCCTTCTCTTCTGTCCCCTTGCCTCCACTAGAGGGATAATCTCTCATATCAAAAGAGAGGACTAGGGACGAAGAACAGAAGAAGACAAGGACCGAAGAAGGGGAGTGACCCACCACCCACCCACAGCCACAGGCGGGGAGGGAATAGGTGTCCGGGAGTGGGTAGTTCGAGAAACGACCTCCAAAAAAAAGGAACCACAAGCACAATCCAGGCGCCGGCGGAAAAGGCGGCCCCGAACGAACATTCGCAATCGACGAACGCGCCGCAAAACACTTCCTCACAGCATCCTTCGCCTCCCCCCGAGTAACGAAATTCCTCCTCATCTCCTGGCTCGGCAGCCGTCGCGTCCACCCACGCTGGATGTCCGATGCCGACTGGGCCGGGGTGCAGAACGTCTTCAACAACGTGCTGCCCGCATACGCAAAAGCCAAGCTCGAAGCAGACGAGTACATGACGGCATTAGCGGCGCGGCGTAAGCAGCAGGTCGCCGCGGGCGAGGCGGGGCCGATCCAGGCCATCAACCTGCGGCCCGGGACGTTGACGGATGAGCCCGCGACGGGGAAGGTCGAGTTGGGGGTGACGCCGGGCCGGAGCAAGGTGACGAGGGAGGATGTGGCGATTGTGGCGGATCGGTTGTTGGCGCGCGCGGATACCGATGGGTGGTTTGATTTGGTTAATGGGGAGGAGCCGGTTGATGAGGCGGTGGAGCGCGTGGTGAGGGAGAAGGTGGATGCGGTGGAGGGGGAGGATGTGGATGCCATGGTGAAGAGGTTCTTTCCTTGAGATATCTAGGTCGAGGTTGTGATTGAGGTGCCTTCTATGTACTTGATGTATGAGAGAATGAATATATGGATTGTGATTCCAATTACCAAGGTGACGCCTCGAGACTAAATCCATTCTTCTCTATTAACATAATCTTCATTGATGTTCACCTATAAATAGCGACTAGACGTTACAGTTTCGCCTTCGGGGCAGCAGCTTCCTGCTTCGCCTGCTTCTTCAGCACGCGACGCAGAATCTTCCCGCTGACACTCTTAGGGATCTCATCGACGAATCGCACCCCTCCGCGCAATTTCTTGTGATACGCAACCTTATCATCCAACCATTTCACGATATTCGCAGCCTCTTGCTCAGCACTGACACCCGACGCCTTGCTCTTTGCGCCTCGCACGACAAAAGCCAGCGGTACCTCCGTGCCATGCGCTTCGCTCTCCACGCCGATGACCGCCACATCCTCGATGGCCTCGTTGTCCACCAGGATGCCCTCCAACTCGGCAGGCGCCACCTGGAAGCCCTTGTACTTGATGAGCTCCTTCACGCGATCCGTGATGAAGAAGTTCTTGTCCTTATCTTGGTAGCCCACGTCTCCGGTCTGGAACCATCCGTCGGGCGAGAGACAGCCCGCCGTCGCGGCCGGGTTGTTATGGTATCCCAGGAAGACATTGGGGCCGCGGAGATACAGCTCGCCGACCTCGCCGACGGGGACCTCGCGGGGTTCTGACCCGTCCTCGGGCATGGTCATGTACTTGGCTTCCAGGTTGGGGAGGAGCTTGCCGACGGCGCCGATACTGGTCCGCCATTCTTCCCACGGCTGCGTGTGCGTGGTGGGGCTGGTCTCGCTGAGTCCGTAGCCTTGCTTGATGCCCGTCTTGATGCGCGCGTACACCGTCTCCACGAGTTCTTGCGTGAGCGGGGCGGCGCCGGAGTTCATCATGCGGAGACTCGACAGGTCATATTTGTCGACAACGGGGTGCTTGCCGAGGAGAAGGACCACCGGGGGCACCACGTAGCTGAAAGTGATGCGGTAGTTCTGGACGTGGGCACACCATTTTTCAATGTCGAATCGCTGCATGACGACGAGTTGGTAGCCTTGGTAGAGCGTCTGGTGGACAAGACAGTTTAAGCCTAGCGGACGTGTCAGATCCCTTGAGGAAAATGTGGTACGTCAGGTCGGACTCACCGTAGATGTGGAAAAAGGGAAGAAAGGCCAGCACCCGGTCACCTGTTCCATCCGCGCCCCCGTTCCAGGTCAGATTGCCCGCCTCGCCGGCCGCAAGCTGCAGGATGTTGGCGACGATGTTTGTGTGCGAAAGCATCACGCCCTTCGGCACCCCCGTGGTCCCCGACGAGTACACAAGAAACGAGAGGTCCTTCTCCGGGACGATCTTCGTTTTACGAAACCTAGTCGCGCCCGAGATGTTCCGGACGGATGTGAAATGCTTGATCTTCGCCTGAGGATCGCGCTCATCGCCAATCAGGAAGATCCGGTCCTCGGGAATCCCAGCGCGCTTGGCAGCTTCAATCGCCACAGGGAGCTGAGGCACCTGGGTGGCCAGGGCCTTCGCACCGGAGTTCTGCAGCTGGAACGCGAGCTCCTCGACGGTGTAGGCGGGATTGGCAGGCGAGATCACACCCCCGGCCCAGTGGGTTCCCCACATCACGACGGGGGTATCGATGCTGTTGGGGGTGAACAGGGCCAATACATCTCCTTTGCGCCAATCCCAGGTAGCTTTCAATCCTTTGCCGAAGGAAAGCGCGGCGTCCTTGACGCCTTGGTAGGTGTAGTATCGTTGCGTGTCGGCATCCTGGTAGATGACTAAACGGGACGGTTAGTTGCGGGGAGACTGGGTATGCGGAGAAAATGGCCGCGCAGGCTCGCAGTCGGGGGACTGACTTTTGTCATCTGGGAATTTCCTTTCTTTGCGCTCGAATAGGAATGTCCAGAGGTCCACGTTGGGGATATCAAGGGGAGGATAATGTGAGGATACAGGCATGATGATAGCTGTGCGGGGAAAGTTGGGGTTCAGGCAGGGGTCGTTGGGGATGACTTGGGGAAGGGCGAGCGCGAGATTGCACGAAGAAGATTTAGGATCGAGGTTGTATATGTATGCACGAAACGTATGTAAGATAGAAGAAGAGCGGAGAGTAAATGAAAGGAATGAAACTGGGAAAGATGAGATGAGATGGAAGGAAGCTTTGTGGAAAGTGGAAAGTGAAGGCTCGGCCCTCGGTATTAACGGCTGTCTCTTCGGTGCTTAGCGCTGACCAACGAACTACCGTTCCTTTGTTATCTGTCCGATTACATTCTACACTATGTAGACAGTAGACACCCTGGCATAAGGGGCTTGTTATATTTCACACATTCGTGGATCACATACATAACTTATCATTTACAACAATAGCTCCGATTGCTATTGAGCCTATCGAGTATGAGCTGCTCTGGCTCGGCACTCGGCACACCCCTTATAAGTCCTCTCTTAAGGAAATTATTGATTACAATTATTGACGCCGCATGGCTTGCCTAAGATCTTACTGGTATCGAATGAGAACCAACTCGTCCCTCGAGTATGATCAAGGTAGGCAATAGTACCTTTAACTTCGTAAATCATATACTACGAAGCCAAGCAAGAGTGGAGGCCGCAGGGCGCAAGCTGACTAAACGCGGGGAAGTCTCCATCTTCTTCTGGATCGAAGAGACTCACTTCCTCTCTGACTTCTGAGACTTCACAACTTGCCGTCGTTGACCTGGTACACACCAGTATCCGGTCACCAGACTATGAATAGTCTACTATGAGCACAGTCCATTGACGGTCTCAACGGACCAGAAGACAGATACACCAGCGAACTTGCCCCAGCCTTCTCTGCGAAGAACAGGCATGACCCCTCGGTCTGTGTGCCCCCGGGTCCAATTTTGGTGTTCGTTCTTCCTACACCGCCTCGCTTACCGACCAACCAGCAACCGCCATACTGCCGGTATCTTGGGATATAATCCATTCTAATGTTGGTCCTTATGCCTTCGGGCATTTGGTCAATTTGAAACGATACAGAGAAGATTAGCATGGCCCCTGCACTAAGGATGACACGCTCAATCAAAGAGAAGCTACCAGTTTTTTTTTTTATTCCTTACCGATCTTTCCGTGAGGTGCGATGACTTGGTGATCATCGTGTAAGTTGGTGGGGCGGGGGTTCGAACCTCGCTCTTGTCAATTCTTTTTTCCCTTTTCTTTTTCTTGTAGGAGGACAAGATAGACAACCAAACCCACATATAATAAAATTCATAGCACCATAAATGCGCGTCATATTGCCATATTCATACAGCCAATGCAATGCTCTCTATACAAGTCTACGGGAATAAATGTACATGTCAAAAGTCCATTACATCAAACTGGTTCGCCCCCCGATCTCGTTGCCTGCCTCACCGTTGGGCATCTCGCCATTCCGACCAAACACAAACTCGCGGTAGATGCCCTGCAGCCTTCTCCGCTCGGCCTCGCTCAGCGAGCTGCGAGTGCTGTTGAGCGATCGCTCCATGTGCTCCCACCGGACGATGATTTCTTCCCGCGGCTCTTCGTGGGTGGCCTCGTTGGTGGCCGGGGTCCCGGTGTTCGCCGTCCCTTGCTCCATCTGGCGCTGGCGACGTCGTGCGTTCTTAATGGCGTCGAGTTTGGACGCGACCACCGCCGGCGACGGCATCGAAATGGTCCCGTTCTGCTCCGAGTTGGAGTATAGGAACTGAATGAAGGACTTGGTGCTGGTGCCCGTCGACGATGGTTTGGCGCCGCTGCCCTTCGCGGCGGGTTTGTCCCCGGTGCGATCTCCGAGAGCGTCGTGGACGGCTTCTAGATGGGCGTTGTACACTACGGCCTGGAGGTCGGCTCCCGAGAAACCTTCGGTTCTGGCGGCCACCTCGTCCAATCGAGCGGCCACCTCCTCGTCCATCGCCAGCTTCTTACTCACGGCCTGGATGATATCCATGCGGTCCGACTGGTTGGGCATGTCGCAGAGCAGGGACTTGTCCAGACGTCCCGGACGCAGCAGCGCAGGGTCAATCAGATCCGGGCGGGACGTGGCGGCGAGAACGTACACGCCCGAGAGTCCCTCAGCACCATCCATTTGCGTGAGAAGCTGGTTGACCACGCGGTCCGTGACACCGGTGGAATCGTGACCTCGCTTGGGTGCTATACTGTCAAACTCGTCGAAGAAGAGGACACAGGGCCGGGCCGCCTGGGCTCTCTCAAACAGATCACGCACGCTCTTCTCACTGGCACCGATGTATTTGTTCAGGATCTCTGGGCCCTTGACGCTGATGAAGTTCAGGCCGCACTCTCCCGCCACGGCACTGGCTAGCATGGTCTTACCACACCCGGGAAATCCGTAGAGCAGCAATCCCGAGCGCAACCGAAGTGGGCATTGCGCAAAGATGGGGGCATATTTGGTAGGGTATTGTAGGGTCTCCAGGAGGGTTTTGCGCGTCTCGTGCAAACCACCAATACCAGAGAATGTAGTAGTAGAAGAGGTCAGGGTCACATTGCGAAGGGAGGCCGGGGTAAAGCCCTTGATGGCGTTCTCAAAGTCCTCCAATCCAAGGGTGATTGCTCTCGACGCCGCCAAGGGGTCTTGGACGGAGCGGATCAGAGCCTCGTTCCGAGCACGAGAGACATACAGGACCAGATCACCAGGCATATACCCATCAGTTTTACCGGCCAATTCGAGGAAATCGACATCACGCCCAAGCACAAAGCCATCCGCACCCGCTGAGCTAGGACGACTACCTGGGTTTGAGGGATCCAACCAAGAATCCTGGGTGGATGAACTCTCATTTCGCATGTGGCCATTCATCGATATGCTCGCCTCTCGGTCTTGAATCGTTAGTTGTTCGAGCACCTTTCGTCGCCCTTCCTTGTCGGGGGCTCTCAAGTGGATGATCTCGCGAGCGACATGCCCTCCAATGATGATGTTGTTCAAGGCCTCCTTTGACTGTGCTGTCGCCAGCAGCACCACCGGGGAGTTCATGGAGCAGTATTCACGAACCATGGAGCATATCACCTCACTGTTCTGGCGACTACGCCCGTTGTCACCCCCAACCTGCAGCTCGGTCTCCGCCGGACAAAGTTTGTCCAGGTCATCCAAGATGACAACCGACTGTCCGCCGAGACGAGCACACCAAGACGCCGACATGAAAAGACGGTTCAGAGTTTCCTTGATATTGGATATCCGGGTCTCATCGGTCACGAGCTTTCGGCAGGAGAAATACTTCACGTTAAATAGGTACTCGTTTCGCACACGATGCGCCAGCAGGTGAGTGAGAGCTGTCTTTCCAGAGCCCAAACCACCCGTCAACAGGATGGAAGATGACTTGGTGAGATTATCAAGAGACTGTGATATGATCTGGTCAATTCCAACCAGTTGAGGCACAGTCGATGGTACCGGGTCATCGGTGGGCAAGACAGACGAGCCCTGATCCGCGGGCTTTGGTATTTCGGATTGTACCTCAAGAGGCAGCTTCGAGTCGGATCCCAAAAGCCAACCGAGAGGCGGCTTGGCAGTTTCAGAGTTGCTCTTCAATGGAGGGTCGAATCGGATGATCGCACCATCAAAAGCGGACACTGTTTCGTTATCCGCTTTGGGCAAGACCATTCCATCTGTCAACGGGCCCGAGAGTAACCCTTGATCGGCCCCAGAGCTACCGTAAATCACCTTGATGCGCTCGGCCAAAGCATCCTTTGCGGCCGTGGTGTCTGCACCGAACTTGAGGCCATCTTTCTTCTTGGACGGATCGGAGATGAAGGGATAGACCTTGAGAGACTTCACCGCTGACCGCTGCAGCGGTGGCGGAGCTGCTTCAACACGAACAATACCACCTACCATGCTCTCGGCATTCAAAGCTGAGCACAATAAAGATGACACAGCGACATGCTGAGTATCCGGCGCATCGACCCACGGGATCAATTTGGCGACGATTTTGGTGGCGGGCAAGCCAGCATCGTTTGACTTTTGCTCCGCTTGATTCACTTGCTGCTGGGGATCCGGTGGGGGTTTCAGACCGGCTGGTTGAATCACTGTAATGCAACCCCAGCTGGCCCCCCGAAGCTCGTTGGTGGCAAGCATGTCGGGGTCAATCCAAACCCGGAACCCCTCGTTGAGATCCTCCTCAGATTCCGCATCAAAATATTGCCCAGGCAATTGGCGGTCGACGCCTCGGAAATAGAGAGCCCCTCTGCTAGTCGAGTCTGAACGACTCTTTGGTCGCACCGTGCTTCCACTACTTCTTCCCCCAGCACTTCTCCGGCTGCTGCCGGTGACACTTCGGCTGTCCCCTCGTGATCCTCGTGATGACTTGGCGCGCACCTTCGGAGCGACGATGACTTCGGCATCCGGGGCGATTTTCGCAAAGGCAGAGGTGGTGGGCGGGGCAGGCGTGAGCGATGTAACGACTATGTTAGCCGTCGACGTTGGTGACAGATGTAACGCCAAGGGGTGCATATGATCTGCTTGAGTAGTATTGAAGGCGGGATTGGGTAGAGCGCGGATTTGCGATAGTAGGTTCAGCTCTAGGAATGTCGCATGTAGTTCGATGACTATAACCAAGGTCGGTCAGCAATTGCGACCAATCTCGTTCCACGGAGCGGGGGAACATACTCTCCCAATCCTCCGGAGTGAGTGGTTCAATGTTAATGGTGTGAGCCACTGGAGGATCCAGATGAATGAAAATCCCGACCTATGAACATGAGTATCTTCAGAAGCCAAGTATGGTTATAATCGATGAACTACCTTTTGCCCCTCTGCAAGGCCCAAAACTCTGCTGAATGTGGTGTCCAACTCGACCGTAGCGACATCTTGCTCTCTGGCAGAAGGCCCGCTGCTAATACCATCTCTGCCGACTACCGGCGCAAGCTTTCGCTTGCTCGGCATTCCCGTCCACCCCAGATAGCATGAACGTTGCGCGGAATTGCCATTGGCCCTTGCAGTCGTAGGTCTGTATTGTAATTCAACGATGACATTTTGTGCGGTCTAACGGGGCGAGTCAGCCATGCCGGGTACCCTCAAAAACTTGGGAAGACGACGTACTGTGTTCGCATTGACCAGCAGTGCGGTCAATGATGGCGGCAGGTTCACCAGACAGTTCTTCAGAGGCACGAGGGCGACTTCTGCCGTCGTGGAGGGCTTTCGGGGCGCCATTTCCAGGCGCTGCAGAAATCCAATGATCTACTATTGACAAGCGACGCAGGGGTTGGTCCAGGGGAGCTGTAGTGAGGAGGGAGAGAAGAGACGAAGCTCACTATCTCCCCGGACTTCCATCGACTCCGCAGTCCAATTGCCCGCCAATTGCCCGTTGGCCGAGGCGGCCCGCCCTCGTGCTCTTCGGACCGAGACTTTATCCGCTCCGGGGCACGTGCCTGGAAGCTATGTCGGATCGGGACTAGCGTATCTTCCGGAATGGGCGACGCGTCTCTTTCGCGTCGCGACGTTTTGGGCGCCTAAGGCCAGCCAGCGCCAGCTCGGGCGGCTCTGCAGAGATCCACCACCACCACAGACTAACTTCTCGTCTCCGAGAAATCCACCAAGAGTGCAAAGCGACCGCTTCCTTTGGCTTCCGGTCCATGCGATTTTAGTTCGGTCGCCATTTGCAACCCCTCGATTAGCCAATTGCCTTGGCTAAACCCCTTGTCACAAACATGGCTTTGCTTCAGTACAGCGCCCCTGTCGATTATGCGGCGCAATTAGACGCCTTCAAGGACTTTCTGCAGCACTTCAAAAGCTTTGAATCGACCGACGCCTCCGCTGCGACCGAAGCCATTGAAGATCTGCACATCGATGGAGATCGCACCAGCGATGAGTATGACTTTATGGACGATGCGGAAGATGGTGAAGGAAGAGAGGGGGCTGGCCGCAGACGCCGCCAACCAAAGCTCAAGTACATGCAGATGTTGCAGGAAGTAGCGGATCGAGAGCGGTCGAATGTCCTCATCGAGCTGGACGACCTGGCTACCGTGAGTATCTCCCTGAATCTATGCTTCGTGCGCTAACATCGTGGCTCTAGTTCGAAAAATCACTCCCCGAGGACACCGACTTGAAGCTCGTCGATTCTGTGCAGAAGAACACCAAGCGATATGTCGATGTTTTTTCGTCCGCTGCCGACGCCGTTATGCCCAAGGAAACCAAGGATATCACGTATGTCGGGAGATCGCATACATATGGTGGATATATTCATTAACAGCGTGCAGGTTCAAGGACGACGTTCTGGATGTTATCTTGTCGCAACGCGACAAACGAAACGAGGCTATGAACATGGCCATGGAGGCCGATATGGATGCAGTCGCAGAACCCTCGATGTTCCCCCCGGAATTGACCCGCCGATACACCTTGAATTTCAAGCCCCTCACTCCTTCGGGGTCCAGCAGTGAGCGCGAGGGCAAGGCTCTTGCCGTCCGGAATGTGCGAGCTGAGCATCTCGGTAGCTTGATCACCGTCCGCGGTATCACCACTCGTGTCTCGGACGTCAAGCCTGCGGTTCAGATTAACGCCTATACTTGTGACCGCTGCGGATCTGAGGTTTTCCAACCGATCACTACGAAGCAGTTCATGCCCATGACGGAATGTATGTCGGAAGAGTGCAAGAAGAACAACACCAAGGGGCAGTTGTTCCTTTCCACTCGTGCTTCCAAATTTGTTCCCTTCCAGGAGGTGAAAATCCAGGAGATGGCAGACCAGGTACCAGTCGGCCATATCCCTCGAACCATGACCATTCACTGCCATGGAAGTCTCACTCGACAAGTGAACCCCGGTGATGTGATCGATCTTGCAGGAATCTTCCTGCCTACCCCTTACACGGGTTTCAGGGCTATCCGCGCCGGTTTACTGACTGACACCTACATCGAGGCTCAGCACGTCACCCAGCACAAGAAATCATACAACGAGATGGCCATGGACAGCCGAACTCTTCGGAAGATTGAGCAATACCAGAAGTCCGGAAACATGTACGAGTACCTGGCACGGTCGATTGCCCCCGAGATTTACGGCCACCTTGACGTGAAAAAGGCACTGCTTCTTCTCCTCATTGGAGGTGTCTCGAAGGAGATGGGTGATGGTATGCATATTCGTGGAGATCTCAACATTTGCCTGATGGGTGACCCCGGTGTTGCCAAATCTCAATTGATGAAATACATCGCCAAGGTTGCCCCTCGAGGTGTGTACACGACCGGTCGAGGAAGCAGTGGTGTCGGTCTCACGGCTGCCGTGATGCGAGACCCGGTGACGGATGAGATGGTGCTGGAGGGTGGTGCGCTGGTCTTGGCCGATAACGGCATCTGCTGTATTGATGAATTCGACAAGATGGATGACGCAGACCGGACTGCTATCCATGAAGTGATGGAACAGCAGACAATTTCCATCTCCAAGGCTGGAATCACCACCACGCTCAACGCTCGCACGTCCATCCTGGCGGCCGCTAACCCGCTCTATGGACGATACAACCCCCGGATCTCCCCGGTGGAGAACATTAACCTGCCCGCTGCATTGCTTTCGCGTTTTGATATCATGTTCCTTATTCTCGACACGCCTTCGCGCGATGGCGACGAAGAACTGGCACACCACGTCACCTATGTCCATATGCACAACAAGCACCCCGAGACCGAGGATGCCGGTATCATGTTCACTCCCCACGAGGTCCGTCAGTACATCGCCAAGGCGCGCACCTACCGACCAGTCGTCCCGTCGACCATTTCGGATTACATGGTCGGGGCGTACGTGCGGATGCGAAAGGACCAGAAGACCGACGAGGCCAACAAGAAGCAGTTCTCTCACGTCACGCCTCGGACTCTGCTGGGTGTTGTCCGTCTTTCGCAAGCCCTTGCGCGTCTTCGTTTCAGCGATGTCGTCGTCACGGAGGACGTCGACGAGGCTCTGCGTCTTGTCGAGGTCGGCAAGGCTTCCCTGGCCAACGATGGTCACGGCGGCGGTGACCAGAGCCCCACCAGCAAGATTTACAACCTGATCCGCCACATGCGCGACAGCGGTGCTGCTGCCATTGGAGATGGTGAGGAGGGTGCGCTCAGCATGCGCAGAATCCGGGAGCGGGTTCTCGCCAAGGGCTTTACGGAGGATCAGTTGGCGGTGGCCATTGGCGAGTATGAGAGTGTCAATGTAAGTGTCTTGGTTGTGTTGGTATATGATACATATGACTAACATGGTTCACCAACAGGTCTGGCAAGTTCTCGGAGACGGTACACGCTTGGTGTTCCTTGACATTGATGGAGAAATGGCTGAGTGATGGGGCTGCACATCATCTAATCATTGTATTTGACGATTGTTTTCTAATGTTTACTTTGGCCATGACTGACTGGCTTCCTTCCGTTCTTTTTATTTTCCCCTGATATCTGGAGAAATGGATTGGATGTGGAATCCCATTGCAAGGGTAGAATCCGGGACCGGTGTTTCTGGAGTATGTAGCTTTATAACTAGTAGTTCCAACGAGATATAAGGAAACAAAATCTAACATGATAAATTCTCGGACTACGAATGCAGCTGACTCTACGAATCTTTTATTTTTTCCAAAGAGTTTTCCCATTGCTGTTGACTATCTGTTTGACACTATGAAGGAGTGACTGACGCCGATCCAAGACAAATCACTTGTAACTGTATCCAAGGAATGTATAGGAAGAGAGAGCGTGCCATGGAGCCAACTCCATGACAGATTAGATCAACCAATCCCTCGACAGTTGACACAACACAAAAGACAGCCATATATATACATGGCACTTGCATGTATATACACATCTATCTATCCATCACGACCCACCAACCACCCCCAATTCTCCAGTCCAAACCAGACCACAACCACAACCACAACCACCACCAAACCCAGAACAACTCAACCCCAACCCCAAGAATCTAAACAGCACATTGATTCCGAATCGGCACCTCAGCACAAAGGTTGGGGCCGGCGCCAAACGAATTATCGCAAAGAGTATTGCACTCGGTCGACTCGGGAGTAAAGACCAGGAACTTGTAGTTGGGAACGTTGAGACGGAACTGCTTCCGGATATTGTTGTTGTCCTTGGAGGCCTTGTAGCCGGCGCGACAGGCGCAGTGGAAGCGAGTGCCGGTGTTGATGCACGAGGTGGTGATGTCGCAGTGGTTCTCCCCGGAGACGGGGTTGCAGGTGCCGCAGGTTGGGGGTGGAGGGGGACGGCCGGCCACGGCGAGGGTGGAGGTGCTGAAGAGGGCGAGTGCGGTGAGGATGGTGAACTTCATTGTGAGGGTTTATTTAGTTTTTGATTTGGGTGGATGAGAGAGAGAGAGGTAGGCTGATGAATTGGAAGCGAGAGACTGGATAGGTTAACTTGGTTCAGAGCAGATGAGAAGGCTGGTGAGAATGCGATGGAGGATATCTTCGAGGTGTTCTTGACCTCTTTATATGTTCATTTCTTTTCAATTGCTAGCTACCCTTCCCTCTCTGACCAGGCTCGTCTACTTCTTCGTCTCCCCCGTATAGAAAGACAAGTCAGGCTTCCAATATTGCCTCCACCCCGTAACGCCACCTGCGGAAATAAGTACCAAACAGCGCATTGCTCTCCACGTCATAGAAAACAGGTCAACAAAGAGAAAGCCAAAACTTGTGAGACATTGTCTCGAACACTTTTGCATCGCTTCTCGTTTCCGCAGAGGAAGAGACCTCGGGCTACGAATGGGCGGTTCGGGAATACGAGGTCTACAATCCCGTCTTGCTTTTTTTTTTTTTTTTTTTTTTTTGCCTTTGCACACTCTTGCATGAGCTGGGCGGGCACATGGACAGCTTCCACATGACGAGGTAATGATAGTGATTTGGGTTCTCTTCGACCATAGCTAACAGTGGATTCGGGGGCGAAAAAAAGAAGCAAAAGGGAGAAAGAGAGCTTGGTTGCTTTCCCCGGACTTTCGAACTGCACTAGACTGACCATGCATGAGGGGGGATCCGGGGGACTGGACTGGACTGGACTGGACTGGTAGGGGCTGGACGTGTCATTTGTCGGATATTCTCGGTTTTTTGGGGTGTTTGTCTGGCTCGTGTTATTGGTGGTTATTCAGGGAGAATATAGGAGCTGTACTCACGGATTGGACGTCTCGAACTCCCTGTTAACGATGTGTGATGCAGAATAAGGGGACCAATCGCTGGAACCTAGCAAGTTGTCGCCAGTGGCAGGCGGATGGAAACCTAACTTTGGGTTGTCCACAAATCTAAAAGTCTTTTTCGCCTTCCTGCTGAGCAAAAAGGGTTCGGGATACGGGCATGTATGCTGACACACAGGAGTCATCGCCGATGGATATGCAAGCCGCTCAATCCCTGAGACAGTTTATAAATAGTAAAACAATTTGGGGCACGGGATGTCTACCAATTGGGCCAGAAAAACCCCTCATAGGTAATCGAAACAGCGTTCATTATGTCTGTAGGTGAAAGTCGGTATGTATGGACTCCGCTTGTCGTGCCTATGATATTCCAGGTAGGAAAGACATTGGTCGACTTCAGCCAGCCCCTTCTCACTGGTCATAAAAAAACTTCTACAGATGTACTTGCGACCCTTCAGGTTCTCCGATCAATCCCAAAAAGCTGTGGTGGACTTCCTCTGTCAGGTCGCTGGCTTGCATGCTCCGCCCTTTGGCCTTGAAGGCCCGCCGAGAGCATTCTCGCGTAATGGCACTACCTGCCCAGGCGGCCAGCAGCAGCGTCGTTACGGGCGACATGCGCCGGTCTTCCGATTCCAGTTCCGCCTGCACGTCCTGCGGACTCTGCGCCTCCTTGGAATTGTCCTTCTCGCCGGAGTCCCACAATCCGTTATGATAAGCCGCCCGCCAGGCCAGAAGGGTGCCCAATGACCCGGTAAGTGTGTCACCCTGGCCCCCGCTACGCTTCAGTCCACCCGTAATGTCGTTGATGATGCTGGTCACGCCGTTTGAGATCACGTCGTGCGGTCCCTTTTGGATGATCGTCACACCGCCAAGCGCCCTGGAGAGCTTCTCACAGGCCTCTGTTTCTCGCTTGGTGCGGTCATCGCCACTAGATTCCGAGCCGATCTGGGCCAGACTGGGCACATCGATCCCTAAGGCCTTGGCCAGGCGACCAAACTCGTTCACGTTGGGTGTCAGAATACATTCCTTGTACCCTTTAACGAGGTCCGGATCATCCGTCACCAGAAGCAGGCCGTCGGCGTCCAAGACAAACGGAATCGATTTGGAACGGGCTTCCTTCATCACCTCGGTGACCACTTTCAGCGTCACGCCGTCGCGGCCCAACCCGGGGCCTATGACCAGTGCGTGGAGGCGAGAAAGCATAGCAATGATGGGACTGGCAAGAGCCGGCGCATCGATGGTGTTGGGGTTCCCCACCGACTCGCTACTAGGCAGTATCGGATGGACCATCAGATCTGGAGAGTATGTTTTCACAACCTGCATGGATAATTAGTCGGTTGGACCGGGTTGAAACATGGTCCAGTATATAGAGACTTACCGTAGCTGCAGATCGCTCGCAAATAACATGGCTCTGTCTGCTGTTAGATGAGGAACAAGAGAACTCAATAACATATGCGAGTGTGTCATACCATATCGCATCCTGTCAAAGTGCACGCCAATCAGCATCGAAAAAGCCATCTAGCCATTACCTGCGACTTTTGTGTGCGTACCTAATTTGGCCGATGCCATGGAAGAAAAGTACGGAGCTCCCGTGAAGCTGTAAACCATAATCTCAGTCTACCATGTTTCGTAAGCAACGTAGGTGGAGAGAACAACATACTCGGCAGAACCTCCGATGACAGCAACCCGTCCTTGTTGTCCTGTATTGAGCGTCAGCAATTCCTTCTTTTCAGCGGCGATTGTCTCAAGTCAAAACTGGACATAACATGCAAGGACACCAACCCTTATGGAATTTCTCTAACAATGGCGGCACGATCTTCCGCACCTTATTGAACAAGACCTTCGGAGAGGTCGAGACGTGATGTACCGGATCCATGTTCAATCAAATTGACGATAGAAGATAGAAGCACAATGTATAGTAAACTTCGCTGAAAGAAACAACAAAGAGTTTCGACTGAAGAGGCTAGGAGATGATAAGAAGGGGGAAATGCCCGCGGAGGTTGGACGAGAGCAATATCGCCGGTGATGTCACCGCCTGCCAGGTGGGGCCCGATAACCGCCTGAGGGATGCGACATCATCTTGACATCTTTGCCTCTCTAGTCTGTACCTGTGGTCCAGCGTTTTAAATGTGGAGTGGGATTGTTATGTTATTGAGATCACTGGTAGCGTGCCTGAGCTGCATTCTGTATCTAGTAGGCTTTTTGTCCTATTTGAACAAGGTGTCAGGCTAACAACGGGTATCTGTCATGGTGTATCGAAGACTGAATAAACTGAGGCAAAGATACGACTCAGCTACGCACTGAGATGACGCTTGCAGACCCAGAAGAGAAGGGAAGGGGGTAGAGGAATTAGGCTTGAAAATAGAAAACAAATAAAGGAACGCTATGTACCGACTAATCACCGGAGGTGTAGAAGATATGTAAACGAAGGGCGAATATTCGTAGATATAAGAGAAAAGCAAAAGATCGAACCATCTATCGACACCATGACGCTCGCTGATGCTCATAGCAAGTGAAAGCCAACAAAAAGAAAAAGAAAAGAAAAGAAAAGAAAAGCAAAGTCGTATGTAATGCACCCTCGGGGTATACCTCGCTGATGCTCCGTGTCCAAGTGAAAAATGTGCTGACGAAACCCATGTAGAACTACTGACAAAGAAATGACAAGAAATGGAAAGAAAATAGAAAGATAAGAGAAGGTACCGAAAGGTATTTGAAAGCATGCATGGAAGACTCAGCGTCTTCTGGCTGCCAAAGCAGCAAGTTTGTTGCGGCGGGCCAACTTCTCTTGCTTGGCTGCTGCTTCCGCGCGCATTTCTTCATCATCCTCTCGCCTGGCAGCGGCTAATGCCCTGGCTTCTTCTTCCACCACATCCTCGAACCCACCTTCCATGTCCGAGGATGCATCTGAGTAAAAGTCATCGTAGTCGTCTGCATAATCTCCTTCATCTTCTTCATCCGTTCCAAGATATTCGTTCATCCTTGACCGTCCTGCACCTCGGCCCTGTGCTTTCCGGTCATTAGGATTGGCTCGACTGGGCAACCCGGCCGTGCCCCGGTACGCAGGGAGTGCCGGCGTCGGCGGTGGCTTTGCAGTACCCTTGTATGCGAGCTCTTCGGGTTCGCGTTTCTTAATAGGCTTGGTCGGGCCCGCGCTGGGAGCTGCTCCAGACTTTTTGGCGGCTGGGCCTTCCTTGCCCTTCGACTGCGTTTCCTGCGCCCTTTTCTTGCGTTCCATTTTGCTAAGCTTCTCCTTTGGAACGGCTTGATGCTTAAACATGCCCACTTGTGATGGTGCATTATCTTGAAGTGCCTTGGCTTTCATCATGAGATCCGCATATGAGCCTTTAGGCGGGGCTTTAGAGGATGTCGGGGCTGCCTTTTGAGTGGCAGATGTACTGCTGTTGGTTAAAGGTTTGGAGGATCTGGCGGGGGAAGCGATGGTGGGACGAGACTTGGCAGAAGCGGATGCCACAGCTGGGCGTGAAGGTAAGAGTTTGCGAGGGCCTTGGGTATCAGGTTTTTGGGTACGGGGCAGCTGCTCCTCAGCTTTGCGTTTTGTGCCCGCGGCCAGAGATTTCCGCTCGGGTGGGATATCGCGGGGGGTTGTGCTGGGCTTGCGGACTTCAGATTTGGCGGTGGAGGATGAAACCGGGGCTGATAGTGTTGAAGAGGAGGGTGGTAAACGAGAAGGTTTTCCCGTCTCGATGGACGAGAGGACCGAATCGAGAAACTACCCAAAGATTAGATCCAGTCACAAATAGAACTGATGGAGGACATCTTACACTCATCTTGGCGGCTGGAAGGCTGAGATCGATATACTGGCACAGATAGGGATCGAAGACGCGGGGTATCGATAGGCAAAATTCACCGTCGATGATTAGTACAACGGGATAACTTCATGACTTCGCCGAATCTGTGAAGCTAGTGCTCGAGAAACGGCGATAAGACGTTTCCACGCTCAAACCTTCACGGTAAATGAGGGGGAAACGAGACTTTGCCGGTTATCGCGGTGGGGAGAAGCGTTTAGCACAGCAACGTCGTTCAGGAGAAAACGTTGGGAGAAGAGGAAAGAGGACAAGGAGCGAGTCGCCATCCTGTCTTCTAGAACCAGCGAGTCACGTGCGACATCGAATTCAGACAAAGAGGAGCCTTACCGCATTAGGCAGCAAGCCTCTGCGCCACACGCGCTCGCTTAGAGGCCCGTTCTCACCAGCCACAACCCACCAGGCGCGGCGCACTTTTTCTCAAGAATTCGATGATCCTCTTCTCGACTTTCACTTCCTCATCGCCAACTTCCCGTCGAACTCGACGTCTCAGTCTCCGCCCAATCCTAGCGGTTAAATCGATTGATTCTCGTGTTCAATACACTAAACAAATCTGTATGTGCATTTCTCGAATCGACTCGCCGGTCTCGTTTGATACCTGCGCGCGGAAATTAAAAGTCTAACGGAGTTTTTCTTGTTGTCACCACAGATTCAAAATGAAGCACGTCGCCGCTTTCCTCCTCCTCACCCTTGCCGGTAACGAGTCCCCCTCGGCCGCTGACGTTAAGAACGTCCTCTCCTCCGTCGGTATCGATGCCGATGAGGAGCGTCTCAACAAGCTCATCTCCGAGCTTGAGGGCAAGAACATCCAGGAGGTTAGTGAACGCAATCTGATCGTTTGCGCATAGTGCGCACACAGAATAATTGCTGACCATCTCACCCTACAGCTGATCTCCGAGGGTTCTGCTAAGCTCGCCTCCGTTCCCTCCGGTGGTGCTGGTGGTGCTGCTGCCGCCCCCGCCGCTGCCGCTGGCGGTGAGGCTCCCGCTGAGGAGAAGAAGGAGGAGGAGAAGGAGGAGTCCGACGAGGACATGGGCTTCGGTCTCTTCGACTAAACGGTTTCATCGCTCCGAGTCCAGAAAAAATGGCGATAACTCGTGGGGGAACAGGAATCTGGAGTTGGGGGAAGAAAATTTCCCAAGGAAATGGTCAATCTTGCATATTCCAGGGTTTCCTGATGCAGTTACGATTTGTGCATACGTGAAGTTTAGCCAATACAGGTTGTCTGACCTCCTCGAGCATCGTTTCTACGTTTGTTGGTATTACTTGTAGTATGTAAGTTGCTTTCTTAAGAGATTGGTCCACCACTCATTGCCCCGGGCGGACCCAATGTACGTACGCGGAATTGCCCCTTGATATCCTCTTCGTTGGTCTGGGTATCAATAATTAAAGGTCGGGGAACCAGCGACAAGATCTAAGGTAGATTACACTCCGTACATTGTACTTCAACATTTAAAACAGCCAATAACAAAGACCGTAAAAAGCGCGATAAGAAAGCGCGAATCGAAGGCAGGAACAATTTATAGGGCAGGGCGCAGAAACCCTAAGATCCGTGCTGAGAAGGGAATGGTGGGGTAGGGCTATTGACCTAGCCGGGTCGCTTAGCCCGCCCACTCCCAACGCAGCGCCGCAGCACAAGAGTTGGCCCGACGAACGTTCATCCAGCGACACGACACCGACAACCCCATCGTCCCTTTCGCTTTTCGAGTCCCGTTCGAAAAGCGACCTTGAGAGGAACACCCGCAAAAATGGCTGACGAACACTACGTGAGTGACGACCTATGTTGAAGAAATGTTTTCTCCAATGCTGCTTAAAGAGACGCGAAAGGCTAACCTATCTTATTCTTATAGAACGCTGAGGAGGCTGCCGGTACGTTTGATCACTGAACAATAATACCCTTTACCTTGAACCCCAACCGTGGACTTTCGATTATGAGAGATGGAATCCGATCCGGATGGTATTTGGCGATGGACGGGGTATAAAGAAAGGTTTTCTGCGATGGAAAGGGATGCGGGAGGGGAACGTCTTAGCCGCCACCACGATAATCACGGAATTCACGAGCAAATGGAAATAGGATCAGACCGCTGACCAGAGATGTTTTTGTCGTCCAACAGAGATCAAGAAGAGAAGACAGTTCCGCAAGTTTTCTTACCGCGGTATTGACCTCGACCAGTATGTGATAATCCCGACTTCCAACCTGTTTTCGCCTTGCGCCCTTCGATCCCGACCGAATCGACACCTCCGATCCCAAGAATAATCGTCGCTGCGTCGGGTGGGATTTGGAGGGCGCAAGGATGGAATATACCTGTGTCGCCTGGACGGAATGATCTGACCAAATTCGCTTTTTCTGCAGGCTCCTCGACCTCTCCTCCGAGCAGCTCCGTGATGTCGTCCACGCCCGCGCTCGCCGCAGGTTCAACCGTGGCCTGAAGCGCAAGCCCATGGGTCTCATCAAGAAGCTCCGTAAGGCCAAGCAGGAGGCCCGCCCCAACGAGAAGCCCGACCTCGTCAAGACCCACCTCCGTGACATGATCGTTGTCCCCGAGATGATCGGCAGCGTCATCGGTATCTACTCCGGAAAGGAGTTCAACCAGATCGAAGTCAAGCCCGAGATGGTTGGCCACTACCTGGGAGAATTCTCCATCTCATAGTACGTTTCCCCCAGTGACTTTGCAGGCGGCTTTCACTCTGCAGGGGAGCGCATTTTGATCGACCACTGTCTAACAACCCCACAGCAAGCCCGTCAAGCACGGTCGTCCCGGTATTGGTGCCACCCACTCTTCCCGTTTCATTCCCCTCAAATAAAGAAGAAAAGCTTCTTGGAGTGTCGTGTGGAGGAGGATCAGGCGTCCGGATGTGCTGGGAGAACAAAACAAATTTCGATGGATACCATATACTGCCTTTATTTGGATTCATCAACTTGTATGTCAAGTGCGGGTCAGCTGTTTGCATCTCAATATAAAGGTCTTGTCGGCATGTGAACGAAATCAAAAAATTACGGGATCCCTGGAGCTCCGATGATGAGATCCCTTGTTTATCCCACTCTGTTCCCTCGGTCTGGGTGTTTGGTTTTCAGATATCTGGACCCGGGGATGGATGGGGAAGAGGCTTTAATCTTATTCCTTTTCATTTTAGCCGGGAATGGGGTTGGTCGAATTTTTTAACGAAGTTTTTTTTCTTTCATTGTTCCATCGGTTCTTTTCTCGTATATTGTAAAATGACGTAGACATTCACTGACTGCCCTTGAATGATCTACTTATGGCGACCACTACTGGCTAATTTATGGGGCATACGCTCTATCTTAGGTATATGACCAAGACGTCATCCGATCCATACTACACTTTCTATACAGTGTAGTCCCTACTTATTCCTTCGCAACCGCCTCATCCACCAACCTCCCCATCTTCTCCCACTCCCTCTTAATCCCCATCCCCATCATCCTCGGATCCAACCTATTAACCCGAAACTCATTATGCACCTCCCCAAACGCTCCCCTCACCATGCTCTTGAAGCTCGGCACCGTGCAACACTCCGCCTCCCGGTTAACCAGATCACTTAGCATGGACCAAATGAGCAGACTGAAATCTAGCCCGAACTGGTCCAGTGGGATCACGTCCGAGGACGATGGCGGTTCCATGCCCTGCGAGAGATGGATCGCTAGTTTCGCGAGCGTCCAGGCATGTAGACAGCGCAGGGGGTGGGAGGCGTTAGGATACACGACGGGGTCGATGCGGAGGTGACGGATAGCGCAGTGGATGAAGGCCGCATTGAAGGATCCCGCGGCGAGGAGGGTGGTGATTAATTGGTCTCGAAGGGAGACGTATGGTTGTCGGGTGATGGGCCAGGGCGGGGACGTTTGGCTGAGCGAGCGCATGGCTGATTCGAGCTGGGGGATGGATTCGAAGGGGTCGATGTCTAGGGAGGATGCGGATTCGAGGATCTCATGGGCTTGTTTGCCGACTGTTTCGAGGACTGAGGGGTCCGGTGGTGATGATGTGTTAGGGAACTTGTCGGCCGGTCCATCGGGGCCTTGTTCGCATTTCGAACACCGGCAGTCGAAGTAGTATCTCTCGCGTAACTCGGCGCGACGGAGATTATATGGATTCGTGGTGTCGACGTAGGATATGAAAATCTGCTCGTCTTTCTGGATAGGACGGATAGCTTTCACGAACAGCTGGTGGCCGTCGAACCCGACGACAGAGTTGTAGTCGCAGCTGTGGTTGATAAGGGCGGCGAATGGATGCAAGTAGAGACCGATCCGGTCATACAATGGACTCGTCATGTTGAACGAGTTCAAATCAAGCTTCCCACGAGTCAGCATTCTCCAAGGTAGTCTCTCCTCATCGTCAGAAGTGTGTGTGTACTGCTCACCTTCGCCCCAAATGCCGAGATCGTTTCCTCCTTCACGTCCGTGCCAGAATAGACTTTAACTGCCTTGGCCGAAAGCCCGATACGTTCGAGCTGCGCTGGATTCTCACGCTGAATATCCTGAACGTGAGTCTCAAGTTGAAGAAACAAGTCCATCTCCTGGGGCGTGCACTTCCGACGCTGACTGCGCAGGACGATGCGCAGGATAGCTCTCGCATTAATAGGCAGGACACGAGGTTTCAGCTTCTGGTAAATAGAACACTCCAGCGAATGCGCGGCCTTCCAGTCCTTAGATTGACATGTCTGAGGGGGTGAACGATGTTAGTAAAAACGTGGCACATAGCAAAGACCAGGATCTACTAACTCTATCACAGTATTCGACCACTTGACATCCCGTACACGCTTTCAAAGTCGCATCCGCATTCTCTAATTGCCTCTTGCCAAAGCATCCCGAGCATGTATCGTCTAGCCTTGGCGTCTCAAGAACCGCTACAAAGGGGTTTTGGATGCTCAGGACATCTTCACCGGTTTTGAGATTAGTGGATGCGAAGAGACCCTTCCCTAGCCCACCGGGTGCCTGCCCAGGGTTGGCTTTGGTTGATATAGAAGGGAATTCGGTGGTCAGTGACATGATGCAGTCTGCTTCATGTATGCATGAACGAGGGGTTTTTTAGCCACCGAGCAAAATGCAGAGACCGGTCAGGATGTCGCTGAAGTTATATTAAGGCTAGACGGTGCCAACTGGGAGTCAAGACTACCTCCAAAAGTGTAAGAAAAAGATATGGAGGTTCGTGTGAAGAATCGATGGAGTAAAAAAGGAAGGCCGTCGCACGCTTAGTCATCACCAATTCAAGTGTTTTGATACTTCGAAAATCTACTACGCATTTACGGAGTAAAATCTATAGAGGTGAGATCCTAATTCAAATCAATAGACTAATACTATACATAAATATCAACAACCCATGAAATCAGTCACGTCATCAATAAAAACCTAACTAAAGATTCTTCTTCCCGCTCAAGCACATAGCCTGCCTACTAGAAATGAAATGGCAAAAATATGACCGTGAAAAATAATAAAAGAATAATCAAAAACAACCCGAAGAAAAAATACCACCAGAGCTCCTGGTCCAAGATCCACTTGTCGCCTGAAGGGGAAAAGGTGAAGCGGTAAGCCCGGATACCAGGGCAAAAGTAACAAGTCTATCAACCTGAGTTGTCTTATCCGCTACGCCAAACAAGGCGGCTTTTTGGGTGCCTGTAACGACAAAAAGAACCAATGCAACACCGGACAATTATATCTATAAAGAATCAAAAGAAACAAACTTTTTGTCCTTTGAGAGGGTGGACTTTTGTTTACAGCAGCTTGCCACCGGCGAAGTCAGACCAGCTGCGGACTTCGGAGGGAATGCCCTCGGCACGGGGCAGCTTCTCGCTCATGGCCTGAGCAAAGAGAAGAGCGGTCTGCGAGATGAGTTAGCATCTAAACACAAACAATTAGATAAGCAGGGTAAAACAAACCTTGGTTTCCATGAAGAGAGGCACGCCAAAGTCGACCGCGTTACGTCTCATGACGTAGTCCTCGTCGAGCAGGGTCTTGCCCCGGCTCTTGGCGAGGTTGAAGGCACCACGAATGTTGTACTTCTGGAAGACCTCACGGAGAGCACGCTTGTCCTTCTTGGGGAACTCGATCACCTGCACGGAGACGTTGTCCTTGGAGGTGGATTCGATGTGAGCCTTGACCTCGGGGCTGGCAGCGAAGAACTGGAAGCCCAGAGGGTTCAGGTACTCGACAACCTTGGCCAAGGCAGTGTTGTGGATGTCGCCACCAAGCAGGATACCCTCGCCAGGCTCGGGCACACGGAAGTTCATGGTGGACTGGAGAGAAGCCCAGTAGGCCTCCACGAGGTTCTTACCGAAGCAGGCAATTTCACCAGTGCTGGCCATTTCAACACCAAGGAAGGGGTCGGCACCAGCCAGACGGGTCCAACTGAACTGGGGAACCTTGGTAGCAAGGTAGTCACGCTTGGTGCTCATGAGATCCACGGGCTCGGGGACATCACGGCCAACAAGAGCCTTGGTGGCAACGTCGATGAAGTTGGTACCCAGAACCTTAGAGGCGAAGGGGAACGAGCGGGAAGCACGAAGGTTGCACTCGATGACCTTCAGCTCGGGAGCAGCACCCTCCTGGTCGGCCTTGATGATCTGCATGTTGAAAGGACCGGTGATGTTCCAGGCCTTGGCAACCTTCTCGGCGATCTCCTTGACACGGTTCATGATGGGCTCCTCGAGATTGGCGGGGGGAAGGACAAGGGTAGCGTCACCAGAGTGCACACCGGCGGGCTCGACGTGCTCACTGACGGCATGGAGCAGAAGCTGACCATTGGAGGCAACGGCATCGACATCGATTTCCTGAGCACCCTCGATGAACTTGGTGATGACAACGGGGTGATCGGGAGAGACGGCGGCGGCGTTGAGCAGCTTCTCCTTCAGCTCGTCGTGGCTGTAGATGACGTTCATGGCCGCACCAGACAGGACGTAACTGGGACGAACCAAGACGGGGTAGCCGACGGACTCGGCGAAACGCTCGGCTTCAGAGACGGAAGTAAGCTCCTTCCAGGCAGGTTGGTCAACGCCAATGCTGTCCAAGATCTGCGAGAACTTGTGACGGTCCTCAGCATTGTCAATATCCTTGGGGTTGGTACCGAGGACGTGGGCACCACCAGTCTCCTGCAGACGAAGGGCAATGTTCTGAGGAAGCTGACCACCGACGGAGACGACAACGCCGCTGGCGCTCTCGAGCTCGTAGATATCCATGACACGCTCGTAGCTGAGCTCCTCGAAGTAGAGTTTGTCAGCGGTATCGAAGTCGGTGGAGTAGGTCTCGGGGTTGTAGTTGATCATAACGGTCTTCTTGCCCATGTTGCGGAGGGAAAGAGTGGCGTTGACCGCACACCAGTCGAACTCGACCGAGCTTCCAATACGGTAGACACCGCTACCAAGAATGATCGTGCCATGGTCATCGAAGGTGACATCGTGGGAGGTGGCGTTGTAGGTAGTGTAGAGGTAGTTGGTGTCGGCAGGGAACTCGGCGGCCAGGGTGTCAATCTTCTTCACCCAGGGGCGGATACCGAAGCTCTTTCTGCGAGCGCGGACATCGTCCTCAGTCGAACCAACGAGGAGAGCGATCTGCTTGTCAGAGAAACCAAGCTTCTTTGACTTCAGCATCAGCTCTTCCTGGACGCCGAAGAGGCTGCCAATTTCCTTGAGCTCATTGTTGCAATCCACAATGTTCTGGAGCTTGTACAGGAACCACTTGTCGATCTTGGTCAGATCGTGGACCTTGTCCACGGAGTAGTTCTCGTGAAGCATGGCCTGGCCAACAGCCAACCAACGGCGATCGGTGGGGTTCTTCAGGACGTCATCCAGGTTCTCGAACGAGTCACCCTGGAAACCGAGGAATCGGGGGTCGACCTGGCGGATAGCCTTCTGGAACGACTCCTCGAAGGTACGACCAATGGCCATAACTTCACCGACAGACTTCATGGCACTTCCGATGTCCCGGTTGACGTGCTGGAACTTACTCAGATCCCACCGGGGGATCTTGGTGACGATGTAATCCAAGCTGGGCTCGAAGTTGGCAGTGGTGGTCTTGGTCACGGCGTTGGGCAGCTCGGGGAGAGTGTGTCCCAGACCGATCTTGGCAGCGGTGTAGGCAAGAGGGTATCCGGTAGCCTTGGAGGCCAGAGCCGAAGAACGAGAGAGACGGGCGTTGACCTCAATGACACGGTAGTCGAGACCATCGGGCTGCAGGGCGTACTGCACGTTACATTCGCCGACGACACCCAAGTGGCGGACAATCTTGATGGCCGCGGTACGGAGCATGTGGTACTCCTCATCGGACAGAGTCTGACTGGGCGCAACGACGATACTGTCACCAGTGTGAATACCCAAGGGGTCGAAGTTCTCCATGTTGCAAACGGTGATACAGTTGTTGTTGGCATCCCGGACCACCTCGTACTCGACCTCCTTCCAGCCCTTGAGGGACTTCTCGACCAGCACCTGGGGAGCAAGGGTCAAGGAGCGAGAGACCAAGTTGCGCAGTTCCTCGGGGTCGTTGGCAAATCCGGAACCCAATCCACCCAGAGCGTAGGCGGAACGAACGATGATGGGGTAACCAACTTGCTCGGCAGCCTCCAGGGCCTCGTCAACGGTGTTAACAGCGATGGACTCGGCGATGGGGATGTTGATCTCGTTCAAGGCCTTGGAGAACAGGTCACGGTCCTCACTAGTCTCCAAGGTCCGGATGCTGGTTCCAAGAACCTTGACGCCATACTGCTCGAAGGTACCCATGCGGTTCATCTGCACACCCAAGTTCAGGGCCGTCTGTCCACCGAAAGAGAGGAAGATACCGTCGGGGCGTTCCCGTTCGATAACGTAGGTCACATATTCGGGGGTAACCGGGAGGTAGTAGACTTCGTCCGCAAGCTTGTGATCGGTCTGAATGGTCGCAATGTTAGGGTTGATCAGGACTGACTGGACACCGGCCTCCTTGAGCGCCTTCAGAGCCTGGGAGCCTATAATTTTGAGGCAAAGACATTAGCATTCCCCATTTGCACAGAACCCAATGTTATTAATCAAAAAGGTATTTGCCCAGGCAGTTCTGTTCTGCTCGCTACTCGAACCCCGACTCCACAGTGTTTAACGGAACACTAAAACTCGGAGAAGGGACCAGCGGCTTGTGGGCCAGAGGGGGATTTGTGACTCATAAATTCCACCTACCAGAGTAATCGAACTCTCCGGCCTGTCCAATGCTCAGGCCACCACTACCGATGACAAGGACCTTCTTAACATCGACGAGGTTGGGCTCGGTCTTGAAAAGCTCGCTCTTCAGGTAGCTATCAGCGGCGGGAGCAGACTCCGCCAACCGGCGCAGAGCGCTCGAGAAGGAGCGCAGCTGCTGGGACCGCCATGGCGAAGGCGCAGAAGTCTTCTGCTGCAATCGCAGACTCGATGCCGTCGTACGGGCAGCGGTCGTCTGAGAAGTGAAGGAGCGCACAGCCGGGAGAGCGGAGCGACGGGACTCGACCGCACAGCGCTGACGCAAGAGGGCGGACGTCGCCTGTCCGCAACGAGCGGCGAGAACCATTGCGCACTGCGCCACTAAAGAAAAGGAATATAAGAAAGAGGAATCAAAGGTGAGTCAATTGACCCAATGGACGTTTGTCTATTTTTTTTTCCCGCAAGAAAAAGGCCCGCCTGTCTATTTGAATCAAATCAAATTTATGACGGTGGTTGACCGATTCCCTTCTGTCCCGCTTTTCTATGCCACACGCCCAAGAAATAAAGTAAGGTAGGGGGAGGCACCTTATGGGGAGGACAAAGAGGAGCAGTGAGTGACCTGGCGTGCCAGTCGGAAGGAAGTAAGGGGGAGGAGGGAAGAGAGAGAAGACGGTGTGGCCAGAAGGGAAGGGATGAATAAGGAATCAGAATAAAAAAAGGACTCAGGGAAAAAAGGAAGAAGATGAGAAGGCGAAGAAATAGCGACGGAGAAAAGGCGTGGGTAGCGCTGGATGAGTCAATGCAGGCCAAAGTAAGGACCAGAAAATCGGGATAGTCACGACTCAAAGTCTCCCAGGAACTTCCCTAAAGAACTGAGAGAAGGCCGATAAGAGCTCCGGTGTGCGGAGCTTCTTTTTTTTTTTTTTTCCAGGTTCTCTTTTGGTGGTGTTTGTTCGGGTTTGCATCGATTCTTGTAGTCTGATTGGACCACAGGGGAGGGTTTGGCACGGACCCGTCCACACCGCCTTGGCTCCGGTCCAATCAGCAAGTGACCCCGAGGGGGCGGCCACTTCGGGAGACCAGAGAGACCAGAACCGCTAGAAGGCTAAACCAGACCAGGCTTAGCGGATGGACCCCCGGTAAGTAATGATAACAACACCGATCAAGTAATAATTAATGCCATTACTCCATAGTATATCCATAGTATGGACTCCGTAGGGAGGAATCTCTGGAGACATTGTGGATGCCCACAATGTTGTCGACGATACTCCATAACCGTCAATGCTTCGATGAATACCTCCCGGTCCTCTACGCAAGCAATTGGACCTCCCCGTTGACTCATAATCCCTCTGCGAGACCCAGTCAATAGTCGCCAAACCTAGCAGGAAAATTTTTCTGGCTAGAGGTAGATCAATTACTCTTCAGATGCAGTGCGTCCCCGCTGCGTTTGTGCCTCGCTACCGCGCTAATGGCCTCTAGCCCACGGGACCACCGGCTTTCGGAATCCCCACGTTGGACGGTAATTTGTTAGTTTTGCTGACTGACTCGGCTGACTGCTGGCCCTTGCCTTTGACGACATCATCGATCGCATTCCCTCGGAACTCTATTCGCGGCCGGACATGAGCTAGAAGGGTAGATGGATAAAGTGGTTAATTGATAGATTGATTAATGCCATTGATTAATTTGTCCTGAACTTTATCGATCTGTCAAACCCACCGTGCCATTCAATCCTGACCACGGTCCCTGGGAGCGTCCCTCGCTCCGAGTCCCTCGTCGACCCCGTGGCCTGGTGGTTTGGGCCTCCTGTGCCCAGATATCTTCTTCTGGCCCGTCGTCTTGGCGCTCTCGGAGGGTTTCTTCGAGGTCTTGTTTCATGATCCCGTACACTTCCTGCAGCACTCGTTGCGCGTCTTCGGCTGCCTCGCCGCCTTCCTCTACTTTTTGTTCCACATACTCCCGCTCGTTCGTCCCGACGGCCTCGGATGCAAATGCCCACGCCTCGGCCAAAGCAACGACCTCGTCTGGTTTGCTCGGCTCACTGGGAGGCGCAGTCTGTCGAGAGTTGAGGGCCGAAGCGGCGTTTTTGAAGCGTTGCTGCCGAGCGAGAATAGGGTATTCTGGAAGCAGATGGCTCTCCTCACGTAACCGATTCAGCATCCGAAGGGCTGTAGCCTTTTCTTTGGAAAGCAATCCTGCCAGATAGAATTTCTGCGTAGCCAGCGCCCGCTGACTTTTCGAAAGCGGGAGCAGAATGTCATTCGCGAATGACAGCACATTCAAGGGATCCAAAGACGGCGTCTCCTCGATAGTAGGTTGGACGTTGTCGACGGCACGCTCGGGAGGACTGGGAGCCGCATTGGCGATGGGCTGACAAGCTCTGGACGCCGCATCTAAGAGGCGTTTACGCGCTTCCACGTACGCATCGTACTGCTCCGCAATATGGGCCTTTTGCTCCTCGAGCAAACGTGCTGACTCCTCGATCTCATCGGCCGACGGTTCTTGCATAGGACCGTCATCGCCGTTCCCAACGCTCACCAGCTTTTCCTCCACCCACTGCACCAACTCGTCGCGCGTTCGTTGTAGAGCCACAACCCTCGCAGCCGGTGAGATTTCCTCCTGTGGGCGTTGCTTGGCCTTCAATTCCTCGAGTAGCATCTTCTCCCGATCCAATTGAACCTTTGCTCGTATCACGGCCCGTTCCAATTTATGTATCAACTCCTCAACGCCCTGCCCTGATCGGGACCCATTTTGTCGGCCCTCCCCAAATTCCTCGGGTGGCACAAGGTGATTTGTATTTCGATTCTCGTTGCCCTCAAAGTCTTCCGGGGTAGGTACGTCTCGCGTCTTCAGCTGCTGCAAATAATGCTGAAAGACCTGCAATTTCGCATGTTTGCGACGCTCGCGCAGCAGCCGCAAGTAAGCTTGTAGGTCTGACGTAGGATCTAAGGGAGTTGCCTCGGCGGGGGGAGTCTGCGCAGCTTCCGATATCGACTGGTATGTTTTCTTTGCCTCGACGTTGGCTTTGAGCGCTTGCAGGTATTCCCTCCTCAGGCCCGTAAACTCCGGCGGGATTCGTTTCACGTCGACGACGGCATCCTGCGGCGCGCACAGGGAGAGATGGGATTGGGCATGCAAGTCCGGGTGGTCAGGATTGTCTTCCGCGAAAACAATATGCGAGCGGAGATGGACGGTCAGGGCTTGTCGGATGCGGAGAGCTTCCTGGCGGCTCTTGATGTAAGGAGTCAGCGGTTGGGCAAAAGGCGGAAGGTCAAGGTGGGTAGGGACGGGGTCATTATTGCTGTGATGGGCCATTGGGACGGGTCTTGGGTAGTAGGCGTGGGAAGTGGGTGCAGGTCAGTCCTGACCAAGCCGGAGGTCTCGCGTCATAACTGCTTATTAAGCAGGCCCCGAGGGACTCTGGGTAGTTAACTATGTCCTACCTCGAACTGGTCCAGGCCTCCTAGGTAGCCACTTTGCGGGGTGACTACCTAGAATCCGGAGAGACACTCTGGAGGAACTAACTGCCAGTATGGTGCGGGCCTTCAAATTTGACTGGAGACGGATATCTATCTCAACGGTCTGATACGATTCAAATACGCTATTCGACACCCTCGAGACCGTCGAGCCAACGTTCAACCTGCATTATCTTTGGACTATGCTGTGCTTCCACATCTGATTCCGCATCATCAGGTGCTTCTTCCTCGTCAGTTCCTTCTAAATCGAGCCAGGAGTGCTGGTATATGGGTCTTTCGCTGCAAGGGTACCCTGTCGATCTTAACCATTCGAATATCCCACGAGTGGCGCATTCAGAGAGCAATTGCGAGAAGAAATCATATTGATAATCATCGAGATCAGGCGATGTTCTTTTGGAGGGAAGATGTGATGTTTGGTATGATGGCTGGTTAGTCTTTTGTCTTAAGTCTTGAATTGAACGGTTGTTTGTCAAAATCCATTCCCAAGAAACATATTCTAAGCAATGAGCGGCACATTGAGCATGATTCTGGACCGATAGATCTGTATCGCAAAGCTTCGTAACCCCAAAGGGTTTCCAGGGCCATACTGGAGGTCGATCATGACCATCGGAAGCTGTAATAAAAAGCAACCGACACTCGTCATCGCGGCGTATCGATTTGCCATCATTGGAGCCCATTTCTGAAGTCAAGAAAGTCTGCGTCGTTCTGGTCCAGAAGGAAGCTGGAAGATCAAGAGCCGTCATTCCTGCTCGTACATCACGTAGGATGGATTTTGCCAAATCCGTGAGAATGGCACCCAGCCAGAGGATGCCGAGACGAGGCTGTCGATTGGTTAATAATGTGGCCACGAAGTTAGTCTTTGATGATACTGAGTCAAGAACTGCAAAAGCCGGGTTCAGCCAGGCACTAACAAGGTTACACTCGATCTCTGTTGAAGAAGGTGCTACACAGAACCGAGCGTAATCCCCATACATTAGAACTTAATGACATGTACTGGGCAAGCAGCTCCCTATGCTCGTTGAGAAGATCTGGAATGGAATTGGTAGAGCCACTAGCTCCCTCCCCCAGTCCCGATCGAGAAATCTGTTTCGGAAACGGGAGGGGGATTGTTCTCCCTTTGAGGAATGGGATATAAAGTACTCCAGCAAGGGCGACTGAGCACTAGGCGTAAAGGCGATTGTGTATACAGAACCGAGACAGGTATTCGAGAGCGGTCACCGAATCAGGTGGGTCTGGGTCAGACTTGGAATGAAATGAGCCCTTCGTGGCTAGTGTCAATCCAGCGCCCGTTGCTGACACCGACCATGGCGACAAATACCCATGGCCATTGTACTTAGTAGTCGCGTTCCAACAGTCCTCAGAACCCAAAACGGCGCGCCACCAAAAGGCTTCATCCTCACAAGCATCGTCGCTGATGTCAACTTGGACCATGCCTTGGTTATCCAATTGCTGTGGATCTTTACAGCTCTGCGTAGTATAGCTCATTTGGCAATCATGGTCAACAGAGCGCCCAAGCAACTCAACCCATCGAGCGGATAAAATATAAGCCCATGCGAGATAAAGAACTGACAGATAGTTTCCGTTGTCATAACCCGAGAGTCCCTGAACCCCTGGCCAAGCTGAGGGGGGAGAATCTTCTGGCAGCCTTATACTCGCTCGACTGGCAACCGCTAATAGAAGTTGTTTAGAAAGGACTTTCGGCTGTAGGTCACATATGCCTGTTGAAGTCCTCCACGTTGACTGGCCATTAACGACAAGACTACCTTGCCCCTGTCTGAATTGCTTCTCCTCGCAAACGAAGGAGATTTGCTCGTCCGAGGGAGCAAGACCACCACCAAGGAAAGGCGGCGTCTGGCAGACAAGAGACTCCAGGTCTATTGCTTGCCGGGGGAATGGGTAATCGTCTTTCCCAGAATCTAGATAGGAGGGCCAGGTCTTAAAGCTCTCCTGAAGGACCTGGCTGAATACATCATGACCTGGGCGCGCGGCGTCGCCCATTGTTCACGCACGCAAGCTGAAATAAGATGGTATGTGGATGCAGAAGAACAAGTCAATGGCAAGTCCGGCTTGCGTGGTCGAAGATCAAGGGAGAAAGATTGACGGAGTCGGGCGCGAGATTACAAGGTGGGAGTGGCGCAGTCGGGGCTTCCGCTATGTACTACCTAGTTATGTGGCGCGGCAGGCAGCCCCCTTACACCGTATGAGCTGCAGTCAGTATATGAAACCCCCATCAGGGTCTTGTGGTAAAGCGTTTCCTGCTTGTTTGTGTTGTCCCTTTTCACATGACCATGATAGGTCCTGCCTCATTCCTTGGGCTTAGGGGGCTACCAAGGCTAGGCCGAATATCTTCTTAAGCATCAACGATCTGATCCAAGATACACCGGAACCAAGCCTGTGAGGAATTTCACTGCATAGCGTGTCTTCAATTTGCATTCGTCTAGCTCTAACCTTCCCTGACATAAGTTCATACAATCCTAACTCATCATGTGAAATGTAAATCGTCAATGCCGTGCCGGCCAGTATTTCCTGACTTGCAGCCATCAGAGTTCAAAGCTCTATTGCATCGGATACACCAAGTGACACCTGTCCCTGCCTGGCCTTTACTCGAATGAATGAGAAGTCTGTGACACGAATACTGGCCCGAGTCTCAAAGCCATCCCGCTTGTGAGATGTGACGAGGGTGGTCTCGTCTGAGTCCTGCGACGGCACAGAGTAAATCGCCCAGTTATCATACTCCGTTGCCCCGTTCCAACTCATATACACATCGAAAGCAAAATCCGATATTTTCTTGGCTTGTACCGTTGGTTTCCAAAACGGGGTGGCCCTCCATTGGGACTTGGAGACACTGGAGGACCCAATATAGCCAGAGTGGCCGAATTGAGCGGACAAAACAACATCACCATCGCCATTGTATTCCTTCAGCTCTGGAACGTCGCCATAGCCAACAAGCAAATGAAGCAAATGAGAATGCGACGTGGCTGGATCAAGGAGCTGGACACTCCCTTCACCTTTGGAGTGAATCGGGTCGTCGGGGTCAGACACTTGACGGATGGCCGAGACTTTGCGGTTGATAAGGTCAACGTGTAAGATCATTGCGGTGCTCTCGCCGTCGCTTTCACGATTGGTGTTCGCATTGCTAAATAAACTGAGAGACAAGCTTTCATCTGTTTCGTCATGCACTCGCGCGTCGTGCTGCCACGAGAAATTGACCTCGCCGAGTTCAAAGTCACCACCATTGATACCCTGTAGATGTGATGTAAGTATTTTATCGATTACGAGAACAACTAACACTTACAGAAAGTTGCCACCGAATGGACCCATCTCTATTGAGAGAGAAGACCGAGGAGTAGCCACGGAGTGACACTAGAAAGCCATCCTTTGTTGGATTGATGGCGTTGAGTTGAAAAGGATCGAACGGCAGTTCGCGGGTGCCCGTACCAGCAAGATCTACCTCCGATAATTCGATAGGAATGTGGTCAAGGGCGCTCCATGAGTACACAATGTCATTGGACTGCACCTCGATCTCATAGAAAAGGTAATTGGCCACATAGTGGTCAGGCTGTCCGCCCACGGCACTCAGATCATACTCGGTGATGTTGACGACGGGAACGAGAATAGTGTCCCACGGCGTTACAAAGTGTCCATGGGCATCTAGATACGAAAGTTTGGCCTGGCCATCAGGCGTGATGTAGTTGTCCTTCAGGGTGATCGTGTACAACTCGTTGTAGGCATTGTCTAGAATATGGACAGTGCCATAACCGTAACCCGGGTCGACATATTGACCGGACCAGAATGTGATCATATCCTGACCTGATACATTCTGCACCCTGAAACCACTCGCATTGGCATGCGACCCCTGGTAGACCAAATCACCGTTGCCATCATAAATTGTAGGACCAACCGGAGTGGCCTGCTCGCCTTGTAAGGCCAGAAAAATGTATCCCTGGCCCACATCGCCCGTTTCATTGATGCTCAGCTTGGGGACTCGCCATGACGCAGTGGTAAAGGATTGGTAAGGCCAATTATCTGCAGCCAAAGTTCCGAGAGACAGCATCAAGACGCTGCATACAGACGCGGAGTGGAATTGCACCATCGTTTCGAGAAGATGCAATGTAGCAGCGATATCGAAAAGTCAAAAATGAAAGCTATTGCAATGCAATCCAGTTCGCAAAGCCCCATCGGCGCCCGAGAGGATCCGCCATGCTACTTGAGTGCAAGCCAAAGTCCTTGAACTCATTTCGTTGCCTTGACTCCTTGCCTCATTGGAGGTCTCAGCGTGGAACCCGAGACTTCAGGGCTCTGAGCTCCAACTGTCCCTTGCATCGACTGCAAGTCTTGCGAGGTTCAGCTGAGGGTGAAGTGGACACCGGATCAGAAGACCCGGTTCCATGCATGAGATTCTTGGGGTTTCGATCAGTGCGAACGATGTGCATCAAGGCAGCTAGAAGCGATTCGGACTGCGCACTTTTTACGAATTTGCAGTCGGGATAAGCATTTCTCTAGGGTTCTAATGTTTCGAGTAGGTAACGTATCCTTTGTGGCTCATCGGCGATGACGAATGGACCCGGGGATGGAAGATCGAACGTCTGAGTGTTATTCTTATACATGGAGATGAAGATCGGCCAGCGATAATCCTTCTGACGCAGCAGGGATGACCGCATTAGTTACAGAATCAGAATCATAAGAGTCATAGTTAAGACCAGTCGATCAGTCACGGTGACTCGTCCGATTTGACTGCTGGTTTGGCATGTTTTCAAACAATAATGCCCTAAGGTTCCTCATTCCTCCAATCAAGGGGCGAATGCTCGCTTCTTTTGCTTTTTATCTCTCGTCCTCTTTTTCTCTTTCTTTTCCGTCCCTCTTCCTCTCCTTCTTCTTCTCCCTTAAACACACCACACCACATCATGCCCCCCGAGATCAACCCCATCCCTCTCTCTTCCCCGAGAACTCGTCCGCGAGCAGCAACGGCAACGCAACCAACCACATCTTCATCCGCTTCATCCCGTCGGCCATCCCAAATCATGGCCCCTCCGTCTATCTCGCTCGGTCCGAGCGATCAGGAAAACGTCCGAGCAGCGTCGGGTATGTGCCACCATAGCAAATCATGATCCCCGGAGCTTCTGATGACACTAACGCCTGTCTAGGTCCCTTGCGCCATCCCAAACCCCTCACCCCGTCCGATCTCCATTCGATGCTGGAGCAAGAACAGGAGGCAATGGTATGTCTAGGCTGGCCAGCTTCTCTGCGCTATCGGGGCACACTGACCATGTTTGATGATCTTTAGGTCAATCGTTTATCGAGAGAACTATCTGCTCTTCGCCAACAAACAGCTTCCGTCGCATCTACCACGTCCTCGGCCTCCACCAGCTTCAACGATTCTTCGGTCGATGCTCTCCACACGTCATCGCACTTCATTAACACGGTACATCCAACCGCATCTCGACGCCATCGCTCCTCGTCCAGTCTCAGCTCCTCTTACGTCCCCGCCGTCCAGGGCTCAAGGACAGGGAGCGTCGCCGGGATCGCACCGTCGCGGGACGTTGGTCTAGCGTCCCCACGCCCGGGTGATCCTATGCGACCGGGTCGAAGTCGGGAGCCATCTCTGACCTCGCCTCGACCGTCGGAGGGGGCTCTGTCGTCTTTTTCACCGTCGTCCTCGCAATATCTACCTCATCAATCCCTGGACCAGTCCTCGCATCTCCCAAACGCACCCACGCATGCTCATCGTAGCTCTCTTTCTCAGCAACGATCTCGAACCGCTTCCACCGCTTCCCGTCCCGACGAGATTGCACACCAACGAGCGGAACTCGAAGTGATCCGACGGGAGAATGACGCACTGCGACGGCGGGTGCGAGAGCTCGAGTCCACCTTGAAACAGCATCGCGAAAGGGAGTCGACACCGACGATCTCGACCACCAGCGGGACGTCTGCGCTTACCGATGGATTACGAAAAGTTTCCTTGACCGAAACGAACGAAGACATAAATACCTAAGGTGGAATTCTCTTTTTTCTTTTTTATTCTCTCTCTCTCTTATATTTCCTTTTTGCAATCTAGAAAGCAGGATCTTTCGTGGCTATTACTTTGGCGCGGGCTCAGGACGGAATTAGGTAGCACCCAATTGATGATTTCTTATGACGACGGATTTCCTAGCCGGATGGCTGCCTGAATGCCTGGTTCACTTACATGTGACGACGACGCCCCACCGTGGCTGAGCTCCGCCCCTCCCACGTCATAAGTGGCTCGTCAATAAATAATAAATCATTCCTTCTCTTCTTCCCCTCCTCCCTCTTCCTTTGCACATCACTCCTCTGTATCCGTACATCTTTTGCAAAACTTCTTGATTCTACTTTTACAATTTCCCATCAACTCTCACCATGTCGGAACGCTCCACTGTGCACGTCTCGGGCATCTCGTCCGCCACCTCCGATAAGGAGGTTCAGGACTTCTTCAGCTTCTGGTACGACCACCCCTTTAATTTGGCCAGTGAACTCGGCAATTAACATTCTGTAGCGGCAAGATCATCAATATCTCCGTGACTCCCGTTTCCAGCGAAGCAGGAGCTTCCAAGTCCGCCTCGGTGACGTTTGAGAAGGAAGCGTAAGTGACACTGTTATCGACCACCGTCCCACTACCCCGCACCTTCCCGCCCTCCCCCCTGGCTGCGACATTGTTCTGACAAAATACCTGGTAATCTCTAGTGCTGCCAAAACCGCCCTCCTACTGGACCAGACCCAGCTGGGCCCCTCTGCAGTCCATGTCCAGGCCGCCCAGACCCTCGAGGATATCGCCGGATCGCACGGTGCCACCGCCTCCGAGGCCAAGGACGAGAACAACCACGACCTCGAGCAGGAGGACAAGCCCAAGTCTCGCATCATTGCCGAATACCTTGCCCATGGCTACACCGTCAGCGACACCGCCATCCAGAAGGCCATCGCCCTCGACCAGAAGCACGGATTCTCCAACCGCTTCACCTCGACCCTGAGCAACTTCGACCAGAAGTACCACGCCACCGACAAGGCCCGCGGGTTCGACGAGAGCTACAAGCTCAGCGATAAGGCGGCCAGCGGCTGGCGCGGCCTGAACTCCTACTTCACCAAGGCCCTGGGCACCCCGTCCGGCCGCAAGCTGCACGAGTTCTACGTCAGGACCGACAAGCAGGTGCGCGATATCCACAACGAGGCGCGCCGTCTGGCCGACCTCAAGAGCGGCAAGCCCGCCCAGGGTGAATCCAGCGAGGCTCCTGCGCCTGGTAGCGCAGAGGCCGGCAACGTTGTCTCCGAGCCTGTCCCCGCCGCCACGCCTGCTCCGGCTACTCTGCCCACGGGTGAGGCTCCTGCTGCTGGCACCGCGGCTCCTGCGGACCAGAAGGCATGAATAAATTAACATGTGATCATGGTCAATCGCAGATGTGTTTCCAGTTAAGCGTCTTTTCCAATCTGAAAGCGTGTTGATTACCTTTCTGTTCGCATAATGACGATAACCCTCGTGTATTATTGAACATTCTTTAATGTGTTGTTATTCAATTGAAACTGTCTGGGACATGTCTCTGTTCTGAGTATGGGTAGCTAGTTGATTCTAATATACCTGATTTGTTTGATTTGGTATCTCGACTTGATCCTGGTGCCTTGACCACGACTCGGTGTAATGCTGTCCCTGACCTAAATAAGGGCATGAGTAACAAAAACCACAGCACGACCTACATCCAACAAAATCAAAACATACTTCGTACAATCAAAAAAGAAACCACCCAACCGATGAAAAATAAAATCAAATTATTAATTTACATCACTCATGCATTGACCCTAGCCATAACCTATCATAACATAGAAACATCACATCACAAAAGATAACCCAGATAAATCAGTTCCCAGGCCCCTTCGTAAACTTCTTCGCCTCCACATCCTCCAAGATATGCTTCGGGTTACTCGACAGACCACCGCCCTGCTGCGACTGGTCCCCCGAGGAAGAGGACGAGGAGTCCTTGTACTGCGGGTTGATGTTTCCCGACGAAGGGGGTTCTTGCTGCTGCGCGGCGGTTTGGCGGTCAGGGGAGGGCGATTGGCGGCCTTGGTTGGGGGCGGACATTTTGATTTGGTTTGTTTGGTTTGGGAGGGCTTTGCGGAGGCATTAGTATTTGTTTTAAGGGATTGTTTTTGTTGTGTTGGTTTGGAGGGGAAAAGGGTTGAAGAGGGATGGTGAGAGGTGTGTACATACTTCGAGAGATTAGATCCGTAGATCGAGTGGAATATATATAGATAGTTTGGTATGTAGATAGACAGATAGAAATTGGTCAACGGGAAGATATGAAAAATAAACGCAGAGCAATTGGAAAATCCAAACGATTAAATACTTCCTCGCCATCCTAGGGTTCAGTGGTAGTCATCATCATGACGTTTGGTTGTCGTGACCGGGTCCCCACCCAAACCGGTGAGGTGCCCAGTGCCCACGACAGCTCCTTTTACAGAGTAAAGCACAGGCAGTCGGTGGCTGCATTGACCGGGAACCCGATAAGGAAGAAATGGGTAAATTGACGTCTTGTCTTGTCTTGTCTTGGCGGGTCGAGTCTACATACTATCTTCTGTACAGTAGGATGGAGGTATCCTGACTACCGGAGAGGCTGGATGGATGGCGTCATCGCTGCTGGGTCACGTGCACCGATCACCGTCTCCTGCCCAGTGCGCAGTTTAGCTCAGTACTGTCTTTCTGATAGTCCCACGTATGAATATAGAATAGACTATATAGAATAGCGAAATCAACCGGCCCAAAGTCAGTCGCCTCATGGTAATGAACAAATGAAGATAAACAAAAGGTAGATAGAGAAGAATGCATGCAAAAAGTTCATTCACAGAATTAAACTAAATTTGGGGAATCAGAATCTTGTAAATCTGTGCAATACAGAAGATATGGAAAGAGGACGAGAGAGACAATGGGACTTTTAGAAAGGATATCAGCAGTCGATAACCGCGAGGTTTGAATCGTCCAAAGAAATGTGAAAGAAAACGATCTAGACAACATGGAATATCAAGGGAAAATGATAAAATGGTGAAGACAAGAAGAAAATGAAAAAAAGAAATACGTGTCCAGCCAGCGCCCAAAGGAGACATCCAAACTGGATTAGCTAGCTTATTTTTTATATCGTAAACTCAATGACCCCAGCCAAAGCCAACAGGCTCATCTCGTTGACTGGCTGGTCTTGTTTTTTTTCTCAAAGGTATTTTTTGGGTTGCTTGTTCGTTCTTAGTTTTGCTCTTTTTTTCTTTCTTGAATCCTCCGTTCGCTTTTTGGACAGCCACTTTTTGAATGCCTTTTAGTTCCCATTCGTTTGGAGCGCTGCAGCAGCTTCGGCGTTCGCCAGGGCCTTCGCATCCGCCTCGTGGAACACAGCCTCGATCACCTGTTGCTCCTCCGGGTTGAGAATCGTCGTCAGGTTGTCATAAAGTTGTGGTTGCTCCTGCTTGAGGTCTGCGTGGGAAGACAGTTAGCGGACAATTCATCTGGAAACACTACTGGTAATACATACTCAGGAAAACCTGTTTGAACAGGCCGTAAGGCTCGATCTTATCCAGGGGTGTCTCCAGGAGACTCTCCTCGTCCAATTCATCTTCGTCGTCATCGGCAAAAGAGCCGAACTTCTGCGCCTAAACCCCTCGTCAGTATACGCAATGGAAGTCGGCGTGTAATGCTTTACTAACCTCCTTGTTCAAGAAATCAAGATACGCGGCACCTTCGTCGGCGACGTCGCCATCGAACGGAGCCTCGGTTTCATCCTGATCGGTCCATTCGATCTCACCATCCCAGTCGTTGTCTTCGTCAACATCGTCACCCTCGTCGTCGAACGTGAAGTCGGATTCTTTCGTCGCATCCTCGCGGTCTTTAGAAAAATTCATTAGTACAACATCTAGGCAGATAGGGGAAAAAAAGGGGGGGGGGGGGGGGGGGGGGGGGAACGTACTCTTCAGAGCAGCTGGCAACGTCTGGAATAGGCGGACAGCTCCCTGCAGCAGTCGGGGCCAACCCTGTTGCACGCTCGGCGGCACATCACCAGCCTTCAACGTCAACAGGGAGCTGATGGCGGCAATCGACAGCTTCTTGTCGTGAACACGTCGGAAGTTGTCGATATTCGAGAACCAAGTGCTGAAGAACTTGTTCGTCCAGCCGTTGGACTCCAGAACCTGGAGACTCAGCACGGGGTTGTAGTAAATGGCGTTGATCACCATCTCCATCAGGTGAATGCGGTAGGACTTGGTCTTGGTGTCGCCAGCGTCAATGACCCGCATAGGCAGCTCAATGAAAACCGGAAGGTACTGGTCGATGTAACCGCGCAGGTTCAGCATCACGGTCTCGGCCAGCTTGCAGCCGCATATCCGGTCCACACCACCAACCTTCTGGTCGCTGAAGATGTCCTGGACCATGCCAACAACAGCCCCAAGGTACGCCGGGTTCTGGACCATCATTTCAGAGCCATAAGCCACGTAGTTGTCCAGGGCGGGCAGCATATCTTCCAGGTAGAGCTCGGCACCGGCCTTGAAGGTCTTGTGGATGAGCTCGAACGCTTGCCACATGGTGGGCGAGATCGACTTGGAGGCGAATGTGCAGCTGTCGATGATCTCGAAGATCTCATTGTAAAGGTCGTACAGCTTGTTCTCGAGCGTGATGCTAATCACGGGCATGAGAATGGTTTCGAGGTGCAGGAGCACGTCGGGGGTGCTCTCGAGGGTGAGGATAAGAGTGCCGATGGTCTGCAAGACACCCAGAGCAGTGATACTCTTGTCATCCAAGAAGTCGCCATAGGCGTCCTCATCGCCCTTTGCAGCGTTTCTCTCCAGAAGCTCACCGACAATACGCATGTAGGTGTCCCGGAGCTGCTCGCTGAGGGCCACGGCAAACGGCGTAAGTTCGGCGGAGAAGACCTCAACAAAGTCCTCCATGACGTTAGCCAAAGCGTCCACGTCAACCTCGTTGGCCAGCTTAAGCAGCTGCTGCATGATCTGGGGGATGTTTTGCTGCATCGAGGTCCTGATGATATCGTGGCGGATGAGAGGCTGCAAGGCAAGCGCCGCCTCGACTCGAACGGGGAGCTCGGGATCCGTCATCGACTCCAGAATGTTGCGGTAGATGATCATGAGGTTGTTGGGGTCCTGGAAGTCGAGCTGCTCGAACTTCTCCAGCGTGTCGCAGGCACGAGCTCGGAGGAAGCCGTGGGGAGACCGGAATTCAGGGAAAACGTGACGGACAAAGAAGTATTCGACCTGGTCGGCGATGGGGCTCTTCTTTCCGAGAATAACGGAGGCAAGGGAGCCGATCATGCGCAGAGCACCCTCCTTCTCCCGAGGCAACTTCTGGTCCTCCGGAGCAGCCTCGTACTTGCTGACGACACCGTTGACGAAAGTGAGGATCGAGAAGGTCTGCTTCTTGCGGTTCTTCGTAAGGGCAACCAGGAAATTCGTAGCCGCGACATCGGGAGCCGAAACCTCCTCGTAGAAGTTCAACTTCCGGTGGAGGTACTCAGACGGGTCGGTCTGGAACAATTCAATGTCTTCATCCGACTGGCACAGGATGGGGAAAATGAAATGCGCGATCAGGTTGTCCATGTGCGGTTTGAGGTGGTCCCACATCGCCTTCGGCTTGACGCATTCCTCCAAGTAGACCAAGGTGTAGGAGAGAGCCGGGTTGCTGAGCCACTGGCCCTTGGACACCCATTTTTCGATTTCTTGTAGGTATCCCTTGAGAATCTCCGGGGCGAACGTAGTGATAAAGGCCTTGCCGTATTGCGTGTAGTCAGGAGTGCTGGACTTCGTCATCGTCGTGGGGTTTCCATATCTGGGGAGTCAAGGATTAGATTTGAAAACATCTTTGGCCCTGAGGGTTACCCACCGGATGAAGAGACGGTTCAAGTTGGCGTACGACCACTTCTTACACTTCCACCAGTGGTTCAGTTCCCTCTCTTCCTTCGACTCCAGCATGGAGCTGGCGGGAGGGTCCTTGGCAATGATTCTCAGGAACAACGTGCACCAATCAACGGTCGCTTGTTGCGTCTGCAGGAACGGCGAAAGCTCAAACTAAATATCATCACCAGTCAGCTCCAAAACGTTCTCCCACCACACCGCCGACTCGACTCCCTTCGGTATTCTTCCGGTCCTACTCACGTAGATAGCATGCTTATATGATTTAACGACGATCCGGAGCATCTCCGCCGCCTCGATACTTGTTTCATCGACCAGCTTCAATCCGATGTTGAGCAGTTGAGGGAACGAGTGCTCGACGATCTTATCGAATTCCTCTCGCTTTTCTCCGGCCTTGAATCGGTAGACGCGGCAGATGGCCAATAGACACTGCAAGCCGGCGTAGACCGAGTTTGCGTCGTTGGTCGACAACAGCTGCAGGGTGATGTCCAGGAAACCCGGCCACTGTTCGGGGAAATCATGCTGAAGGATCTTCTGGAGGAGCGGAACCAGCTGCGCGCGAACGTTCGGCGGCGTCGAGGCCAGCGCCGGGATCAGCCTCTCTCGGAATCCGGGTTTCTCCTCCTCAGGGATAGGGGTGCGAAGCGGGCTTTCTTCGACAGGGGACCAGCCACGGTTGATTCGGTTTTTCAGGTAGACACCGGCTACAAGGGATTCATCGATTAGTTCGGGAACGAACGCCTTGACTGGGACGATGGCAGGAAAAACAGCGACAGGTTTGAGAGGGCACACGCACCGGAAAGTTGGACGGCATTGTTCTGTTCCCCCTGCAGAATATCCAACAGCGCATTTATGAAGCCAGGTTGAGTCTCGGCCTACAGGAAAACATTCGCGGACAACGAGTAAGTACTCAGACGCCAAAGAGTTGAAGGACCATATGTTGACGAAATCCCACACATACATATTTTAGATCAATTTCCGCCTGACGCCGATTATCCGCATTCGCATCCAGCGTAGACTGTATACGGTCCCGAAGAGCTGTGACATCCATCTCGCACCAGCAACTGCCCCCAGCGACCAAATTCCAGCTCCGAATAGATTGATTAAGGCCCCGTTACGCAATGGTGAGCCGGAAGGTTGAAGGGCAAAGGAGGAAGCCAAGGGAGAGGGGGCCCTAGGCGATTCGAAAGAAAAGTAGCGGGGAAGATATTAGTTAGGGAGGAGGGCAAGATTGCAAAAGTGCACATTGGGTTTGTTGGGTTTGGTTTGGTTTTCTCGTGGATTTTCAAGCGGTGCCCGCCCCGCGCCTGTGGCAGCTAATCAGAGCCCTCGCCGCCACGCGCGGTAAGAGAATTTTCCTTTGCAATTGTTTTTCTGCCCCGGAAAGCCTCTCCGTTTTGGATTTTGGGAACCAAGGGTCGAGGCAGGTTGAAAGAAAATTTGATCAAGGGAACTTTCCTTGAATTTGTTTCTTGTCTTTGAAATCGGTTCTTTATTCCCGGACGCCAGGGTTGGGAAATGAAGTGCCCCTACATACATACTTAGGTAAAGGTGCATAGTACAACAATACAACATCCGCCGCAGACGAGGGATCAGGCAGAAACTTCCCAACTAGGAAGTCAACATGGCATCAAGGCCAACCGGCAGAAAAAGAAAAAAAAAAAAAGGCCGTTTCGTCCCCACGTGGTTCCCGCGGTTATCCCAAATTCAATCCTTTCATTTCTCATTGTCTCGTTCTAATGTTTGTATCCGTACTTTGTACCTATCTACCGTATTCCCTCCTAACACACTCTCTCCGACCGCTTCACCGCCCCCTACATATACAAAGATGCCGCAAAAATCACATCCCTCTTGATCTGCTCCTGCGCCTGTTGCATCTTGGTATATAATGTAGGATCTCCAACCAATTTCGCCGCATTCTTCACCTCCCGACACGTCTCATCCAGTCGAGTGATGGTTCGCACAATTGTGCCTTCCATCACGTCGGTTAGATCCGTAATGCGATTGAACGACATGCCTCGCGCCCACTCGTAGACCACCTCGGCCAGACCAAACCGGGGCTGACTGGCGAAGTCATTGCTGTCTTCACTGGACTGAATCACCTGGTATTGGATCTGGAAATCATTCACCTTCTCGGAAATCCGAACAATGGCTTCCTTGCCCTTCTCCAGTCGAGGTGTCAACGTAGGAACATTTTCTGTTTTCTCTTGGAAGACAAAGGCGGATAGCAGGGCGACAATCTCCTCGGGTTCGTACTCGGCCAGCACGTTTTCGAGGATGAGTTCCGTGAGGACCAGCTCGTCAGCCGAATGAATCTATTAGTGGTATGTTAGCGTGATAAAGTTGTTTCTGATAGGTAGATCTCCAGAACGCACCTCACAGGCCACCTTTCCTTTCAGCTGCACCCGCGACTGCTCATCGATGAAGCCCAACTCTCTCAATACCTGAATCCGCTGCTCATAGTCGGGGAGAAGCTGCAGGTTTTGGTCGGACATGAGCTGCTTCAATTGCGAAATATTCTCCTTGACCTGCCACTCATCATGTTGCATTTCAAACTTGGACACCGTCAGTCAGAGAAGTTCGATGGAGGGGGAAGGCTCAACTCACGTGCTTCAAGAAACTGGGACATTGCAAGCACCGGCAAGATTGAATGATGTTCGCCTGCGCTTGGCGTTTCTCCAAAATATCCCGCACTTGTAGTTCCTTGATTCGAGCCCAGTCCAGCTCGTCCCAGACAGGGCTTGACCACGAGGCGCATACTTTCGACAACTCTTTGTCCGCAAACTTAGCCGCCTCTGTATTCTTCTGTCAGTCTTGGCCTTACTTTGCTACGTCGACCGCAACCCACCTTTCTTGATGTTGAGGTACCAGATAGGGCCCCCAAGTTTGACCAGGGTGTTGGTAACACACTCAAGATCCGTAAGCGGGATCTTTTGCACTTTGAGATTCATATCCGCCGAGCGAGTCGGAAGCTGTTGCAGCAAATCGCGGAATTTAGGCAAGAAAGGAAGAATATCGCTCGGATGGCGCTTGCTCCCCAATTTGCCAATTTCCAGAACTTGGATGTTGGGTGCAGAGCCACCGCTGACTCCTTCTTTGACAATGATACCAGCAGTCCGGTATCCTTCCTGTAAACTTATCAGCCAAACTGAACTCCAAAGACGAGGGAGAAAATGAACATGGTTTCCTTACCTTTCGGTATACGATCAGTCTCTTGGGCACAAGAAGACGTTTACCCACCGGCGACGAGAGCAACCCGACATTAAGCTCTCTGGTTAGCTTCTCGTACTCGATTGCCGCGTCATGACAGGCAGCAAGGTCAATGTCACAGATGTCACAAGGCTCGCGTTTGATTTTCGCCAGACTAGCCTCTGAGAGTTGGACTTGCTTCTCATGCTCCGGTAGTAAAGCTTGAGTGGCGTTCTCACTGAAACTTCGCTTGATCATTTCTTCGATCTTTAAAGCTTCCACGCGTAAAAGGTTCAAAATCATGTTGTACGTAAGTCGGAACTGAGATCGAAGCTTGGTCGGATCGCCGAGAATCATCTTTCTCAAGGCACCGGCAGGAGGCGCCTCTTCTCTACCCCCGTTGACGATTATCACATAACCGACATTGTCAAGACCTCGTCGTCCAGCACGTCCAGCCATTTGTGTGTATTCGCCAGGCAACAGATCTCTGAAGCCCTTGCCATCATGTTTCCGGAAACCAGAGAAAACGACAGTTCGAGTAGGCAAGTTGAGACCCATAGCAAATGTCTCTGTGGCGAACAGAACCTTGACCAATGATTTAGCAAAAAGAATTTCGACAATTTCCTTCATGATCGGTAAAAGACCGCCGTGGTGAACCGCAATTCCCCTGCTCAGCAAGTCGCGAAGCCGAAGCACCTGTGGAAGACCTCTGTCCTCGGGCTTTAGTCGAGTCAGTGATTTCTCGATAAACATGTGCACCAAACTCTTCTCCGAAGCAGTGCAAAAGTCCTGATTCGAAAGTGAGTTTGCATTTTCTTCACATCGTTTCTTGGAAAAGACGAAGATGCACCCTGGAAGCAAGTTTTCCTTTCGCAAATGCTGAACGAGCTGTACCCAGATCGTCTTATCCTGCGCGGCTGTAGTCCGTCCTCCACCCCGTCCTGTGCGGGCAATATTTCCAGAGCCTCTAGTTGCCTGTTGTCCTCTGCCCCTTTGGCCGGCGCCTCCACGTTGGCCATTGCCTCGGGGGCCACCTCTGCCAGGGGCTTGTCCGCGTCCTCTTCCCTGCTGCCCACCTCTCTGTGCCTGGGATTGGGCCTGTGCCTCGGCTGCCTTTTGAGCCTTGATTTTATCACGGCCCGAGATAACATTGTCGGCCTCCTTCCAGCCATTCTCGAGGAAACGCTTGTTGGAGTCGACGATCTTGTACTTGTCTTTCCCGGCCCAGAGATAGTGTTCCAGAGGAACGGGTCGTTTGGCGGTTGAGATAACGTAGATGTCCTTCTTCTTTGTGCGACCAACCCACGATGCGAACTCCTGCGTATTAGGAACGGTTGCAGATAAGAGGATCAGAGTGACATGCTCGGGGAGCATGATAATCACTTCTTCCCAGACAACACCTCTTTCAAGGTCGTTTACATAATGCACCTCATCAAAAATCACAAACTCGACGTCCCTAATTAGGTCCGCGCCGCGGTAGAGCATACTTCGCAGAATTTCAGTGGTCATGATGAGGCAGCTTGCTTCGGGGTTGATCTGGACATCGCCAGTCAAGATGCCAACATCGTCGAACTCGTTGCGGAAATCTCTGAATTTCTGGTTGCTCAGAGCTTTGATAGGAGATGTGTAGATGGCCTTCGTCATGTGCTTGGCAGCCAGCGCGATCGCATACTCAGCGACCACGGTTTTTCCAGCCGACGTATGTGCTGCGACGAACACTGAATCGCCTCCTTCAAGATGATAAACAGCTTCTTTCTGGAAAGTATCCAGCTCGAACGGCCATTCTCGAGCCATATCCGGAACGAGTTCATTGAAATTAGGGATTTCCTTGTTGACGTCAACAACGTGCGCCCATTCTTTGCCGCCTTTCTTCTGAGCGCCCACAAAGAGCGGCGCGTGGGGTTCCAGAGCCGGAAACTCAACAGGGAGAAGAGCATCGATGTCCTCTTCTTCCCCGCTGAGCTCCCCTTCATCTTCCACCTTCACCCCTCCACCGTCCGAGGCCGTCTCATCATGATCGACATGAAGGTCAGTCTCCTCTTGTTGAAGAGTATCTTCAACCTCCTGGTCAGCCTCTGCGGACTCTTTGGACTTGGCCTGGTCGAACTTGAGGCCCCTGGTGAAACCCGGAGCTATTTCTAGTAGGCCGTCTTCGCCTCCAAAGTTAATGATTCTATCCAGACCGGTCTTTTGGCTACCACTTCGGGGCTGTCCTGTCGTTTGGTTCTCGGATTCCATTTCGGCAATTGCTTCCACGCCATCCAAACCACCTGGAGCAAATGGGAAGAAACCGGCTGCACCTCTGACAAAATCCGCACGCCCAGCGGGTCGACGAAGAAGAGATGTTGAGTTCTTTGCATTCGCGCTGCTAGCAGGGACAGTCACCTCATGGTAGCCTGTGACCCGTCCTTCTAAACCTTCGCGGTCGAAACGGACAATAGTCCGTGTTTGGGTGCCAGCGACCTCAAACAGGTCTGTGTAGTCTGTCGACACATCCCATCTCCTGCGATAACGATCAGTCATAGAACATTCAACGTAGCGTATCTCAAGGGAAGATGAGGAAAAGATAGCATCGAATAAAGAAACAACAAAATCGCATAGAGAAGTAAGTACAGTAAAGGAGGGATGATCCACAAACCTTTGCAGACGATTCAGCCATTCCGGACTAAATTTCGACGATGGGGCTAGAAACTCATGCTCCAATTCAGCCTTGAGGTCGGCAGCGTTCTGGCGAGTCTTTGGTCGCGGGCCGGGGTTCTGGTATGAGCCGTTCTCTTCCTCCAGAAGCCGCGCATCAAACGCCGATCCACTAAGCTGCTGCGTGTTCAGACTCAACTCGGCGAGAGTTGAGGCAAGACCTTCAGCCATCGTAGAAAGAAGAGGGGAGCCAACTATGTCAAATGGATGATGTATCTGTCAAGAAATCAAGATCAATGCACTTCGAGAACAGGCTACTAGAACATGAAGTCTAGTGCAAATTGACTCAAATTGCAGTCTTGTACAGTGCCAAGTGGAGTAGTGTGAATGGTTTGAATGGGGATGTGGAATGGGCGATGCTTTGCCAACATTCACAGGTTGGCGTGGTTGATTGAAGGTGTGAGCGTGAAGAGGCAGTTGGGCGGCATTTAGCGGCGGTACCGCACACAACAACTTCCTGTTCGCTGACGTCGTGTGTCGTGTGGGGACAGCTAAACTGGAAGCAGTCGCTTCTGATCGATCGATTTCAATTGCTTCACGGAACTCTCCTTTGACTTTTTGCTTTTTACTTTCTTCCTTTCTAATTCTAGCCACGTTTGTCTGTCTATTTTTTTTCCCGGCAATTCTTGAATTTGCAAACACTCTCGACCAAGACAAAGGAGAATCGCAACTTTTATTCATATTAAATGGTACCTGAGTTAATGGAAATATTCCTTCACAATTTCCTTGACGCCAGAGGCAGATGCAATATAATAACCCAAGCCGATGATTTGTACTGAGCGCTCCCGAAAATGAGAAAAAAAGACAAGAAAAGAAGAAAGTACAAAACACTCCCTGAAGCCATAATTACCTGTGCTTAAAAAAATATCTGGAATGTCGTGGCTTTCGAAGCGTCCAATCCCTCTCGCAGAAAGGGGCATAGAGGTCCATATTAAACATGGATAAAAGGGAACAGATGAAATGGTTGCAAAAAAAAAGAAAAGAAAAGAAAGAAAGAAAAGAAAGAAAACAAAGAAAGTTTGGCATCAAAATGAGGAAAAAACGAATATCAACCGGTCCATCGTGAAAGACATAAAGAGGAAAAAGAGTCATAGACGGCCAAGTGAGAGGGCGATTTTATCGGTAACTGACAACAGGAAATGTTTTCCGGTCTCTTATGTTGAGCTGATATTCAAAAATCCCATCCACCGTGGCAATATAACTATAAAGCAATACGAGTCAGCTATTTTCTCTCGAAATCGGTGAAGCACCAAGATGAACTTACAGCGTTCTGCCATCCGCGCCCCAGCCGATTCCAGCTGTGCTACCTGTATCTTGGTCTCTATACGCAGCACCCAAACTTCGATCGGGTAGTTCATCCAAGATACTCCGCATCCACCGTGAAGAGCGAGACTGGTCGGAACCTAACACTTGTTGTCGATACCGTTCGCGTTGGTTGTTTCGGTTGTGTGCTTCATTAATTATTTGTCGCTGACGCCGAAGTCGTTCTAGCGCAGCAACATTTGTCTCCAACTCGGAGCTAGAGAGGCGCGATGGCTCATGTCGAGCCTCCGATGTACCATCTTGCCTCCCAGATCGTCTAGATCTGGAATGAGATTGCTGGTGTGTCCTCGGTCGCAGAGTAGAGTCCGTGGCTGTAGTCGAATAGTCGAAATTAGCCGTCGGGCGACCAATCATGCGCAGCCGCTGATTCGACGCGCTGGCCTCGTTATTGGAACTGCTGGGATCACTAGAACTCGACTCGCTTGACCGCTGCGGATGTTCCAATGTAGCAGAATGTATCTCGGAAGGCGAAGCGGTCCAAGTGAGTGTTATACTTGGCTGTGGATCTAGGTTTGGATCGCTCGTCTCCTGCGTACGATTTCCCGCTTCCGGATTGTCGTGCGACAACACCACAGAGCTTTGTCGCCGTACATTCTGCCTTCGATTGAGAGCGGCCGCATGAGCAGGATGTGTTTCTCGCGGCATTTCAGGCGACGGTTCGCCTTGACGAAGGGGAGAAGTGGGACGAGAAGCACGATTGGGTACATCTGTGGAACCTTGGAATCGTGAACGAGGTACAGGCTGTGGATTCGCATTAGTTCTGGCCCGTCGCTCCGCCAGACCATCTTCCAACCTCGACGTCCAGCGCGCCGTGTTCAAAAACTCCACGATGAGCCTTTCCCTTTCGGAGAGGTCGTGTATTAAGCTATCGCGCAACGGCAGATTGTCAGACGAGGCTCCCCTGCGTTCATTTGACGGGTTCTCGGCCGAATCGAGTATCGCCCTCTGTGCTGCGTCAACTTCATTGCGTGATTCTAGGCTGAATCGACTATCCAGATCGAACCCCAAAGCCACAGAATCATCTAAGAGAGGCTCGGTCCGGATTTCCTGGATGCCGGGTTCGTTCATATCCAAATTGAGGATCTGCCTACGCACAAAGGCCTGACGAACATCTGCAATCCCAGCCCGTCCTTTCTCCTCCAGCCACACTAAGAGATCCCAAGGCTCAGGGGCAAACGTCATACAGCGCACAGCACCTCCATTGCAACTGGGCCTCGAAGAATCGAAATGGCATATAACCGAACTTTTGGCGTTTGGCTCACATCGAAGTGTCTTGACGTCAAACACGGTAATAACTCCAGACTGCGATCCGATAGCGCACAGTCGACTGAATTGCGAGAATGCGATGCTGAAGCAGCATCCGTCATCAAACCGCGTTCCAATATCCATCTCCACGCAGCTGAGCAGATCCCAATTCCAACCAGAGAACCTTTCGCCGCTTTCTGTCAGAGCGGTTGAATTGGGGTCGCGACTGACGTCATAAAAATAGGCACGGGTCTCGTCACCCACAGCGGCGAGAATGCTGGAGTCCGGGGACATTATCGCATAGTTCATACATGCTTGGTGGTGTAGGATTTTGATGACTTTCGATCGGGTCAGAGAATAAATGGTAACCGTCTTGTCGTTGTTACTGTTGGAGGAAATTAGCACGCTGCGCTGAGATTGGCGTGTCGCCGCATTCGTACCTCAGGACAGCAATATCTTCATCCGTCGATCCCTTCGCATCTCCAGGCAAACGATGAATGGTCACCGAATTCACGATACTGCCACCAAATTTATGCAATCTCACGTCTGGCATCTCCCTTCTCCCAGCATCGCGGGAAGCTCCGGGCTCCTCTCCTGCCAGCCACGAAGGGGAAGACCTCGAGGACGACTCAAGGTCAATTGGCAGAGCGCTATCCACATCCGATGACTGGGAGATCGTTGAGCCAGCGCCATCCTGGACGCGCCCATTCCGATCGGTGACGCTGACAAACGCGCATTCGCCGTTATCCGAACCCCCCACAGCTACCCACCCGTTACCAGCAGCAAGGCATTTCGGTTCGAACGGTATGACTGCCAGAGTCTCCCGCTTTTCGGTGGAAATGTGGACCGCGTATATGACCCGGTCGACGACGACATAGATCCTGTCGGGGTCGGCGGTGCTAATATAATTTCGGAGTTGTTGGTGGCTATGGGGGCCATTAGCTCAGATCCGGTCCAGCAGGTATAGATGATGTAACCGGGGAGGATGCACGAACAAATTCGGGATCTTGAAGGGGAAGAAGCGACGCTTCGTCGGGAGGATCAAGGACTCGGTCGGATGGTACCTAGATAAGCGAGACAAGGGTCAGCTGGCGGTCGAGACAGACCATCACCTGCAGGAAGAGTCAAGACCAACGAGAGCGCAGAATCCGTTGTCATGGTGGTTTTAGTGTTGGGATCAACGTGACATTGTCGGAATTACGGCTAGAAGGAGGCACCGCCGTTGGGAAGGCGACGGGGTTGAAAGTCAAAAGGCGAAGGAAAGATGACGGTGACGGCGGCGGAGAGAGGAAAGACGGAAAGGTCACAAGGGGATAATTAGGTGGCGATGATCAGTTGGGTGAGATAGAAAGGTGAAGGTTGCATATAGCGCTGCCTGCAGCTTTGCCGATAGGGAGACTAGCTCAAGGTAGCATACAGTGACTGGAGTTCAAGCGCCCTCCTTGTCGTTCACGACTTCCGGAGGGTCCTGACGGTTTGGAGCGGATGACGTAAGACATGACACCTTCAATCCGGGGAAAACTTTTTCTTGTCCTGCGGGCGAATGCGGTCGAGTCATTCGAGTCCTGCCGCTTTCAGTGCTCTGATGCTCTTTCTCGCCCGGCTCTCTGCTAGCTGATCTGCCGAATGCGTTTCGGTTTCAATCTCTTTGGTGTTTATGTTTATTTCAAGGTTCATCTGCCCTTGTAGTCTGTCGGTTCTGCTTGCGTGAAGCTCCCGTCGGACCACCACCCAATTTGCAAGACAGAAGACAGGAAGCATGGGCATGTGAGATCCTAGGACACTCTATGCTAGGATAATTCACCAATTACAGTTTATGGCGCCAGCGGATTCTGCATCTACCCGAATCGAGAACGCGCTCATCCAGATGATATGACAGAACGTGCATCGAAACTGGAAAATTGAATAATATATGCGAAGCCATCTCAAATATTGAGTTAGAAGGTTTATATGCTCTTGAAGATTTGGGGCTTGGTTTAGCTCATTGCCTATATGCTCGCCTCTGTATGCTTACCTCTGGAAGCTACCTACGGCTACCATTAGCTGTTTTGTGTCAATGAAAGCATAACCAAGGAGAGTGGAATGGCCTCGAGATGATCACGACCTTACTATTCATCATCAGGGCTTTCCATGCACATGGTCTATAGATGGGGGATTGACTACGTGGACAGGTAAATAGTCCATAGTTATTCAGGTTGTGTTAGTATATATATCGGTACCTGCATCCTTTTTCCGTACAACTCACGTCATTGGCCGAAGCTATATACAGATAGAAACGCACTCCCAGTGACAGACTATAATGTGATAATTTCTAAATAATGAATTATATAGACCATAACCTCTCTCTCCGTACATTGAACTGTAAGAATTCTCGGGAAAAGCTCGGATAAGGCAATAAACCACGAGTCCCACCCGGCATTGAGAGATGATGGCAGAAAATAGGAAAGCAATGGAGTGGCCTCCACCTTCAGCTTCCGGTAGACATGACTAACACGTAGTTAACTAGTTAGTTAACTAACAAGTAACAAAATGTTCTAGTAGCTAGTAGATACCTCCGGTCCACTGCGATCTTTGCCTCCGAGGAAAACAATCGGAGCTCCTCCCGAGTCCCGTGATTGGCTCGGTTAGCAGGCGGTCTACCGTATCAGACGCTGATTGGGCCTCAGGCCGGCCGGTTGCCCGTGATTCTACCAACTTCGACGAGCGGGCCGAAGCTCTCCGTGCAATTCTTTTTACGCCTGCTTTGCCCGTTTCCCTTCTTGCCTTCTTCTTCCTCCGCAAACACTTCCTCTCCATCCTCTCCTCTATTATCCTATCCCTTTAATCCACTCCATCCTCTCTCCCTCTTCTATTCTCCTTCGATTGAATCGATTGGAGCTTCTTGTACTTCTTTTTTAATTTCCTCTGTATTTTTTATCCCTATTTAATCTATCCGCAATGTTGTCCTCTCGCATCTCTCGCGCTGTAAGTTTCTTCACCTTGCGACAGCCATCGGCCAACATGCGCCTCAGCTTCAGACAAACTGACTGATCTTCTCTTCTAGCTCCCCCGCGCCTCTTCCATCGCTCGTCCCTCTACCTTCAGAGTCCCTACCACATCCTTCCGGAGATGGAACTCGACGGAAGGCGGCGAGGAGAAGGTGAAGGGCCAGGTCATTGGTATTGACTTGGGTAGGTTTTTGTCAACACATCAATAAAAAAGATGAATGCAAAGCTAATTGGAACCTATAGGTACCACCAACTCTGCCGTTGCTGTTATGGAGGGCAAGACCCCCAAGATCATTGAGAACACTGAGGGTAAGTGAAAATTTTTTTTTTGCTCCTTGATTTGGCGGTCAGAGCGCGGATCGGGAGCTTCCCGCCATTCGATGTCACCACTGTACTAACTTGAACGAAAAGGTGCCCGTACGACGCCTTCCGTTGTCGGTTTCGCCCAGGATGGTGAGCGCTTGGTCGGTATCGCTGCTAAGCGTCAGGCTGTTGTCAACCCCGAGAACACTTTGTTCGCCACCAAGCGTCTCATCGGTCGCAAGTTCACCGACGCTGAGGTCCAGCGTGACATCAAGGAGGTTCCCTACAAGATCGTCCAGCACACCAACGGCGATGCCTGGGTTGAGGCTCGCGGCCAGAAGTACTCTCCTTCGCAGATTGGTGGTTTCGTCCTCAACAAGATGAAGGAGACTGCCGAGAACTACCTCAGCAAGCCCATCAAGAACGCTGTCGTTACCGTCCCCGCCTACTTCAACGACTCCCAGCGTCAGGCTACCAAGGACGCCGGTCAGATCGCTGGTCTGAACGTCCTCCGTGTCGTTAACGAGCCTACTGCCGCCGCCCTTGCCTACGGTCTGGAGAAGGAGGCCGACCGTGTTGTCGCTGTCTACGATCTTGGTGGTGGTACCTTCGATATCTCCGTCCTGGAGATCCAGAAGGGTGTGTTCGAGGTCAAGTCTACCAACGGTGACACCCACCTTGGTGGTGAGGACTTCGATATCAGCCTTGTCCGCCACATCGTCCAGCAGTTCAAGAAGGAGTCCGGCCTTGACCTCTCTGGCGACCGTATGGCCATCCAGCGTATCCGTGAGGCTGCCGAGAAGGCCAAGATCGAGTTGTCCTCTTCCCTCCAGACTGAGATCAACCTGCCCTTCATCACTGCTGATGCCAGCGGTGCCAAGCACATCAACCACAAGATGACCCGTGCCAACCTCGAGTCCCTGGTTGACCCTCTGATCAGCCGCACCGTCGAGCCCGTCCGCAAGGCCCTGAAGGATGCCAACCTCCAGTCCAACGAGATCCAGGACATCATCCTGGTCGGTGGTATGACCCGTATGCCCAAGGTCACCGAGTCCGTCAAGTCCATGTTCGGCCGTGAACCCGCCAAGTCCGTCAACCCCGACGAGGCTGTTGCCATCGGTGCCGCTATCCAGGGTGCCGTCCTGGCCGGTGAGGTTACCGACGTTCTGCTGCTTGACGTCACCCCCCTCTCTCTCGGTATCGAGACCCTGGGTGGTGTCTTCACCCGTCTGATCAACCGTAACACCACCATCCCCACCAAGAAGTCCCAGGTCTTCTCCACCGCTGCCGACTTCCAGACTGCTGTCGAGATCAAGGTCTTCCAGGGTGAGCGTGAGCTTGTCAAGGACAACAAGCTGCTCGGAAACTTCCAGCTTGTTGGCATCCCCCCTGCCCACCGTGGTGTTCCCCAGGTCGAGGTTACCTTTGACATTGACGCCGACTCCATCGTCCACGTCCACGCCAAGGACAAGTCCACCAACAAGGACCAGTCCATCACCATCGCTTCCGGCTCCGGTCTCTCCGACGCTGAGATCCAGTCCATGGTTGACGATGCCGAGAAGTACGGTGCTCAGGACAAGGAGCGCAAGTCTGCCATCGAGGCTGCCAACCGCGCCGACTCCGTCGTGAACGACACCGAGAAGGCCCTCAAGGAGTTCGAGGACCGTCTCGACAAGGCTGAGGCTGAGCAGATCCGTGAGAAGATTGCCAGCCTCCGTGAGTTCGTTGCCCAGAACCAGTCCGGTGAGGGTACCGCCACCGCCGACGACTTCAAGCAGAAGACCGACGAGCTCCAGAACGCCAGCTTGACCCTCTTCGACAAGATGCACAAGGCTCAGTCCGAGCAGCAGCAGCAGTCCCAGGGCGGCGAAGCCGGCCAGCAGGGCGAGAACAAGGCCTAAATGTGCCAACCCTGAATCCGCTTGAAGGATATGGGTAACCCTGTATTTCTGTTTTCTTTCTTCGATTCCTAGAGACCCTTCTCTCTTCGTGAATGTTTTAACACGCATATGATATGTATACATACTTTGATAGCTTTTACTTGGTGTCTGGGGGTTTTCATTTCATTTCCTTTTTATTTTTGTCCGGATCTTCTGTTTTATCAACTCCCCCGCTTGCCTTTCATACCTCTTTGGCTGGTTGAGCACTTGTTTTTGGTTTTCCTTCTCTTTTCTTTTTTTTTTTTCGAGACAACCTTGTCTTACCATGTAACTTAATGACATAACGGCTGGGACCACAAAAAAATCAGGTTGTGGTGGGCTTGGGAGCGTGTGACAATAGAACAAGAAATTCTCCTCTCGATTTAATCAAAACCTTTTCCCCTCTCAACATGGACATGGAGTATCTCTGGCACTCTCCTTAGGACTTTGCCACAATGGAGTCGTAGTCTTACTCTGAAACCGTTGTTATCCCCAGGAGGTGGTTCAGTTGCCCACAACTTGTTGCTTCTGGAATCGCGTCGAATCGGCAGTGGGTCAATTACCAAAAAGTCAGCAACAGTGTTTACATTATGATTATTATTGTGATCCGTGAGGATTAGCTTGCTACCTCACCAGAATAGACTGGGAACCAAGGGACCCCATGTTGGTCTTCTTAACATCGATATTAATATTAATATATTGATTGATTAATATGAAGAGCACTCCATTCAGGGAGTATGCACCGGCCAAAGGCAAAAGTACTGATTCCATCCGCTAGTTCCTTTTTCACAAACAGCTGTGGTTTTGTGTCTTTATCCTGGCCAGCTAGCTAAACCAGTTGGATTCGAACTAGTTGGCGCCCAGGAGGGTTACTTCAATGATTTGGGACTGAGACCGTGGCGCTGTTTACTCCCTTCAGGATGATCTGGATGTCTGAGGTCATTAACCAAGATGATTATTCTCTGGAACATGCGGATATACACAGTCGAACCAGTAGTTAGAACCACTAAGGTGCAGACACTAGACACAAACACAGACACAGACACACAGACACACTTGCTTCCGCGTTGTCCTCTGCCTTTGCCAGCTGTTCATTCACCATCCCTACTAGTCTGCGGATGATCACAGGATGGACTCAATTTAATTAAATCCAAGGCCATTTAATCAACCGTTAGGGGCGAATCAGATCAATCGCCCTAGCTTACGGACCCCCTCCCCTAACGATGAAAAAGAAAAAACCCGCTCATCCAGAAGATGGTCCGTCAGTAGGCTGTCTGTCCATGTGGGTTGTGGATTTTTTTTTTTTTCTTGTACTTCCCTTTTTATTCTCGCTTTTCTCTTCTTCTGTCTTTCTTTAATTTCGCTATTATGTTCCCATTCTTTTTGCGACTTTTGGGAATAGAGATTGACGTTTTTCATTATGATAGTGATCTTTCTTGCTGGTCTAATTTAATTCTCCTATTCTAACTGGGCGCTTATTCCGTACTTTTTCCCATTCAAAAGAAAAAAGAAAAGAAAAAAAAAAGAGTAAGACTTGACCCTTGGCCCTGGGACTGACTGAGGAAATAACTCGTTTATGCTTCCAGACCAACCCTAGCCCGATGGGGTAATATAGTCATCATTTTAATTTGATTCTTACTTACGGAGTACTGTGTAGGAGTAGAATCCACTTCCCTCAGGAATCTCTCGGGTTAATACTTTTTTGTCAAGTCGAGACCTCAGTCGATTTCTGACTGTGTGCCGTTAGTTTTGATTTTAGTTTTTAGGTATCCAGGCTGACTTGACTTTGACCTGACACTGTGGAGAGGAGAGGGGCAGGAAATTCTTAGGACAGCAAATAGTCTGACGAAAAGAGGATCGGGAGGTTTGGTTGATTATTATTTGTTGGGGTTTTCTATTTGTAGATTTTTTTTCTTATTTATTTATTTTCGTTCGAAATATGACGATTCTTTGCTGTCATTAAGCTACTTTACTATTAGTATTCTCCCACTTGTTGTTCTTATAGGTAGTCATCCGGCTATGGGAGCGTGGAGTGATCATGTAACTCTCAGCTTGGGGATAGCTAATTAGAACTACGATGGTTATTTCCTGTCTGTCTCGATAGTAGTCAACTTCCTTGCATATACGGAATTACGGATAGCCTTTGAGCGATAGATGAAAAATCTTCCTGTTGGTTCTTGTTATTGGAGGGGAGGGATAACGATGTCATCGCTGCTTCTAATCACTAATCTGTTCATGCTCGAGAGCAATAGAAGAAATCCGCCCGCAGAATCCGGTTTTTTCCTTGGATTCGAAACCTCCATTGAGAACTACGGGGTAGTAGCACGTAGTTATCTATGTCCATAGTCACTCCATACAAATTACTGAACCGGGGTTGGGGAAAACCGTGAATCCCACAAGCACCATCCTGCAAGTATGATAGCCATCCATCTGTCGATGAAAAGAATTTTTCCTATTGGAATGTTAGATAGAAAGGGGGGGGTTGACAAACTTCTCAGGACGACCGACGAATCCTGGACGAGGGGGAAGGAGGGAAGGGGTGTGGGTGGGTAGGCGAGATGCACAGTTGGTGGAGCATGATATGCAGGATTGACAATACTTTTTGGACTTATCGATCCAGTCGAGGTGAATAGTTTGGAGAGTGGTTGAGCCTTGAGGAAAGCAGGGGCCTTCACACACGGTACGGCGTGGTTCCAGTATGGGGTAGTTGGTAGTTACTATTATTTTCTAATAGTCATGGCAATCGAAGGAATAGACTATCGCCGGAATCTACGGAGGAGAATCATAATAATGATGGTTAATGGCTATCTTCATTTATTAAAGTCCGTTAGGAGCCGGGGTTGGCATTTATTTGTCCTTACTATTTTATTGAGATTATGATTTTGTTCCAGACGGACAAGATGATCGGTTCCCCGGTCCATTGCCATCTGTACACACACTTGATTGACACTACATTACTCAATGTACACTCAACAGTTCACACAATGTACACTGATAAAGCATTCGACCTCGGCCATGACATGATCTAGGCAGAACATAACCAGTCAATCCCCAACAATTGGCGATGCCCACCTTTTTTTCCTGGTTTCTTATCGGCAGCACACATGCAACGGGGGGGGCTCCACCGGGGGACTTGCAGCAGCGGTGCAGCAGCCTGAACAAATCAACTGTGCACACAAATGCAGTCAATGCATTGCTCGAGGGAGGGTGGACAGAGAGTCAGAGACAGAAAGAAGTCCTCTACACCATAGACGTCGGAAACGACGATTCCGTCAGTCCTGGTTGCACTCCAGATTCATCGTGGAGAGACCCATGGATGTATCAACCGTCCGGCCCAAAAAAACCACAAGAAAACAAGAATAAACTTCAAGGGGGTGGGAAGAGAGACGGGACAGCAGGGGGGAAAAAAAAAAGAAGACGAGGCCAATTGATTAATCTCCAGCCCCATCGAACTTGTCCCGCCCAATTTGCGCGAGCCAGTGGGAATCGCTTCCTTTAGTTCGTGTTTTGCCCGCCTGCAAAAACGTCGCCTTTCATCATTCGTCGATCGCCGGTCTGTTAATGTACCTGTTCCAGGAATAATCATCGCGCTTTCTGGTCGTCTCCACTCGGTCCTTCACACTCCTGCTCGAGCTGCTCGACTCTCTCTGTCTCCCTGGTAGGAGGGGGGAGGAAGGCCTTTCTCCCTGCTGGAGGTCCCTCTTCATTCTTTAATCTCATTGTGCCATCTAAGACTGCGTTGTCCTTCCCCCCCTTCTTGTGTTTTCTTGTTCAGTATCTTCCAGCAATGAGGAAGAATGGATGATCGATTTTATTCTACGGGTACGTACCTCGGTCTCCTACTGCAATCCACTTTCTGCGTCACTTCCACAACACTACCGATCTTCTATGATCTTCCACATTCCTTTTCATTTGAATTGCGTTACATACAAGTAGTAGATCATCTGGATCTCATTGGTCCCCGGTCGCTAAAAATAAAGTAACGAGTTCAAAGATGACTGAGTAAGTGAGTATTATTCAAGAATCCGAGTCTGAACGAAGACCCGAGAAATCTTCCTCCTTGGCTCTCTCCACCCTTGCCTGTGGAAGGGAGAGGCAGCTCGCATGCAGTCCAGAATCCAGATATGGGGATGATTCAAAAACTGTCACTACGGAGTACTGTGTGCACTTCACCACCAGATCTACGGAGGACTTGACAAGTTCAACGCACAGTGCTCCCTACCATTTAACTTTCTGACCTTCCCCTCCTTCACGGGCAAAAGCACAAGGGATGCTGATAAATCACAATTATAGATCGATGAATTGATTATGTTTGTCACTAGTGTGACAGTAGTGGATTTCTATTCGGAGAGCGTCTAGACTACCACAACGCATTGGGTGATTGGGTAAGTAGCAAGTAATAGTCGATGACGGATGTACACATGAATGTGCCGACATGGATTAGTTGAATATTCTTATGAATATGATGGGGACAGAAAGACGACAGAGGACACCTGAATATTCTGTTGTACGACCAGACGATTATTGACAATTATTACAACATCTGCTCACCAAAACCGGACCCATGGCGATGTTTGATTCCCACTGACCGCAAGACGCTAGCTTTCTGGCTAGTTGCTTTAGTCCCTTGGAGCTGTCCCAATCGATCTGGTTTTATTTATTTTAGTCTTTCGTGTCTTTTGCTCATTTCTCTTAGTCTGGCTTCCCGAAGTACTCTTGTTTTTTCTTTTTCTTTTCTTTTTTTCTTTTCTTGTCCTCTTATTTTTAATTTTTTTCCTTTCTCAAAAAAAGACAAACACTAGCGGATTTTTGGCTCCAATTCCATTCTATTCGCGATTAACCTTCTTTCCCCTCGTCCCTTCCCCCCCTCCCTTCTCGTCTTTAGAATTCATTTGGATGATTTTCCAATCCATTAAATCCCTTGCGTGGCCGTTGAACCACTTGCATCGAATCCCTTCATCTTGACTGGACGAGCGGGAAATTTCCCAGTTACTTTCCTGAGGGCAACAACGGGCAGGGTGCAGCGCGCTAGCGGTTTGTTTTTCTGCTTCCTTTTTCTTGTCTGGTTCTTGTAGTACTTTCTACTGTACTCTTCTTCCTGCAGAGTAAGTCTTGATTCCTGCCTTGCCTTCAAACTCACACCCCGATCTATTCGTCCATGCTTCTCTCCGCACTTCTTATCTTCCTCTCGCCCTGCCTCTTATAATTGCTCCCTTTGCTCACTCGCCCTTCATTCTAATACACCGTACTCTTTGCTTCCGTTTAATCCCCTGTTCCCCTCGGCTTCCTGACTAGCTCTCCTTGTTTTACCTTTTTTTGCTTTTTCTTTTCTTTTCTTTTCTTTTTTTTGCTCTTTGCTTTTTTGTTTCAAAATTTTTGTTTCCTCCTTGACATAATCTTCACATTCTATTCTCCTACCCTTACTTCTTCTCGTTTCTTAATCTCCCTTTCTCCGCGCTTCATTCCCGACAACCGTCTGCATGTACATGCCCCCCCCCCCCCGAAGAAACCCAGAAGTAAACCTTCAGAGCACTAATCGTCGAATTGTCTCCAAATAGGGTCGTCATGACAGTTGCCGCGCCACCTGTGGCTCCGGTCCATGAAAATGGACTCAACGGAGTTCCGCATGGACACCATGTGAACATGAGCCTGCCACGTTTCCATCCAATCGCCATGAACCCGACTCAGATTGCACACCATGAACACATCATGCAAAATCACCATCACTTCCGACCCTTCCAACCTCCACCTATGCAAGAGCCGGGTCCTCCGGCGCCGCCACCACCGCATCATCCGGTGAACATAGACCACATCGAGGCCCGCCTAAGGCAATTGGAGCACGAAGAAGCATCGCGTATGGCAGCTCGTAGCCATCTACTTGCCATTCGAAAGCGAGAGGACGAAGATTATCGTAGGATGACCGAAAATGCCGAAGCCGAAGAAGAGGTATGATATAAGAAGTTTAAAAAAATCTGCGGCTCCCTTTTCTCTTTTGTATAGTGTTGTCTAACCTGGGGATGTGGTTGTTTTGCGCTTTCTAGGACCTACGTAGGCAACGAAAACGCCTGAAGCGGGAGTCGATGGGACTGGGATTTAATGCAGGCATGGATTCTCCGCCTCTTCGCCCGACGCCGCCGCGTCGTCTCTCGGAGACCAATGCGGCCACCACCCTTGCGTTCTTCAAGCAGCAAAGTCCTCCAGAGCCCCGGCCAATTCCTCCACCGCCAGTTCAAGCACCCCCGCCTCATCCTCCGCCGCAGCACATTCCTCACGATCCGACGGGCGCGACCTCGATCCGACGGAAACAGAAATATACCATTAAGAACGTGGAAGCGTGGGGGGAACGCCATGGACGGCCGGCGGCACATGATCCTTCCGGACGAGCCCTGTGGAAGCGACCGTCGGACGGGAGTCTGGTGTATCTGACGTGCCCGGTGTCCGGCTGTGGCAAGTCGGATTTCGTAACCCTCCACGGGTTCATGTGCCATCTGACCAAGAAGCACAAGGACCGCAGTTTGGGGAGTCAGTCCCGCGCCCTCGAGGTCTGTGGGATCGTCTACGATCCGAACGCTCCTCTGCCTCCGATGTCCACGGTGAATCGTGCATCAACCGAGGAAAGTCGTCTGGAATCGGCCCCCACCGACCCGGAGGGCTACCAGCAAGAGGTGGATTATTCTTCGGGCTCCGAGGAGGAGGAAACACCAGAGAAGCCTTGCCTCGTGAAGACCGAATCCTCAGACCGGCCGTTGCCCATTCCCGCCGCGTCTCTGCCGGCCGAAGAGGACCGAAATAAGGCGCCCAATCCCACCCCCAACACCTCCACGAAGCAGTCCATCTCTTCCATCATTGACCGGGACCCCGAAGACGATGCTCGCGAGCGGATAAACTCCATCCCTCGTCCTCTTGAGACCGTATCCCGAGCCTCTCCCGAGCCACCACGCCCTACCTTGGACGAGGCTGAAATGCCTCGACACCGAGAACGAGACCTCGAAACCGAGCGCAGCAGCGTGTTGAAAGAAACCGCTGAGGCTAGATAATCAATGCAAGAGAAGAAACAAAAAACAAACACAACGTATTCAAAAATTGGTCTCCCTTTGCCTATCCAGCATTTGTTTCCTCGTTTTCTTCCCCTGAGGACCAAAACACCTACATCATTTGCATCCCTCCCTCCACCACACAACTCCACCTCGCATAGTATGAGCATGCTTTAGCCTTCGTTCTCCGTTTGCCGCTTTGCATCAATACCCTTCCATTCATCGTGCATTTATGGGTGGTCCTTTGTATGTTTTATAATAGTGTAATGCCTCTCTCTCTCTCTTATATATCACCTTGGTGGTTATATTGTCACTTTATATTTAATTATGCTATGGATTGAGGTGCCAATTCAATTTGAGCGTTATTTATGGACACTCGTGTAGATGGTCACGGCAGGACATTTTCTAGATAGGACTCGATCCGGTGCTCATCACCTAAGACTGATATTCGAGATCATTCCATTCTAGGCATTGAAGAGTCATCTGTGAGCCACTACCTACAACTAGACATAGTCAACATAACACCTCATTTCTGCATAAATAAATAGAGTATGTCTATACACAACACCCCAAACAGAAAAGACCTACGCAACATCCCCCCTCAACAATAACAAATGAACCAAGTACCCCGACCCAACCCGCAGCTTCTCTCCCGCCACTTCATCACTCACCCTCCAGACCCGAAAAAAGCGCATCGTCTCCCGCAACCACGTCTCGAAGACATCTGGGGAGCGTTGCTGCTGCGCAATGAGACAGATCGTGGGCGGTCGGGTTGTTTGTGAGCTATTACCATTACCATTGCCAGTGCCATTGTTGTAGTTGATGTTGATGTTGTTGTTGTCGTTGTCACTAGGGGCCCGATAGACAGGTCGCAGACGGCAGATGTCCGCACAGGTCCGCACAAACGGAGCAACGAGGGCTTCGTTGTAGATGCAGTCGCAGGAGATGAGGAGGTCGAAGCCTTTATCCTCTTCTCCTTCGGGGTTGTTTTCGTTGTCTTCGATCTCGATGCTATCTTTCAATGTAGTCGCCAGGTCGGTTTCCCAGTCTAGAGTTGTGAATGTGATGTTGGCGGGGGCAGCAGCAGCAGAAGAGGTTGTTGATTTCATCTTCGATTTCTCTGTTCTCGTTTGTTTCTTCTTCCCCTTGCCCCCCTTTGAATTCACCGCGGTTGTTCTCGACGCCGACACCGAAGCATTCGTCTCCAAATTCTGCCGCAGAAGACGACGCACGTATTCCTGATCCGTGGTGAGATAGTGCCGAACAGACGGCGCCAGGGTCAATGCCATCAACCCGGAGATGCCACAGCCCAGCTCGACGACGGTGGAAGACGACGAGAGCAGGGAATGCGTCCAGAGAGGATTAGATTGGTAGGCGGAGATCCAGTCCGCGAAGAGGGGGGTGATTTTCCAGAGGACTATTCAGGTCCGTTAGTTAATTTACCTACTAGATGTTGTGTTGTGTGGATGGATAGGATGTAATGTATGTACATACCTGCACCGGTGGTGCCGCCGGCCCGAGCGGAGGAGAGAACTGCGGGAGACTGGTGGACGGTGTAGTCTTGATCGTGGATGGAGATCTCGACGGAGGGAGATCGGGGATCGATCATGCCCAGGTTGGCGGAGGGGATGGGTTCGGAGAAGATGAGGAAGGATTCTATAGAGGATCAGTTAATGGGGGAATTTACGATGTGGATATGGAAGGTGGACGCACCCTCGTCTGCATCGTCGATCTCGGGGCCAAGTGCGGCCAGGAGGTGGGAGATATTCTCCATGAGGATATTCATCTATGGTAAGTGTAGGTATACTTCCCTTTCTGGTAGGTAAGTATGTACACCACACACATCACGGGCATTCAAAAGAATCCGAAGGAATTGGATTCAACTGTTGGAAGAACAGACGTGATTGGCTCTCGGCGATGGAACCGCGTAGCTGCCCAATCAGGTTAATTGCAGGATTCGTCGAAGGCGTCCAAGTGGATTAGAGATTTCCACCGGAGAAGAAGAAAGGAAAAGAAGTCGATGCATGACATCATTTGACAGGGTCGCATTGCTTGATGGGTTTAGTCCCTGATGTGATCTGTCCACGAGTTTTCATTTGGTTTTTGCGACTTTTGAGTGAGTTTACGACACCTAATTCAACGTCCTTGTTCACCCCTCCGTACAAGTCCCATTTAATATTCTTCTATCGCTCCTCCTACTGGTACACTTTCTTTCAGTAGATATGTGTTCTATGCCCTCCATGACTGCTCACGGTTGGTAGAGCGGTTAGAATTGTTCATGTTCCATCTCTGACGATTGTCTTGTTTCCTAGGACCATTCGAGGAACTGGGACCAGATCAGTTATCAGACTGATAGGAGTTATTCTTTGTCGGTAGCTGCAGTCGAGATTCTCGTAGAGGTGTTGTTATAATTCAAGCAACTGCAGGAACTCCCCTCAAGCATGCTTGTATGTTGGCATATCACAGCATACTCGGCCACAGTCTCGAGTTGTGGCCCTTGCCAACCAAGGGCTTGTCTTTATGGTCGAAAAACCATAACTCCGTGTAGTCGGTATGGTCCGCGGTATGGAAGAGCCTTGAACTATCGTTTGGTCAGCAACACGAAGATGAATAGAAGCATGAAAAACGAACCACAAGTTGGCCGGATAGTTGTGCAGTTGATGATAATCCAGTCTGCAACTGCCTTTTCCTGGAGTTATGCATGGATACTGGCCCCCTTTCTTGAACCGCAAAAGATGTCCTTCTAGTCGATCATGATCTCTCAATAATTCAATCGCTCACTTCTTTTCTGGTATTAGGAAATCCACTCTGCCGGAACTCGACCTTCACTCCGTACAATTTGGCACACCCCGGCCTGCTACTGCATTGTACACCCTGTAGAATTAATCTTGATAATGCGCCTCCACATATCTAGGTTTGGCTGTTCCCTTCTGTGGAGTCCCTCAGACTCGCTGCTGGAAACACGTATCATTGCCATACATCGCTGAGCTAGGCCGAAAACACGTTTCGGCAAGGGAGTCTCCTCTATTCCTTACGAGGAGGAGCAAAGAAGCGTAAACCCGACATGACAAGGGCATATCTCGGTTATCAAGCATAATTGCTGCAATAAAGATGATGCGTTTCTTGGTTTTATCGCGGAGCTAATGTCGAGCTCGACTCCTCTTGCCAAATGGAAGTAATCCATTGTAAGACCCCGTTCCTAACATCTACATTTTATTTATTCAGTATGAAGCAAGAAATGGAGCATTAAAGGTACTTACCTTTCGTGCAACAATGTTGGCAAGACGGTAACTTCTCTTGCATTGTCGACCTTCTGCCCCGTGTTCACAGGCATCCTGTGAACCAGACCCTCTCGATATGGAGGAGTTGGAGCCATATCGGCTACCAAGGATATATTGAAAGGGCGACTGACCCAATAGTCGGAGACAAGACAAGGTCACAGTAACCGGTCTGCACTGTTGCTTCCGTCTCTTCAGAATCCCAGAGATATCAGACTGACTACCAGGCCACGCACAAAGGTGCAGATTGTGTGGTGGTGGCTGAGATACTAGATCAATATAGAGCCGAAAGGCCTTATAACTTGGTTTTCGATAACCGAAGTTATGTTTATTTGTGATTTTCACGACTCTAGCCACGACTGGCATTATCTTTATAGAATATTTCCCATATTCCAGATTCCTCGAACCAATGGCATGGACCAGTAGTGCAACGCTAATGTATGTATGATAGAGATAAGACCTGGTCGGTCACAGTTGGAAATATGGGTCGTCTGGGCTATTGCTCGTAGAGATATTCGACAAGCACTGGTCATGCCTTCCCAATAGCTTGTTGTAGATTGATAAAAGTATGACAGGACACTGTGGATCGTTCTTAAGGAAGTTGACGTTTTGTACAGCCAAGATCGGGCACAGCATCGAGTGAAAATGGTAGCCAAGCATTCAGATGTGAATACGGAGTATCTATTTTGAATTCACCTTTTAGGTAGTTAATTAGACCTCTAAGGCCGAGCGATATGGAATACCACCCGAAAGGAATCCCCACCGCGGAGGGAGTCCTGATGAATGACGAGGACGATCGTAGAGTATATGAGGTCTACGGGGTAAGTTCGAGCACCGACTACTGAGTAACCTGCCATGATCTTGGACCTATCACGCAATGAAAAGGGGAAAGAATAAGATGCTGACAAGAATGTCGATGCATGACATCATCCGACAGGGATCGCAGTGCTTGGTGTTTCTTAGTCTCAATCCTTTCTTGAAATTCTTGCAAGAACTTCCCCTCCAATCTGGAAAATGGGCGAAGAAGCTTTTATGGCCGGAATTATGTACTGCGTATGCTGAATCTTCAACGACCAAATAATCAGTGCCTACTGCGAACCGCGGCAAGTGAACGGTGTCTTGCCGAGCCGACGGAGGGACTCGCCGGGGAGGTACCCGGACAGGGGAGTTGACAGGGAAAGGATACCTCGACCCGGAGTATCTGTTCCGACCGTTGCGCAAGGGAGATCTCAATATCTGGTCTTCTAGCGGATCGTCCTCCGTAGAGAAATCAAATTCAAACGTACTTCAAAAGTCAACTCTAACACCGACCAACTGTTCCGAGAGGCCCCCATCGGCTCGGCGTCGTCATTGGCAGCAGAAGTGGCCCTGTCCAGCCACGAAAACTCTCTGACTTCATCATCCCTGCCGCTGCTCTTCTTCTTCTTCTCTCGCCCCTTTCCCTCTGCTGCGCTTCCCCCCCCCGCCAGTAACTTCGTGGCTATCCTCGTGGTGCATTCTGTGCTCCTCTCTCTCTTTTTTTTTTCTCTTGACTTTTTTGTCTCCACCTGGTAAGTTAATCCAACCTCGCCCACCGGTGTTTTGACTTCTGCCACTCCGCACCGAACCTGTGGTTCCTGCTCGTACTGGGTCGATTTGTCGTGCTGCGCCTTTCGCATCCGATGCCGGTTTGCCCCTCGGGGGGAAGAACAATTTACTAATTGCCAATTGCTATAGTCAATCGCATCTTCTCTTTCCCACCTACCCTCCCGTTCTTCTAACTCGCCGCCAACATGTCGAAAAGAGATGCTCACCTTCAACCGCGCATGTCCAAGAAGCCTCCCTTCACTGTGGAAGCTCCGGGCTACGAGCGTGTCGAAGGAGAAACTATCCCCCGTCGCCTCCCCGTGGCTAAGGACGGTCTGATCCTGAAGCCCTCGGAGGACGTCGCAACCGTCTACGATAATTTCCGTCGATCTGCGCGGGTCTTCGGCAACGCGAAGGCCGTCGGCAGCCGTCGCTTGATCAAGACCCACGTCGAGAACAAGAAGGTCAAGAAGATCATCGACGGCAAGGAGCAGGAGGTCGACAAGCAATGGACCTACTTTGAAAAGAGCGAATACTCGTACAAGAGCTTCGTCGAGTATGAGCAGACGGCGCTGCAGCTGGGCGCCGGTCTACGGAAGCTGGGACTCGAGAAGGAACACAAGGTTCATCTCTACGGTGCCACCAGGTACGTCGACTGTTAGGAATACTGTACACGATCGGGGATTGACGGCTGACACTTGTCTTTCCTCTAGCGCCAATTGGCTTCTCATGTCGCACGGAGCCTCGTCTCAGTCGATTACCATCGTTACCGCATATGATACCCTGGGTGAAGAAGGATTGAAACACTCTCTGGTTCAAACCGACAGTGCCGCCATCTTCTGCGACCCCGTCCTGATCCCCGCCGTGGCCAACGTCCTCAAGGACGCCAAGTCCATTAAATATGTCATCTACAACTCGTTCGAGGAGGTCAAGCAGGAGGACCTGGACCGACTGAAACGGGAATATGACTACCTGAACATCGTGAGCTTCGACGAGCTACAAAAGCTGGGTCAAGAGAACCCCGTGGATCCTGTTCCACCCGCCCCGGAAGACCTCTGCTGCATCATGTACACCTCTGGATCGACGGGCCCGCCCAAGGGTGTTCCTCTGACGCACAAGAACGTCATCGCTGCGAGTAAGTCGATATCCGCTAGTTTTTTTTGATCCTCGAACTAATTGCAATAGCCGCCGGTATCAACGCAATCGTCGGAGAGTACATCGGCCCCTCGGACAGTCTTCTGACGTACCTTCCGCAAGCGCATATCCTGGAATTCATGTTCGAGAACCTTTGTCTGTTCTGGGGTGGTACTATGGGTTACGGAAACCCTCGCACGCTGTCGGACGCCTCCATGCGCCACTGCAAGGGTGATATTCGCGAATTCAAGCCCACCATCCTCGTCGGCGTGCCCGCCGTCTGGGAGTCCGTGAAGAAGGGTGTGCTGAACAACTTGAACAAGGCCAACTTCGTCATGAGAGGTCTGTTCTGGGGAGCCATGTCCGCCAAGAACTTCCTGATGACGACCGGTTTCCCCGGACACAACATGGGTGCCTCGATCATCGACACCGTGGTCTTCCGCAAATTGAAGGACGCCACCGGTGGTCGGTTGCGGATAATGATGAACGGAGGCGGTCCGATCTCGAAAGAAACGCAAAAGTTCCTATCCATGGCCATTGCTCCCATGATCAGCGGCTACGGGCTGACCGAGACCTCCGCCATGGGTGCGCTGAACGACCCGATGGCCTGGAACCCCGACGCGCTCGGCGACCTGCCCGCCTCGATCGAGGTAAAGCTGGTCGACTTCCCGGACGCCGGCTACCTGACCAAGAACAACCCTCCTCAGGGTGAGATCTTCATCCGTGGCGGCAGCGTGACCACCGCGTACTGGCAGAACGAGGAGGAGACCAAGGGCGCCTTCTCCCACGACGGATGGTTCATGACGGGTGACATTGGCGAGTTCGACCAGTACGGTCACCTCAAGATCATCGACCGCAAGAAGAACCTGGTCAAGACCCTCAACGGTGAATACATTGCGCTCGAGAAGCTCGAGTCGGTCTACCGTTCCTCCCCCGTGGTCGGCAACATCTGTGTCTACGCCGCCCAGGACCAGGACAAGCCGATCGCCATCATCGTTCCCGTCGAAGCCGCGCTGCTCAAGCTGGCCCACGAGAACGGCATCGAGGGCGACTCTGTCGAATCCCTGGTGCACAACGAGAAGCTGAAGGGCATCGTGCTCAAGCAGCTGCAGACTGCCGGCCGTGCCGCCGGACTCCGTGGTATTGAGATCATCAACGGCGTGGTGCTCTCCGACGAAGAGTGGACCTCTCAAAACGTAAGTTCCTGTCATCTTTGTCTCCCCCAACCCGAAGAACTAGAAGCTAATGTTCACTTTCATTAGGGATACATGACCGCCGCCCAGAAACTCCAGCGCAAGAAGATTGTCAGCCACTTCCAAAGCGAGATTGACATTGCGTATGGCAAGAAGAAGAACGTCTAAAGCACGCAATCCACCAAAAAAGAAGACAAAGTTAATTAATCTGTGTTTGTACGAGATTCCATCTTTTCTAATGTTTGAATTCAATCTTATATAGCTTTTCTTGCTTTCTATTCAATTTGTCTCTGTATCACGCATTTTTCTGTTTCATTATTTGATCCGTGCATTTGATTTGATGTCATATGCGTTGAATCGGATGGTTTTCCCCCCCCGTTATTTCTCCTTTTTTTTTTTTTTTTTTTTTTTTTTTTTCCTCTAGCTGCTCCATGTTTTGTTTGGCGCAAGCAAGGTATAGAGCTTTCATCTTTCTTCCTTGTAAGTTATAGGATGACGATCTGGTTTGATATGCTCTGTTTACAAATGTCAAGTCATTGAATCGAGAATCTTGGAATGAACTGAAATCTCCTAGCAAGTAAATGTAGACCTATTTACGTGTAGATATAGATGTAACTAACAGAAAGAATCTGATGCAAGTAAGTCCAGTGAGATATAGTCCCAACGCCAGATACTCCTCTCTATTTTCGCATCTTGAAGATATGACTGCTGCGTGCCCTCCAGGCCTTATGTTTCTGAGACTTTTAACTGAGGACAATATTCTTCAGCTTGTCTAGCTCTCATGGATATCCTATCTTATCTCATATCTTATTCGTGGCCTGTCTCTGGCTCTTCATGATACCTGAACACGAGCACAAGCACACGAGTCGACCGGAGATGAAGTGGATTGTATGGATGAGGGTGTATGAGGGACTTTTTTATCTGTGATTCCCTCGGGGGCTCTTGATTCGATTCGAGTTGATGGGTTATCTATTGTTCGAAGATAGGGAGGCGGTCTCTGTATGCTTGTTAGATATTTAGCGATTTGATTCATGTTGATGGATAGATGGGTAGATAAGGAGATAGATCGAGTGTCTTAGAAGGTAAGCAAGCGCTTATAAACTCAAGGAGAGTTTTTCCTGTATGTAGCTGTGGTAGAGATATAGCATAGGGAGGCTTGTTGCGCTTGCGCTGGTGTTTGTGTCTGTGTCTGTCTGTCTGTCGATTTCATGGCAAGGTGTTGGTTAGGGTGTGTCACTTGATTCCTATTTTCCAGACTCCATTCACGGTCAGTGATGGGAGTTAAATAGAAGGAGGTCAGAAGAGAGAAAGAAGATAAAGATGACATACTTCTGGATGGTTGCCCTGAGTTTTGTAGTATGTGGATGGATTGATTTCGGTTGTGATGTTGATATTGTATCTAGTATCCAGTGTCTAGTGTCTAGCATGTCTATGAGTTGAAAGAGGTATGCTCAGTCAGTTCTATAATCAAGTATAGAAAGTACTAATAATATCTGGATCAATTGTCTCAGTCATCAAAAATAAGATAAAAAGATGAAGCCATAAACTATTAGTGGCGGACCCGACCACCCACCGCCTTTCGCCGGTGGGTGGTCGGGTCCGCCACTAATACCCGTTAACAACACAACAGCCTAAGGCATCCACAGCTACACCAACGATCTAAACCCGATCCCGCCTAGCGCCACCGAGGCACATTGGCAACGGCCAACTTCCCTTCCACAGTTCAGTTGTACTCCTGACCGGGACTGGACCTCAGCTTCAATACGAATGGAGTAATTTCCTACTTCTTGACTAACCAACTTATTGCACATTTAATTTCTATTATTGAATTTCGACGCCTCAAATCCATCATGACGTTCTGGAGGTAAGTCCTACCACTCCTAATACTCTAGTGTTCGAACAGTTTGGACCGAATTTCAACTGACCTCGTGCGCTCCAAACCCCAGCTCGTACCGTTCGCTCTCGCCCAAGACAAGGGCTCTGTTTGGAATCGGCGTCATGGCCTGGGCTTCGATCGGGCTTTGGACTTCGCCTCAGGTGGAGGGTGCCATGGGCATGCTGCCGACCAAGGAGGAGCAAGAGGATCTCGATCGCAAGCTGGCGCTGCGCGTGTCCAGGGTCGATAAGGATGGGGGCAATTGAAAACGAGGGATCTGATCCCAAATTGATCTTTTCTCCAGGGGAAGTCCCGGAGGAGAAGGAGGAAGAGGCGGGGGACAAAAAGAGACATACGGAGTGGACGGAGTGACTTTTGGGGAAGGGGAAGGGAGGAAAAAAAAAAAGAATGATCAACACCCTTTTTTTTTTTTTTTTTTTTATTCAAAAATTCTTTTTCTTTTTCTTCTTTTTTGATTGCGACTACAGTTTCGCCCCCCTCTCTGGTCTCTTTCCTCCTTCGGTCTTTTTTCTCATTCGATGAAGGGCAGGGTGGACTGACTAGGCGGCTGGAGTCACCACGTCTGTGTGACCTTGTCAGTGTTTCCCGTTCGTCTTTCCAGTCAGCGCCAATCTTTTGCCATCGCCGAATAATTAGGTTTGAACAAAACGGAAAAAGAAAGTGGAGCCGGGAGTCACGGAGATTGGGAGATGAAGGGGGCAGGCGAAAAGAGAGAGTCCACCATGCACATGCGGGATAATTAAAAACAGAATGAGACATGACCAACGGGGTCAAAACGGCGCCCCGTCAATACAAAGACATCAAGAAATGGGCGTTTACAGTCAACTCCCGTCGCGTGTCGAGGATCGTCAGAAGTTTGTTTGGCGCAACACAACATCCGGAGACCGTTTCGTGAAACAGGCAGGTCTAATGCATGAAATGCTAGGATGAGAACAAAGGGACGCGGGAGCCATGGCATAAACAAAGAACCGGAAAAGAAATTAAAAAGTTGGATGTTAGCCCGGAGGGTTGAAGGAATCCCTTGTCAATTGGAGAGACCGGACCAGACCAGACCAGACCAGACCAGACCAGGATTGCATGGAACCGAGGAAGAAAACGAGAGCAGATGCGCGTGAGAATGCGAAAAGATCTAGCGAGGCCACTCCATCATGGGGGCAAGGCTGCCAACTCATTCCCATGCTTGTCAACGCAAACAGTAACGAAGAGAAGAGAAAGTGAAAAAAAGGAAATGGAAAAAACCCGTCCAGGACGATCTGAAGATCACAACTAGCCAGGAAAGCGTTGCGGTCGGACCGCTCTCTATGATCAAGGATTCATACTGTTGTCCTGGGCCCATGACCCTGGAGCTTCATTTTCCCGTCTCTCTCTCCGGTCAGTCAGATCATTTGACGCAACCCGTTCAGCTTTTGAGGCTGCCTAATCATTCTAGGCGGATGACTCGGGCCTCCGAATACGCATGCATCCTAACTGTACCTAGTTAGGGGGATGAAGGTTTCAAGGGAAGAGAGAGATCACCGCCATGGCTTAATTCCTGGCCACTGGCTAGTCCCAAAGGAGAGAGAAAAGGAAAAAGAAGGAAGGAGGGAAGATGGGGAGGAGGCAGGCTGAAGCTGAAGCGGTGGGAGGAGGACGCAGATTGGATGCAACGGTTGCACAACTCGAGGATGTATCTTCCAACAGCGACGCCGCGCCCTCATTGGCCCTGCCTTCCCATCAGTCAAGAAGGACCCTCCTGTGGACTGCAAGGCTCTCTCGTCGCCTCCAACCCCCCCATCATTGAACTCCCTTGTACGACGTGCATGGCCGGTGAGATCATTCTACCGTACGATACCGTACACGAGGGCATGAAGACTGGCTGGATCCGCCCGACGCCGGGCCTTGTTGGTATCCGCAATTCTGAAAAGCGCGCGACGCATGAAGTGCTTCTAGCCGCGCTAGGGATAGACAAGAGAATAATCCATGGAGCAAAGAGGATGGCCATCTGCACGTCTGATTGGGGCGGATCTCATTCCAATTCATGCTGGATGCTGTTGGGGATGATGAAATGGATAAGGGGGTGTCGGGCCCGTGGACACGGAAGTGATGGAGGATGAATGGATAGGATCGTCTTGTTTCTTAACCTCATCCCGGTTTTTGAAACAATCCTCACCTCCTTCATCTTATTATTTTTGTGACTAGAGAAATGATTGAAATGAAATTGATGATGGAAAGGGGGATTGATGAACACAACAAGAGAGAAAGTCTAAGCGAGAGAGAGGGTGTGTGCACCTTGAAGTAACTACTACATACAGAGCGGATATCAAAGACGAAGGAATCGGAACGTGCCGAGCGGGCGTTAGTCAGCACCCGACCGAAGTCGCGGAAGTCACGGGAACTGCCAATGACATAAGCGGGCCTAATGTATGTCCGGTCGATCATCGAATGGATTCGTCGATCTCTTCTTAGTTCCATATTCCTTTCGACGTCGTCCGTCGTGTCGGGTCGCTCGATCTGCCCTCGTCAAGTACGTCGGTCTTTCATTCCGCATTTCTTCTTCAAATTACTCCGTGGGGAGAAGAGAAACAACATTGAAAATAAAAAAAGCGAGAGAAGGCTGCAACAACCAGTCGGTAGCCGTATCAGGATGACAACAAAGACCGCAGGGAAGCAAAGAAAATAAAAAATAAAAAAAAAAGGAGATGATCCAACTGTGAGTGGCCGGAAGTAGACTAACTAACGACGACTGCTGCTGGCCGATGACCAACTTGCCAAAATGGCGATCTTGTCGTCATTTGGCCTAAGATCGAGGCGGTTTTATTTTTCTGCTTTTTTCTGCGTTTCTTTCTTTTCTTTTCTTTTCTTTTCTTTTTTCTTGCTCGTTTAATGGATTTATTTTCATGTATTTTTTCTTTTTTCTTTCTCTGTTTCTTTGACTTCCCAGAAAACCCCAACCCGATGGGAAAAAAAAAATGATATAATATTAACATTTCCCTAGACCCAGAAGAAGGATAGATGTCGGTCTGACCCGATCCTCCCTTTCTCTCGCCCGGCGGGCGGCGTCTTTTTACTCCATTGGCCTGGCCGCCTAAGGCTGCCACCTGGTCGGTAGGTAGCAGTCCTCGGAGAGCGAGCGAACACGTCGACAGACATGCCGCTGCTGGTGCTGCTGGTGCGCTGCTAATTTAATCCCTCTATGCAACCAACCTAACTGTACTGTAAGTATTGTTCAATCAAACCCAACCAACCAACTGCAAGCGAGGGGGGTGAAACTACCGAGGGAGAAAAAAAAAAAAGAAAAGAAAAAATAGAAAAAACCAAGACTACACCAAACCAACCCTCTGGCGTCCTGTCCCATCATCCACCCCTCTCCCCCTTGTCTCTTGCTGCGACATTGACAGCGGCACAGAAGCAACTAGCAAAGTCCCTGGAAGCAAAGCAGCGCAACATGTCGGAGAAAATCCCGCCACTTAGCATGGGGCGATGCCGTTCCGCTGTTCCTTTCTGGGTTACCTAGGCTTGTTTGGTTTTTCTTGTGGACTGGGTCGGGGTCTCTGTTGTTCTATGTGTATGTCTGTATGTTTCTATTTATCGAACTGGTTCTGGTTGAATCTCCGGTCCTGGTTCTTACCAGTTACGGACGGGATCCATCCACGTTCTTGGAATCTGACAGTAAACAGTGACAGTGACAGTGACAGATCCTTAATTTCGTTTCTTTTTTTTTCTTTCTTATTTTCTAAGGTTTATCCCGTTCTCATTCTTTTCCCTACCGTAGTTAGCGCCGTCCGGCAGTCCTTGTCATTGGCTTTGACTTTGCATTCGACGGGTACGGCGGTACCTGTCCCTGTCTTGTCTGTCTGTCTGCCTGCATTAGCAGCTTAACCGTACCCTCGGTGACCCTTTGCGATGGCCTCTACTATGTACAGTACAGTACCTACCTACTCTACAGATTCAGGTTGAAAATAGAAGATAAGATATTCATGAGAGGTTGATGGATTCCATCAAAAGCACCTCCAACATGGATTCCTATCACGATCCCGGGTTCGGAGCCATGGACCGCAAGCCAGAAAGTCAGTATCATTTCAATTTGCCCCCTTTCGGGTACGACGCTGTGTCTAAGAATAGCGAAAAACCCGGCATCAGCTATCTCGAGTCCTTTGATTCGATGGTTTCAATGATACCTCATGAACAGCATCAACATGAGTTTCCTCCTCATCATTTTAAATCTCCGATGAAAATTACACCGTTGGGGTATCATCATACCATGGGGGGCTATGACCCGGCCTGCCCTGCTCAGACCAGTGATAGAGGTAGCCCGTATGGTCGAATGAATCAAATCAAATCAAATCAGTAATAGAAACAAACACATTCTGACGAGTCTGCATCTAACCTGTACGGTACTTTCTTTTTTCGCTTCTTCGCACTATGCCTTCCGTTCATGTTCATCCTTCCAGAGGAGATGGGGTGGGTGGTAAGAGGTAAAGAAAAAAAAATAAAACAAAATAAGATAAAGAGAAAAGAACAAAAAGATAAAACAGGATGAAGGAAAAAGAGAGGAAGAAAAATGAGGTGGGACATGAGCACAGACAGAGAGGTAGGACAACCGCTCGAAGTAAAAGGGGGCAAATGGATGTGCCAGACAATCGTGACGTACTCGATAAACAATGAACAGAGCCTGGATCTGTCTGATAGGATAGCCGGATACCTGGCAGTCCTTGCTTATGCAAGTCTCTCTCTCTGCTGCCATGAACGTGGTCCCACTCCACTCGAGCACTCTATCAAGCAGCCGTGACAAAACTCGACTCTCAAGGTCCAAAGGTGGTGTCCGTAACTTTTCATCTCGACCAGCGCTCAACTCGACGCAGAGTACCCATTCAAAGGAAAAGGATACAAAGAAAAACCAAGAAAAATAAAATAAAATAGTAGTAATGAGATCAAACAAAAGAATTGAATCGACATCCGGATCAGCTGGTAATGCATGGCCAATTGTGGAAGGAAGTAAGGAAAACAGGGAAGAAGTGAAAAAGGGAAACAGAAAATAGAACAAAAAGAAAAGAAAAGAGAAGAGAAGAAGAAGGCCAACCACCAGGGCCTGTTGCTATGCGCACAGACTGTGAGAAGATGGATATCGACCATACGGGCTACCTCTATCACTGGTCCGAGCAGGGCAGGCCGGGTCATAGCCCCCCGTGGTATGATGATACCCCGGCGGTGTAATTTTCATCGGAGGTTTGAAATGATGAAGAGAGGACTCATGCTGGTGCTGTTCATGGGGCATCATTGAAATCATCGAATCAAAGGACTCGGGATAGCTGGTGCCGGGTTCCTCGCTATTTTTAGACACAGCGTCGTACCCGAAAGGGGGCAAATTGAAACGATACTGACTTTCTGGCTTGCGGTTCATGGCTCCGAACCCGGAATCGTGATAGGAATCCATGCTGGAGGTGCTTTTGATGGAATCCATCGGGTTCATGGAGGAGTCATTCAAGGTCTCGATGTCAAAGGCCGATGACGACGAGGACGAGATGTGCGGGCTTTCGCTTAGGGACGAGCGGTCGGGAGCAGGCATATGATGGTAATCCGCCCGACCGTAGGGTGGGCCACTGCGTGGTGTGTCGTACGACATCATCAAGTGAGACCGTGTAGGTCCAATGCCCGGAGGTAGCACGCCGTCGCCCGAGCCACCGCGCCCCCCATTAGGGTCCATGCTCGTCGAGCTGTCGCGACGGCCGTCTTTGTAATGGCCCGGGGAGCGGCCACGGACCACCATTGGGTGGGAGAGCTTTCGCGCAATCTTCACCCATTGGGTGTCCTCGCCGCCCACCGGATTCGAGATCTCCGCGTGGAGCTCGACCACCAGGTTGTAGTACTGCTGCTGGGCCCGCCGCTTGCCATTGTTTGCCGTGGCCTTCTGAAACTGGATCCGCTCAAACGTGTGCTGCGTGGGCGGGTGCGCGGGCTGCGGAGCGCTGCTGTAGGGGGCGGCGTAGTCGACCGACATTCCACTCGGGGGAGAAGTGGTTAACGAGAACCCATGCTGGCTGCCAATGCCTGTGGAACTGTGGCCCAGAACCAATGGCGGCGGCTGACAGGGTTGCAAAACCACCTTCCCTGGCTTCCGCTCGGACTGCTTATCACGCTTGGGGGTGTGCTGGACCAGTTCTCGGACCTCGCCATACTGCGCGTTCACTATCGCTGATATTGACATGGCAAATGATAGGATCCGCTCCGTCGAGTGATCTGTGAATTTGAGAAAAAGCGGGGCATGCGTGAAAGGAACGAGGGAGAACGAGCAGGACACGGAAAAGTAATTGCGTCGATAGCAAGTCCACTTGTCGTCGACCAGGAAGAACCCCTTGTGGATTTTGGCCTGAATTTCCGGCTTGATGGTCTGCGTCCCCGAGACGATGAATTGAAGGACGGCCGTGTCGGAAAAGGGAGGAGCATCTGTCGGGTTGTGTAGCCGGGAATCAAACATCATACTCGAAGGCTGCCCTAGAAGCAGACTTTGCGGGCGGTCCACCGTCCCATCGAGAGCCCGTGGCGTGGTCGTATATGGCGATATCCGTGACATGTCGCTCAAACTGGAAAGTGAGGGAAACGTGCTTCGCTGAAGGGTATAAGTTGCCGGATAGCTGTCTCTCATGATGCCGGCACCCCCCGTACCCTGCGGTTGTACGGTCGACGACATCCCCGCAGGCGGTTGACTGGACATATCACCTTCGTCAATTGATGCACGCGAACCCATGTGGTGGGGAGAAGATTCTGGCTTACAGGGGAGGAACCCGATGGGACCTGAAGTCGGGCATTCTGTCATAGGGTATGCTTGGTGAATGAGAGTAAATTGAGCCAGATGCGGGCGAGAAAGTATCTATATGTTTTGGGGTTGGTGCTGTTTTAGCGAACTGAACGGAGAACAAAGAACTGAAGCCATACTAACCGGAGCATGAATCGGTGGGACTCATCAGAATGGCAGGAGAAGTAGCAAACCTGAAAGGACCGCTATAGGTCAGCACGGCCTACCTGTTAGGTAGTTTCACAAGAGAGCGCGAGAGCGAAGGAGCGTGAAGGGAAAGAAAGGCAGATGATCAGAAAATAAGAAGACCAAGAAGACGGTATGGAATCCACACAGCACAAGTCCAATGCATGTATAGATGGGTCCCGGCAGATGGAGGTGGTCAAGAATTGCAAGGACATATTGAAAGCTCAAATAACATGAGCAGGGAGGCAATAGACAGGTGCATACATGCGGCATGGGTATCAGAAATAAGAATGAATTTAAAAAATCCGAAAAGAAAATCGGAACAAAGGAATAAAATCAAATAGCAGCGATAATAATCATGGAAATAATAATAATAATAAGGGATCATAGCTCAAGACATTTCGGCCGCGAAAGGGATGCTGTGACTAGTGGCTGCAAGCGGGGGAGGTGGAGCAACAAAGAGCAGTCTGAATTAAAAGACAACTTACGGCACATCCTGCATCGCAGACTGTTGGGCGTTGTACCTCAAGCCGTTGGTAGCTGGTATCGGCTGCGCTAGAGGGTGTCCAACGGCGCTTCCTCTGCGACTAGTCCCCTCGTCATCCATAGAGAAGCCGATCGACCCTGAAAATGGACGCTGCGAGGCAGTATAGTCACTGTCGGTGGTAATGGGCCCATCCATTGGGAAAGAATTGTGTAAAAGGGTTGCTGGCACATGAGGAGGATTAGATCAGGAGCAGATACCCAATATGCATATCCCACAAGGCGAACAGACGAGGCAAAGGTGAGGGCAAAAGAAAAGATAAAAAAATAAATAAAATAAATAAAATAAAATAAAATAATAAAAAAGGAAAAAGAAAAAAAGGAAGGGAAAAAAAAGGTACAACAAATGTCGGAATTCCACCAGTCCAGAATAGAACAGGGTCCCTCATCCTTGTCAGCCAAGGATACGGTACCCTTTGATGTCATGCCAATACAGCAGAATAGGCAGAGGAAAGAAGAATCGTGTAACAAGAGAGGAAGTTTGAGATACCAACGAGATAGGAAAATAAACGTCAGTCCCCCCGGATGTAGACCAAATGTCAGAAGAATCGGCATTTGTCACGAGGGCAGATTGGACCGCATAGAATAACAGTCGGGCAAGGAAATGATAACCAAATAAAGAGAAAAGGCAAAAACACGGAGGGACTCACAATGATTCATTGGCAAGCCCACAGAAACACTTGTCGCTAATCAAATGAGCTCCGGTCCCGCAAACAGCGCAAGCGCTAAAGTGACGCCCAAAGAACTAGGCTTCAATGGCTGGACAGGGGTGGATCAGGCAAGAAAGAACGCCAACGAAAAGATCGGGAGCAGTAGTTAAAAACTTCTGCTCATTGGGCTTTGAACGGTGCGGCTTGAAAAATAATCGAATAAAAATGAGAAAGAATAGTAAGAATAAGAGAAAAGAACAAAAAGATTGTCGCTCCTACTCGGGAACTTTTCGAGGTCAACACTGCCGGTCACGCCGTAGGTGGTTCTAAGCACTAAGTCAGTGCTCGCCTCAGATCCTCAAGACGAGTCGCTCGGTGACAATATAGATTGTGGAGTGCGGTAGGCTGTCGGTAATTTGGGAAATAGATCAATCATGTAGACTCGATAGAATCCAGCAAGCACAGCTCGAACGGATAGTTGGCTTGAAGAAGGAAGACAAATAACTCAGGATAATGGGAGCAAATATGGTGGTTTGAGAGAAGTAGTTGAAAAGGAAGCCAAACGCAAGAGTAGATAGAAGAGAAAATGGGTAGGGGACAAAAAGAAAACATGGCACGTTCCACCCATGAATCGCTGTTCTCCACGTTACTTGATGACATCGTCGAAAAACATGGACAGGACCACTTGCGAGTCGGTGTTGGAACAATGCACAGAACCCCTTCAATCACCAAAAGGTCATGAAGAAGTTGCTGGGGTTCAACGGTCACATAATAGAGATGGTGAATCAATGGAACAAATGAATAAGCAGAACAAAGCCATCCGACGAGTATCGAGGCATCCAACAATGTGAAAAAAAGGGAAGAGGACCTGGAAGATGGAGATGGAGAACAAAGGGAATGTGAGGCATCGGACGACGGGACTCGAAAAGGAAGACGGTAGGTAAATAAAGCACCAAATTAGAACTTACCGAATGAAGTCAACAACAATTGAGTCGTAACTTGCATTTATTGCCGCAGACCTCGAAGTTCCGCAGCAACTCTATATGTATAGCCGATTGTCTAGAGGGTCGACTATCTAAACAAAGGCTTGTCTTCTTCTCACAAGGACAAGGTCCGGATGAATTGACTGAACGATGGTACTGGGGACCGGATCGTGCTGTTTCATATTATGTTGTCAGATGGCAGGCTGGACGATTCCAGAGGCCGATCGAGGAATCTGCCCGATTGATATTTGTTTCCAAATACTGAGTGGAAATGCTTTTGCTCATGTCATGTTGATTTTTTCTTTTTCTTTTTCTTTTTCGTTTTTTTTTTCGCCCTTTCCTTTTCCCTTTTTCTTTTCTTTTCTTTTTCCCCCTTCCTCTTTCCTTTTACCCACACCCACGCATCGCCCACTTTCTCCGTTTCTAGCCTGGCCCCTTTACCTCCAAGAGAATGACCCTGGTAGACGTGCGGCGGAATTATCTGCAGAATTTCGTTGCGCACAAGCCTTAATAGCTTCTCTCAGTTACCGATTTAAGCTTGGGGGCAAATAGCACTTTTGCCACGAGCTTGTTGTGAAATCTGACTCCTGTCAGGGCCCAAGATAATCTGCTACACGCCGGTGTTCAACTGTGAATAGATAAAAAAGGTCATACATTATGGGTGACGACATCGTTAAGGGGTCCAAGCCCGAGGGCAGGTTTGGGGGTGCCCTCCTTTTTTTTTTTTCTTTTTTTTTTCTTTTTTTTTTCTTTTTTTTTCTTTTTTTTTCTTTTTGTTTATCCTTCGGTTAACGTCAACTCCATATTTTTGTTTTCACTTTTCTCGCTTACTTGGAATTTGTTTTTGTTCGTTACTCCAGAGGAAATGAAGCATGAACCTTCCAGGAGAATATTGTTGCATTAACCGAATTAGCGCAGGAAAAGAACTTGGACCCTGTCAAAAACGTTGGAGAGACACGGCATTGGTCGAATCCGATGTTACATCCCTTAAATCCAAGGCCAGGCAGTCTCAGAGCTGCACAAACTCTGAGTAGTCCCGAGTGGAATGCATTCCAACTTTAGCATGATTCAAACAAGGCGCTTGACCAGCCGAACCGTTCTATACAGAATGATTGCCAGCATAGTCAGCTGTCTTAGCGTGAACACCCGGCCCACGGCAAAGTGCAGCATAACAAATTAAGATGGCGCTAGAAAATATTAGTGAGCGACGATCACCGGCCCCGGCAATCCCGTGCAGGCCTCCAGTCCCATGATGGGGGCTGTCGACACTACTGAGCTTGGGCAGCCGCAGGTGGCCAATAACTATGCCAGCGACGGAAGAACGGTCTATGTTGAGTGCTAGACTGCTAGGCAGGGGTTGTGGACCCGTAAGAAGAACCCATGTTCTAGACGTGACGCCTCTTTGGGGCCGTTCCAAAGAAATTTCGGGGGCTCGAGGCACGAGCATCGGCTCTCGCATGAGGGGGAGAGATCAGGCGATCGACGGTTTTGATCCAACAGTTGTCCTTTTTTTTTTTTTTTTTTTTTTTATGTTTTCAGCCGTTGTTCGCTCACCGACAACAGAGACGAAAATACATCATAGACAGAGTACCGAATGAGTTAATGCAGCTTGTACAATGTCGGTACACGGACTTTGTCGTGTCGGTAACTTTGAGCACCCCCGGGAAATAATGATCCTGTCTCCCTTCTCTCCACATAAGTCCCAAGTAGAGGATGGAGGAGTGGACCAGTAAGCAAGAGCGTGTGGAGAAAGGTGTTATTTTTTTTTCTTTTCTTCTTTACACAGCATAATTTCCAGAATCGAGCTTTAAGGCCCACCGACTCGGGAGTGGGACAGCACAAAGAAAGCCGGCCGAATCTTAGATGGCCTTTTCATCTGCTTGATTTCCCAGCAAGAGAAAAAGAGTGGAGCGACCGCCCAGAAATTCTTTATTTTTCTTTTTCTCTCTGGGTGGATCATCTTGTGGCTGAATGATCAGCTAGGCTTGCAGGAAGCTAGTTGGTTGAATGCGATATGCACGGTGCTGAAAAGAAGCCAAGGCACCATCATTGGCAGAAGGCCGGAGGGTAGATCCATCCAAGACCAGGCCTCTCAAGGCAGTCAGTACCTACTCAGTACAGAACACTCCGTATGGAGCACAGGCTGGCGATTGGAGGGGCCCCATGTTGTGCAGGGCACATCCGCGGGATGCACCGCGAATCCCATCGTAACCTTGGACAGGGGTGGTTCAGGGAACGGTGGAGGGAAGGTTGCATTTCAGACTAAGGGAAACCAATAGGCGTGATGCTTAGGAAGATTCCAAGAAACAAACCCATAGTGGATGGAATCATATAATCTTCATGGAATATTGGGTCCCGACAGAGCCAGAGGCAGCCAAGAGAAGATGGACTTTTGAAAGCGGTGATGGTGGAGGAAGGAGAAAGATGTTTGTTGTTCGGACTGAAGTTGGCCGCCTCCCAAGAACAGATGAAAGAAAGAGAGCACGTGCATTCGCTGTAAACTGAAAGTGGACTAGCGGCACGGTCGATAGTGCGTGACCCCCGGGCGCCCTAACTCACCCATGTCACGATGTACCTACATTGAGTGGATAACTGCCATGATCACAGATCACTAATTCGAATTAGAACTAGCCATTGGTCTGCCAGCTAGTCAACTACCGGGATGATATCGAGCTACTATCAGGCTGTCTCATTAACGGAACCAGTCAACATCCCGCACTACGTAAAGTTTGACTACCCCCCTGCTCGCATTCTGTTTTCATCCATCGCCCGTTTAATTAAATGGCTCATATAGGCCCGGGATCATGTAGTATTATTGTTATATCACAGGGCAATAATAGCCAAAGCAGGATGTATATTCTGGGTATTATTAGTAGCGCCTACCTCCTTTTTGTTCATGATTGATCACCGTTATCAAATATAAGCTTCCTCGTTGGTTACATGTTTCAGAATGCCCCAACAAAGTTTGACTAGCTTGCTGTCTACCATAGACCCTCGTACCTACTCAAGAGGTGCCGAGCTCTCTAGCAGGCTGCGTTGTCGCGCACACGACCAAGTCCCTCCTCGCCCCCTTTATTTTCTTTGCCTTCCATTTCCTTGGCCCTACAGGTGCACCTTCGCCCCTGCTTGATTAGGGCGATTACTGTAGGTGTGGTAGGGGTAGGGGTAGGTTAGGTTAAGGTTCACGCAGTGCTGTGTTGCTCGATTTTTCGGAAAATGCGTTGGCTCCCTTTATGATTATACTAATTAATATATTATGATCTCTTCGATCCGACTAACAGGGCTAACAGCGGCCTAGCTCCAGCTGGAATTCTCCCGATTGCCTCTCTTGACCCCTTGGAGTTAAACGGCCTTTCAATCCAGCCCTCCATCATTGCGCCGATCCTGGCTTGCTGGTCGGTGAATTTTCCCTGACAGACCCTCCTGTACCACCACGGGTTAAATTAACTTTTCCTCTTCTTCCTAGTTACCGTTCACGGACCCTGGGACATGGTCTGACTACAAGAGACAGATAAAAAAAAAATGTAATTCGATCTGCGGCTGGCCGTCGATCACGTTTAAACCAGAGTGCGAAGGAGAGGTGTGGACTTGAGTCAGGGTGGAACAACGAGGCTGGGGAGAGAGTCCAGCTGGGTGTCCAGAACATTCGGTTCCTATTTCTGGGACCTTTGCTCGCTTGGAACCCACGTACTGAACAGTGTCGTTCTAGATCGTCAGATCCGGCCGCGTACCATCATGGTGGATGACTCTTCCCACCGAGCTGGTTATCGCCCCTGGCACACAATGGCCAGGGCCCGTTCTCCGGCTTCGAATCATGCTGGCGTAGTACACCCGACCGAAAGCTAACGGACTCTGATGGTTCTGGATGCTTTGTCTTAAATGACACTCAGGGATATATACTCTACATGAGTACATTCAAGCCATCAGATTGAGTCCGCGGTTCGCTGTCATGCCTTCCTACACTAACCCTTACAGTCCCGATACGTGGTCGATCAGCTGGAATGTCTCTGAGCAGATATGTCCTTGACAAATATTTTCAGGAAAAACAAAAATAGAAACAAGAAACCTCAACTGCCTTCTCGCCTCCAGAAATGCAGATGCCTCGTGACAAACCGAGGCGGGCTCAAGCTCGTCAACCAACCGTCCGCCATGGACCTGATTCGACGTGATTCAACGGGATTTGGCTTTCTTGATCGGTCTCACCTGTGCAACTGACATGGTGAGAACCTGGACAATCGCTGCCAGATAGCGACAACTTGGTTCAGGGCATTGGCCTTTTGGCTTTGCAGCGCTCGGAATGGAAATTCCAGCCGGAAGAATCAAGTGTCGATGTTTGTCGTGTTTCGCTGAGAATGCCAGGGACCTAAGCTGACGGACTGCAGTTTCTCCTGCTGATTCCAAATAGATAAAATACATGCAGATACTTAGCCGGGTCTGATGGGTACATACAACGTACAAACAGGCCGAGATTCTCCAGTCCGCATGAAGCGGTCGGAACCATTCCTCTGCACCGGGGGGGATCGACGACGAGAACTGCTTTTCTCCTCGAATCAATTTCCACGGCCATCCATGGTCCGCGGACATTCCACCCCAGAGCTGACATCGCGTACTTCGCCATGTGGAGGGCGCCGTCGAAAGGGAGCCGGCAGTCAGCGTCCACATCGGTTGATACCAAACGAGAACGGAACAAGAGACGCCACCGACCCAAGTCCAAAGACCGAGGATACCGGATGCCCATTTCACTCGTGGATGACATCTGCTGTCACACGAGGGGACGAAACTCGGTCTTCGTGTGCTCAACCCCGGCCGATAGCCTTGACGAGTTCCAAGCCGGTTTATCCTACGCTACACAGAGGACCCCTCCGTGATGGCAACCCTATTCCTAGCTTCCTCTGCAATGTAACGGGGGGCAGGAGACAAATAGATGCTTATTGTTCTTCTCTCTTTGTTTGGATTTGCTTTTTCCTGTTTTCACTTTTAGTTTTATACTATTTTATTTATTTTCTGCCTGGGGTATTTCGTGTTCAGGTTTCCCTCCAATCCCCAGATATCTTTCTTCAGGGTTTCCACAGCCCGTGTTCTCCCCGCCATTGGACCTGGCCTAATCGATATTTGTGCATCGTCGACGTCGGGTGTGACTCTCGGAATGATGCTACCATGTTACCACATCATGCAAACTTCGCTTTCTCCTAGCCGGGGCAAACTTGGGGGGAGAAGGTCTAGATGGAGCCATTGGGTCGGAGGACGAATCTATTTTCCAGGAACAGTAGATACTCTCCCCCTGTTCTGTCCCCAGGGCAAATATTCTTCTGGCTTCCTAGATATTCCGATCGACGAGCAGAGTAGAAGATTCGTTACTGGGAAGCACATGTGAGTGATTTTTGCTTTTCACGTATTCCACCTCTTGAATATTCTCTTTTCTCTTTTCTCCCTCCCCTTCCAACCAACGGCATGAATCAAAATCCGGAGATCTCGGACTTGACCGAAACCTCATCCGTGGCGGAGTGGATCAGCCCAAGAGATGATTGACGTAGGAAACCGGACTGACTACCTAGCTAGGGAAATGTGGGATGTTTAACTTTGGTCCTAGTCAAGAACGATAGTTGGAGTCATTATCAGCCTTCTTTGCATGATGGGGGGAGAAGGAAGGGTCCGATGTCTGACCCTTAGAGACGGAATGCAGTGCACACCATCGTCTGGACCCGTCTTACTCAGGTAACAAACCCACAGTGCCTAACTAGGTAGGGTTTGTCTCCGTCTGTCAGATTTTCCCTACCTGACCAGGCCGAGAGATGACAGATGAGAATGGATGGTGTGGATGGAGTATCGTGTGCTCCAAATAACGCTCTCGCATGACTGTCTGTCTAGTACTATACTGTGAGTTTGATGCATGAATCCCAATGGGTAGGAAGGTTCTGTATGTATATGTGTATGTATGTAGAATCTCTACCGTCAAGGAAAAGTGGACTCTTCACCCACCCATCCACCCTCACCCTCTGTTATCTTACACATAACCTCTCAGATCTACACCCTACGCAGACAAAAAGTATACCTACCTACCCTACCCACTCACCTACCAGATAAGCAATTTTCCCAAACCATCAGCAACAGACACGAAAGCCTCTCCCCGAGAGATAGAACTCTATCAAAATACGGTAGCCTTGAGACAATCCATCCATCCGACCCAGGCCGATGCGAAGCGCCAGCAGGCCCAGAGCCAGCAGAGCCAGAAGTAAAGACAAGACCCTTGCATGGACAACATTCCTCGAAACTTGTTCTTCGTTCTTTCGTTCTTCTTGCGTTCGATTTCTTGCGTTGGTTTGTTCAATCTATCCATTCATCATGAGCGGTCTTCGCGCTGCCCCCCCGTGTTCTACGTTTTCGTCTTCGTCTTCGTCTTCTACTTCTTCTTGTTGGTTCTATGACTCAGATAAGCATGCCGGGCTTTTCAGTTATGTATGTAGATGGGGGCTTTGGGGGTAGGCTGGTCTCGGAGATTACCGAGACAACACCGTAGAGATATTGTGTAAGGTGGGGGGGAGGCTGTTCCCCTCGTATCCTCTCTTCCTTTTCCTTATTTCTTCGTCTTTCTTTTTTTCTCTAAGATCGTAGGTATATTGATGCAGTAGATATATAGATAGGGGGAAAAGTGCAGCACGTCAAAGATCAACCCTCTAAAACCGTTGCTTTTCTTTTGTATAAAAAAATCAAGCGAAGTAAATGACACGTTTGGAGTGGGATAAAAAAAAGGGAAGGGGACCTTTTTTCAGTATTCATCATTATTGACCAGATCATACAATACAAAGAAAAGATCGACCCTTAGTCATGAAGGAAGCCCGCCCTACGGGCGAATAAAAAAAAGAAGTTGATCCAAAGTTGTGTCGTGAAGCAAGATAAGGAGATGCGAGAGAGGAAAAAAAAGGAAAAGAGAAGATAGGCGGGAAGTGAGAAGTGATTTTTTTTTCTAGGTGGCACGCTTGGCGAACTCGACGCGGAGAATGAGATGGCGATAACCGACTAGAAAGGAGGGAGAGAGGTGGGTTAGTTTTGCTTGCACGAATTGGAACAAGGTGGGAAGATAATGGGTACGTACAGCCGTCCATCTTCTCGCAGGCGCGAGCAGCGTCGCTCCGATCCGCGAAACTGATGAAAGCGAAGCCCTTGGCCCGCTGGGTCTCTCTGTCCCGGGCCAAAAACACTCTGGTGACACGACCGAAGCGCTCGAATAGATCCCGAACCTCTCCCTCCTCGGCCAACTCGCTCACCTGGAGACCAAAAAGTTAGCACGCAAATTTTCTTCGCGTTCCGCAGAACCAAAGACACCAGGGTGTTCTGCAGGAGACTCACGTTCGTAACTCTCAGCGTCGCCAGATCGTCCTTCTCGTACTTGCCAGCCATTCTCTCGCCGCCAGCAGCAGCACCCTTCCGCAGATGGGGAGGCACGTAGCTGGCATTGCTGGCACCAAGACCACCAGCAGCGGGAGAATCCTCGTCTCCGCCCTCGGCGCCGGCGCCACCAGAGGGCTCGTCGACCGGAGCCATGGTGTCCTTGAAGGGACAGCGAGCAGTGAAATGCTCTCCGCTGCAAATACGACACTTGACCTTCTTGTCCTTGAGCTGGTCCTTGATGCCGCCCTTCTCGCCGCCGGCCTTCTCCTCCTCCGCGGCCTGCGCCTTCCAGTTGATGCTGGGCCGGAACACGATGTTCTCGCCGACGGAGGTGGTATCGAACGAGGGTCCGGCAGGGTTGCCCTTCTCCAGACCGAATTTGTCCCAGGCGCGTCGCTCAGCGACCCGGGGGTTCACATGTTCGCGGACAACGGTGGTTTTGATGCGGCGGGTCACCTTGACCTTCTTGTTGTCGTCGTTGAAGCGGTACGAGATCACCGTCTTGGTGCCATCTTTGTTCGTCGTGACTTGTTGCGGGGGGAGAGCGGAGGGGTCATCGAACTCCTCGTCGTCGGCCCAGTCGGCGCGGCTGGAAAGAAAAAAATTTGTCAGAAAAGGGGAGAGACGGACGTGCGCCGCATTTTGGGACCACTTTTCACTTACTTTCCTAGTTTGGACATTGTGATCTGTGGTGATGTGAAATCGTTGCTGATTTTCTCGGATTTCAACGAAACGGCGATTCTGGTTGTGGATTTGTTCGGCGCGGCAAATTCCCTGTGGCGCAGGCCCCTGTGGCTGGTGTATCCGGACCAGCCCGGTCACGTGTGTCTGCCCTGACTAGGAGGACGGCATCTTTGTCCATACTCCCTATGTTGGACACGAATCTCATCTCCGTTGATTATTCTTTGATATATCAGAGATATTGTATCGAAGATTCCACCATTGTATCGCAATCGACGTATCGAATGGACTGAGATAACTGCTAGCATAGAATATTAGACGAGCAACATTCGCGAAGCATGAAGAGACGAAGCAATTCAACGAAAGAATAAACACCCTTTTTTTCGGACTGCTTTCCAATTGACCAAGATCATGTGAACCAAAAGATATTGAAAAAAAGTAACCAAAAGATGTCATAACATTGAAATAACAGTCGCCGCCCCAGCAAAAACAATATCCTAGAAAAGCCCTAATCGTTTCGTCCTTTGCGTTTGCCACTCTAAAAGAGGACAAATGCGACTTGAAAAACCAATCGTGGGGGAAAGGTTCTCTCGAGTTATTAATGAACAGTAGCGAGAAGGTTGAAGCAGAATAAATCCAGAATAACTCCTACATGAGCTTAGTTATCTTGAACACTCGGTCACATCGAGTTAGACAGGGAGGATTCACGTACAATGAGTAGGGGAACATCACAGCATCACAAACGTAGGAGCGATGCAGATAGACTTAATTTGCCCTGGTCAATTCTGACAATATTTGCCAGGTTTTGTAGTGTCGAGAGCAAAATTGTGATATGGTCATATGTCTGAGCCAGACGAACTGGAACATCCACTTGATGTTACCCACATCTCAAACATATTCCACAGTCACACTACCTTGTTTCCTGCCTTCATACCAAAGTTCATATCGGCAGTGTGCAGAATGATAAAATGCGTGGATTTCAAAGGAAATTTCGTAGTAATACCTTCTATCTGCACCTGCACAGATAGGTATCCGGCTTCTCTGTAATTGATCCAGTCTGGGATTTAAAACAGCATGTTCCTTCATTCCTAGTACACGCAGAATATGAGTAACTTGCCCGGACGTGAACATGACTGGATTACTTACGACGATTGAAATATAAGGCCTGTGTGACGGCGTCCAGCTCATATAGCCTGACTCTGATTGAACCAAAAGTGCCGTCGCTAACCAGTTGTCGCCGAGACCATCGAGTCACAATGGGCGTTGTCTCGTTTATTTGATCCCCCTTCTGTCACGTTAATGGCCAAAGTCTTACAATAAGCTTCTTCTAGGGGTCGTACCTTTTTGGCGAACCAAGACATAACATCGATACAATAATGCCCCTCAAAGTCAGACCAGTAGCTGTGAATGTTAGACCCCATACCTGGATTGGTCTAATAAGCACTCACCTCCTAGACTCTTTATGCAAGCTCACGTCAAATATTACTGAGCATATCAGGCCGTAACTTTTTCTAGCCATGCGTGACTCAATGAGTGTCTGGGGGGCCAAGGACGAACTGTCTCCTAAAGTCTTTCTCAAAGCCCCTCTAACAACTGCTGTCCAACCATCGACAGGGGCAAAAAGTTCGATACTCGGTGCAAATGATTCACGCAGATATTTGCGTAGATAGGGACTCTGCCCAAACCCACCAACTAGGATAATTGTCTTGACCTGCTTTCTAGAGGTTCTGATCTGGCCTTTCACGAGGCTACGAACCTCTTCAAGAACGGGCAAAAATATTTGTGCCATTTCCTCTCCAGTCACTCGAAGCCGACCTCGACTAACTCCAAGAACCTGGTTGTCCGGTACCCCAGGAACAGGGATCATGGTATTACTCCTAACATCTCCAGCGAATTTTCGTTTAGTAACCCATTCGAATCGTTGCATTGCATCCCCAAGGGAGTCGCGACCCCATCCGGGTACAGAAGATAATCGTTCTTCCAGAAACTTCTCAAAGCGCCGATTAAGGAAACTGCTGCCGCAAAGAGACCCATCTCCAGGTGCTGCCTCCTTGAGACGTAGGGTGGGGCGTATTTCAAGGATGGAAAAAGTTATCAGGTCACAAGTACCTCCTCCGGCATCTAGTAGTACCACCACATCGCCGACTTGTAGCTTATGCGGATTTGAAAGTGCATGTACTGCAGCTGCTTCAGGCTCCGAGATGATACTGAGCTCTGAAGCTTGGCCAAAGCCTGCCTCTTGTGCGCAATTGAGTGTCGCAACTTTAGTCTTTTCTGACCATATTGCCGGGACCGTGAAAACGAATTGTAAATCCTTGACCTCAAGCGATCTCGATATGTGTAATCTTAAGGTCTCGATGGTATGCTCTCGTAGATGACGGAGGTAATCAGTCACGGCCTGCTCAGGCGACGAGTGATGCGGAATTGGGCCTTTACGACGGTCATCGTAAGTCTCAGGAAATCTTAGACTAATCTTGTGTTTCTGATCAGGGGCAAGTTCAAGCTTTAGCCATTGGATGCGTGGCATGGCATCTTCTATCTGGAAGCCCCAAAAAGAGCTTGGTACAGACTCTCCATACGTATAGGCAAGCTCGCTCGGTACTTTGTCGCTTGTCATTCCATCAAAGGAACCATCCTTGTTTTGGGGCCAATTATTTATGACGTGGTGTCTGTCGGGCTAGAATTCGTCAGTATGTATCAAAAAATGCAATCTGATTTCTAGACCACTTACATTGTCTATAAGAGCCCATGCAACACCCGAGAAGGTTGTACCAAAATCCAAAGCAACGAAGGCCTTCTTTCTAATGGCCAATGCATTGACCATTTTGGTGTTCTAATAGTAGGCTTAGCTGGTTGATCGTAATTAGGCTTTAGTACTTTGGTTGCTCGCTGACACAGTGTATCCTGAATGTGTTTTTCTAGCGGCTGGAATGTGTATGGGGTTAGAATGAAGTTGAAATGATATCAGGGCATCAAGTGTTGATATAGTCAGAGCTGAGTAATCCCAATGAGACGACTTTCTTCTCGGGATGGTGCAAAGTAGAAGTGTAATTGTGCAGTGAGGTCTATCACTTCGAGTAGGTGTGAGTGCGAGGGTTAGAGATAGAAGTCAAGATGAAAGATGAGTGATAGCCAGGTAGGAAGTATAGTACTGATAGAAGGTGGGGTATAGAAGTAAAGGTGAGGTCTAAAAAGAACAAGGTGCGAGGAAGAGTTGCCGTGAAGTACTTCGAGTGATGAAAGGCGGTCTTCGAAACTGGAAGGAACCCAACTTCTTCAACTCGTGACTCGCTATCACTTTTGTTTCTCGCCTCTGTTTTATGCGTAGGGTATAGGAAGACAACTGATTCTATATCCCTTGTCTTTCTTCGCCTCATCTGATCATCTGTCATCATATCTCCGAAAGCACAAAACTACGGATCTCAGAGGAGCGAAAAACGAAGCCACCGAAGTGAGTGCACTTTCTCTTCCAGATGCCATTCGATTTATTGACGGTCTTTTAGAGCGGAGCTCTTACCCAGCCTACGACTCATAGCCCAAAAATCTCATACTTGTGTTCCGGGAAACCACCGCCAAGATGCATGCCGCCGAAAGCATTTGGCAGGCGCTCAAAAGCGTCGCGTCTTGGCTACTGGAAGTTCCAAAGTACATTTGGAATTTGCTAGAAAAGTCCACCGAGGAAATACACAAGACGGACCAGCCGCTGAAGGATGCAAACCAGCACATCCAAATGTTGGAGGCTGAGCTCCAAGCCTGTCAAATGCGCCTGTCCAGATTCATACCAGACTATCAGCTTTCCGACACGACCATTCGGGAGAAGGTTATTGAACTTCAAGAAAGTGTGTCAAATTGGGCTGAGGAATTTCCTAATGATGAAGATTTCCAACATTCATTGGACTTGGCCTATGGCAAGTTCCAGTTTCCTAAAGGGACCAACACCTGGGGAATGGAATACCCAGGGTGGCTTTTCGTTGCACAGTCAGAGATCTTGATAAGCATAACTTGGTGGCACATTTGCCAAACGCTATTCATGCCTCTTGTTATTGCATCCTCGGATGATCTACGTGTTTTGCAGAAACTCGACACGGGTATTACCAAAATTGACCCGAAGAAAGGTATGTAAAAGACCTTCAAAATGAAGATTTTCGAACTAACTTCTGTAGATCAAGAACTCGTCAATCTATGGAGATCGGATACAATTCGAGCCTATGTTTCGGGCCAACAACAGCAGGATTATGTGCAGATGAAGTGCTCAAAACTGAAAGCGAAGTTGCGCGAGATATTTGGTTTCTTCGACTTCCAATTCGAATTTGACGAAGACCACAAATTCTCGAGCCTCGAAGAGCAGATTCTCATCCCGGCCGCGGAACTTGCTATAGAATTGAGCTGCTCTCCGGAGAAGTACAAATGGCTTTGGCGTATGAACAACTTCCCGGGTTGTATTGTTCGCAAAGGACACCTAGACTGTTTTAACATCATGGACGTTGCGACTCATAACAAGATTTCGAAAAATAAATACAACCATGTGCACGAGACTGCAGAAATCGGAAAACTGCTCCTCGTCATGTTTCCTGCACTGTAAATACGTGGTCAGAAGGGAAAGCACGACATTCTGATCGAGAAAGCCACTATTCTTATTCGCGTCAACTCAGACCTGCCTTCAGTTACGGTTAAAGTTGACGATACTCAGCGTCCGGCATGAAGCCTGGTGTGGGTGGATTCTTTGGTCAGCGTCTTTCGATGAGCGGAGATGGTTGGTCTCGTGCTGCTATTGATCAGGTTGGGGGGGGGTGTTATCATTTTCGATCGGTTTTGCGACGGGAACGTTTTAGTCGAGGACCAAGTTGATGATTTCGTGCTTCAATTTCGTTCTTCTTTTTCAAAAAGTTTTGTTTCCATGACATGAACTTCAGATTCAGTCGATTCTCATTGAGTAAATGCATCATTGGCATCAATTAAACATCTATTTACAGTCCCAGTCACATAACCCTAGCGCGACATTTCCACATGAAACTATGCAATAAAGCAAATGGCCGAATATAACAAAACAATCTATATATGCATAAACGAATCCTGCAACAAAACCCCATTTACCGACCAAATATCCTTATCTCGATGGGCCGTAATACCATATACGACACCGAGGCGAAGGCGAAGGCCAGTTCGAAGCCAATGTCACCGCCAGAGGGGACTTTGCCCGCATGTAATGCAATGGGTCCCACCCACCACGACTGGCTCATTCCGGTGATCATGCCGGCAACGCCGAACCCAAAAGCAAGGGCAGCGGCAATGCCAGGGGGCAGCTTGTCGGGCTTGTCGTATATCTCAATACGGTATCCCGAAAAGCCTCGCTTGAAGACGAAATGGTCGGTGAGGGAGATGCCCGAGTATATGGCAAGCCAGTATGCGATAAAGTTCATGAAGTTTTCCAGAATCGTTTCAAAATAAGAGTATCCTGGAATTCCAATAGCAATCGAGGCGCAGGAACCCAGAAACACCCAGATGAAACGGGGAACTTTCGGGGAGTACCGAGTCAGAACCTGAAGGGTAAGAGCGACAGAGTAAATGTTGGGACAATTGTTGGCGATGATGGAAAGAGCAAGAATGACCAAGCAAAACTTTCCGAAACCGCCAAGCGGCTCGAGAACGGCGTTGAGCAAACCGCCATTTCCGGATGTCGAATAACCCAACTGATATTTGTTGTTGCCGTCGTCGATGGACGTCGCGGTCATGATCGCAATACCCAGCATCTGGGTGAAGAGCAGAGGAAGGATGAGTCCGGCCCAGGCGGAGAAAAAGATCTTGCGGCGACTGCGGTTGGCGGGCTGATACACGGTGTAATCAGCAGCATAACTGGTCCATCCAGTAGCGAAGCCGTATACAGTGGAGCCAAACGACAGACAACCCCCAATCTCAGATGTTCCAACCCCCATCGGGATATTCCTGAAATCTCCGGAATGGGCAAACATCCCGAACACAATCATGAAGACGATGAACGTGGGGATCCAGCTCCAATACTCATACATATGGACCACTTTGTATCCTGCGAACGTGACGAAGAGGGTACAGAAAGCTATGATGAGGATACCCGCAAATCCCGGCACGTCACTGTTGACCGCGTTCAAGAGCTGGGCACCTACAATGGAGTTGGCGGCGGACCAGCCCACACAAGCCAACACATTCAGACAGGCAACTGAAAAAAGAGAATGTAAGCATTTGTCTTTCTTGGAGAAACAGTTATCGGTTAGGTACTTACTAAATTTGGTTGCCCACCAACCGAACCAGAATCTTGAGAGTACCATTTGTCGAAGACCGAAGGGAGGACCGAAACACGAAAAGAAGCAGACGGTCATGATACCCAGCAGGTTGAAGAAGAGGCAGACCAGGATGGCATCAACGAAGCCGAGTTTGAAGAGGGATTTCCCGAGGACACCGATGGCGAAAGAACTGACTACCATGTTGGCCGCCAGCCACTGCGACGGGTCAGTTGGGAGGGCATTCTTGTCATGCCAGGCAAAAGCCGGCGTCAGACAAATGCAATAAGGCTAGAAACACACCATGCTGCCAATATTGAAATAGGACGTGTCCGTTTGCTCTTCCGCCGGTACCCGTTCGATACCGCGCTGCTCGATGTTGAGCTTTCCTGCCAGTCGTTGCACCTTTGCGTAGAGAGAGTCGCCATAGGCAAAACTCTCTCCAGGAACAGCTCCATCGCTACTATCGTCGGCGGGGAGCTTGGCCACCTGAGGGGCCTTTTCGAGGTCGGGGTCACTGCTACTGCCCCCAAACATCGCGTCGAGATCGGGATCCGACAGAACCGTGTTTCAACGATTGTATATGGGTGTCGGCACGAAAATCCCCACCAGTGAAGGAGGAGACTTGGGGAGACGGAATGGATGGACGAGGCAATTGAGCGAGCTCACAACGACCACGAAGGGTACTTCGAAGGAGGGGGAAAGGGAAAGGGACGGAGGAGAAATAGATGGTGTCTCACATGGTTCTTTTTTCTTTCTTTCTTTTCTTCGACAGAGGGGAGGAGGGACAGCTACTAATAACTACCAGCTGGAAGGCTGGAACTAAGACAAATTCTGTTCCGCACAGTCACATCCTTCCGACGGCCCACAGTGGGAGCTGACCCGATCCAGCAGGAACCACCAGTCGGAGAATGACCGCGAGCGCGTATCTTCGGACTTGTCGCGTGTGCCGACTTTCTCCCCGAGTCAAGCCTTTTTTCTTTTTGTGTTCGTTTCGAGAATCCCAACGGGCCCGCCTTGGCTAAGTTGGCTACGTTGGCTAACCCTAACGGACTCACGCTTGTCCCGCTTTGGGTCGTGGCCGGCCCCATCCGGCCCCATCCCGACTCCCTGATTCGTCACTAGCGTTTCGACTTGGAGGGCCAAGCACCACATGGGCTGGATCGCACCTGCCCTGATTGGTGCCGGTCCCTGACAGACGCAGGTGGGCCCGTGGCGATTTTTACTTTTTGATAAGCCTTTCGTCCATGATAGGCAACTGCAGATATGTTATGATAACAGTGCACGTCACTGCTGCGTTCATGGGATATCTCGAAAATTCCCTACTATCTCTCCTATCTTGGATCTGAAATCATCTTCCATTGGAAGTCTGGATACCGGTCATCACCGATAGACAACTTTTTCACCCTATTCAACATCCATCGCTGGCCGATCGGGGTAGATCCCTACACAACGGGCCAAACTCCTGCTTGTAATTCGCAAAAACCAGTGGAATGATATTATATAGTTTACTGTGCCTAGGTAAAGGGCGTTATATAATGAACACTATTGAATATCTAGCCATTGCGTCCCAATATATGTTGTCTGCTATCATCGCATCAATAACATCTTTAGTCTATATATTGTTCCACCTCTTAGATTCAATCTCCTGCCCTCCTACCTAGAAAATTGTCAAGTTCCCCAGGAACTCAAACTACCCCACGCTATCGGAAACCTACGCTGCCACGAGGATGAACAAGATCGGGCCTCGCCGCATTGCCCCCTGCAACTGCAACACCACTATCAACCAAGCTATGGCGAAGTTTCGGGCTTATGCAGGTGCCAATCTTCCCGCAATATGAAGGATCAATATGGCTGGATTCTCATTGGAGCTTGCCGATGATAGAGGATGGACGTTCTAGTCTCAATTCGGACGTAGCTGATTCTTGCGATAAGGGAAACCAGCTTTATTGGGGTGATGTCATTAGCATGGAGATAGTGATTTGTTTGGCGTATCTTCTTTTTAATGGCACTGGGTCTGAAGCCGCGCGGGTGAACAATATATACAAAGTGTTTGTGTCCACTCCATAGCTCCTTCACTACATTTCGTAGGCGTGCTGCTCGCAAAGAAAACTGTGGGTTATAAAGATGAAATAATTCAACTAATCGAGATCGCCAAGATGCTTGTCGTAGGGAGAAGAGGCCTCTCAGCTCCTGCATACATGAAATGACCACTGGTAGACAATCGGCGAAATGCTTGGCATATTACACCTCAGGCACTTGATGTGACCACATGCTCTTCCGTACCTGCCGAACAGACCGAGCCATCTGCACGTGATGTACCATGTCCAAAGGGGGTTGCTAATTCCCGACAGAGGCTGCGTGTTTGTTCTCGAACTTGCGTCTCTCGGAATAATAATTGATTCAAGCATGGCTTTCTCCTTCCATAAAACAGGAGTGAAGAGCTACTCATATCTACAATTAACTCAGACCCAGACGCGTGGTTGAAACTAAATCAATATTTTCTATCAAAAGAACAATCAATGATATAATTTAGAAAAAGCAAACGCTGCAACCCACGGTCATAGAACATCATTGGAATATGCATCAAAATGCTCCCGACCCCAATCCCGAAATGAAAGTGGAGGTATCAAATTATTTACAGCTTAGCAAGCATCTTGTTGCCCTTCTGCAACAGAGCAGCGGCATCCGTGACGAGTTCGTCAACAATAGCCTTGGCAGGCTTCTTCTCCGACACAACGGCGGCAACCTTGCCCATCAGGAAAGGACGAGCATTGTCCAGGGTCTCATCATCAACATCGTCGGGCAGGTTCTCGAAGTCGTGCTCGACGGGGATGATACCCTTGGCGGTCAGTTGCTTGATCTCTTCCTGGCGGTTCTCCTCCCAGTTCTTGATGTATTCATTGTTGCGGACACGCAGGGGACGGCCCTATGAATAGTTAGCGCATACTCTTCTATTTCGCTCGTAGCTCAGAAAGACTTACGGTGAAGATGATGGTGCGAACGTTATCCTCAAACCCGGCGGTACGGACAGCCTCCTGGTGAGCAACGGGGGCACCGGCCTCGTCGGACAAGATGAAGCGAGTACCAATCCAAACGGCAGAGGCACCAAGCATGAGAGCAGCGGCGACCGAGTTTCCGTTGAACAGACCACCAGCAGCGACAACTTGCACGGGAAGACCGGTCAAGGGACTCTTCTTGCCCTGGCAGAGCTTGGCAACGGTGGGAATGAGAACGGTGGTCGGGACATCACCAGTGTGTCCACCACCCTCACCACCCTGGGCGCAGATAATATCGGCACCGGCATCAAGCGACTTCTGGACGTGCTTGGGGTGACCAATCATGTTCATGTACAAGATACCGGCGCTGTGGAGACGATCGACGACATGCTTGGGAGGGATACCGACGGCAGAAACGAAGAGCTTCGCGCCGCTCTCAATGATGATATCAACGAGCTCGTTTAGCTTGCCCTTGGTGTAGTCGTAGCTGATGAAAAAGAACGTATTAGCATCCATGATTCTTGCTCCGACAAGACGGTTGCTGCATGAGGGATTCTTACTTGGTCTTGCGTGCGCTTCCTCCGACCTGGGGAAGCAGAAGGTCAACACCGAAGGGGGCGTTCTTGTCGTTCAGATAGCTCTTGAGCTCGGAGATCTGTTCCTTAAGCATCTCAGGGGTGTAGCCGACACCACCGATAACACCGAGACCACCAGCGTTGGTGACCGCAGCGGCCAACTTAGGGCCGGCGGCCACGTTCATACCTGCCAGCAGGATGGGGTGGTTGATCTTGAGCTGATCAGTGAGGGTAGTGCGGATTTGCTCTGTCAAACTTTGAGTTAGAGGGAGTGTCCTCGACAGGCTTTGGGGTCACGCGCCCCGTTCACATGCGGAGAGGCGTGCGGAGGGCGTGGGTGGAAATGCTTACGAGGAGAGGCCATGATGGAATGCGAAGATGGGTATACTGATGAAAGAAGGAACAAATTTGATATTGACAGATAGGAATAAGGTATTGGAAAAAAGAGAGAGGTGTCAGAAAGTGTGGGGAAAGAAAGACAATGGGTTGATTCTTTATAGGGAGGCCGAGGGACCGAGGGCGAAGAGCGTCAGCCAGAAAAGCCTCGGTCCAACATTTGATTTGAGCCAGAAATTCCCCGGAGTTTGCACTGCCGATGACTAACCGCGCGGGAACTGGTCACGCCCCGGTCAGCTGATCCCGCGTCTTCCGCGCGGCAACTTTTTTCCACATGACGTAGTCGACAGTCGCATTCTCGACCATTTTCGTAGTCAGAAATGGGTTCCGGCTCTCATCTATGGCGATCCTCCAGTGCGGGTCTTCTGCACCTTCCTGCTCATAGAAGGGCCTGCGGATCACTTCCAAGAACCGTCAAGAGGTAGGTCTTCGGAATAGGAACGCGTCTGTCCTTGACCCCTCCCCCGCCCTTGCTTCTATATTAACATCTGGATAGAACCCTCTATACCTCTCAGTCTAGTATGTTCACTTGATCAGCGCTTGAGACCCTACTGTGCAAGCTCTCCTTGCATGCATAATTTCACTCTGTTCAAACATCTGCCATTGGCATCTATCATCCACCCATCTGACGAAACTAATCTGTGCAATCAGCGACCCCATCGACTAGTTCTCTTGACAGACGATCATTCTCCAATTCTAATGCACCTACGTCCAAGAATGGGCCTCTAAAGCCATCCGTGCCTACCCGAGGCTTCTCCAATGGCTTAATAGCGCCCTCCAATGCCAGGATGAGCTCGGTCGAGACCCCCGCCCACCGAGCTTTCATAGCTCTGGGAAGCAACATGGGTGATCGAGTGGAAATGATCGAGGCGGCCTGTCGAGAAATGGATCGGGCTGGAATCAGAGTGAAAAGGACCAGCTCACTCTTTGAGACGGCGCCGATGTACGTTCTCGACCAGGATGCGTTCATGAATGGCGTTTGCGAGGTTTGTTTCCTGTCTCCCAGTCAAGCTCGTCCGTGCACTGGTCTTGACAATGAATCAGGTCGAGACCAGCCTAGAGCCCCTTGAGCTGCTAGACGCCATTCAGTCGATCGAGATTGATCTGGGAAGGAAGAAGTTGATCGACAAGGGTCCCCGATCCATCGACCTAGACATTCTGCTCTACGACCAGCAAGTCTTCTCCCACGAGCGACTCAACATTCCGCACAAGTTGATGCTCGAAAGGGACTTTGTTCTACGGCCTCTAAGCCAGTACGTGGAGTCCTTGATATGATCATCAAAAAGAATCACAATCTAACCGAAAACACCGCCAGACTCATCCCTCATGAACGCCCTCCCTTCCCTGGTCACGAAACCACTTACCTATCCCACCTGAACTCTCTCCCTCCGCCAGACCCCACCCCCGTATCAACAACCTACATCTCCAAAAGCTTCCCTACCTTACACTCCACCGACCCCCGCCGTCCCACCCACGTCATGGCCATCCTCAACCTCACCCCCGATTCCTTCTCCGATGGCGGCAAGCACTTCTCCTCTGACTTCTCCACCCTCACCACCACCGTCCGCCAGTTCATCGCCGCCGGCGCTACCATCATCGACATCGGCGGAGAAAGCACACGCCCAGGATCCGAACCCGTCGGCGAAGCCGAAGAACTCGCCCGCGTCATCCCCGCCATCCGACACATTCGCACCTCGATCCCCGAAGCCGCCAACATCGCCATCAGCATCGACACGTACCGCGCGCGCGTCGCGGAGGAAGCCTGCGCCGCCGGCGCCGACATCATCAACGACGTCTCCGCAGGCCTCCTGGACCCAGACATGCTACCCACCATGGCACGCACCGGCAAGACCGTCATCCTCATGCACATGCGCGGCACGCCTTCCAACATGACCAAACTCACCGAATACCCGAACGGCGTCATCCACGACACCACGACCGAGCTGCACGAACGTCTCGCCGCCGCCGAAGATGCCGGTATCCGACGCTGGCGCATCATCCTCGACCCCGGGCTCGGGTTCGCGAAGGGCCAGGCCCAGGATCTCACCATCTTGCGGGACCTGCAGAAATTCCGGACGCAGGAGAGCGGCCTCGAGGGCCTCCCGTGGCTGATGGGCCCCAGTCGGAAGAGGTTCATTGGACGGCTCACGGGCGTCGAAAAGGCCAGTGAGCGTACCTGGGGCACTGCGGCCGCCGTGACGGCTAGTATTGCTGGTGGTGCGGATATCGTGCGCGTGCATGATGTCAAGGAGATGTGGCAGGTCGCGAAAGTGGCAGATGCTATATATAGAAGTTGATTTGGGGTGTTTGCCCCCTCGCTCTCTCGCTCTCTCTGCTGATGTGTGCGCTTTAGAAGATGAAGAAGGGAACTGACGTGATACGATGATTCAACGGGTCAAGACTTTGCATATTTTCAACAATATCAAGATAACTATATAAATAGACTAGTGAGAAACTGGCTTCTTTTAATACACAATTACTATGAAGTGGTATTAGACATTCATGCTGCAATTTACAGTATAGATCTAGCAACCCCCAATCTCCGACACAGGAAGTACATAAAAAGATTTAATTTAATGATTCGTTTAATTTTAAAACGACAAAGAAAACAACTCCTAACACGACCTAACCTACTTATTTCGAAAGAATATACAGGAAATCGTCAGGGATAGGAAAGAGACATGAGCAAAGGGGAATGCCAATTTCAAAGTTTTCAATTAACTCAAAACCACAAAGGCAACTAACAAGGGGAATGGGAATAAAAAGTAAAGGCAACCGACTTGAACATGACTGGATCAAGTCAGGACGGAGAGATGTTCTAGATCTTAAACTCTCATGGGACCGCTTCTGGTGAAAGTGGTTATGTTTGTCGGTTGCAGTCGGTTGCATTGGATTGAGAATGTAGGCTGAAGTGGGGGAATACGAATGAGAACGCCGTGTATGACTCAAAAAAGAACAAGAGAGCTGTGGGTAGCACGGATGGGAGAAGAAGAACATCCAAGTAAGCGATATTGTGGGTGTGGGTTTTATAACGCGAATGGGAACCATTTAGCTGTTCAAATAGCTGCGGATAGCGCCTAGATCATTGTTAGTTTTGTCCAAGGAAATCAAAACGACAACAGGGCACACCAACCTTGCAGTTTGACGGCTCCATCTCCAACGATCTGAGAGAGGTTTTCTAGGTCATCACCGGCCGTGATGCCAAAGCGGCGAACAAAGTCCTTTGCGGCACCTTCCAGGTCTCCGTAGGTATCATCTCCGGCAGGAAGGTCGTCTTCAGGTCGGCCAAAGTAAGAGTTACTAGAAATAGCAGTGGCACCATCGAAGTTGCGCAGGCGCTCCTTCGCCTCCGCTTGCGCGTTGGGATCGAATCGTTCCCGCCCAAAGAACTCGTCCGACGAGATACCCTTCTGGGTGCCGAATCGATCCTTGGCTTGCTTAAGTTCTTCATCTGCATAACTTCGTTAGTATCGAGCTTAGACCAGCCATATAAAAAGCAGATAACCTACCATCAGCAGCCGTTCTGGTGGGACCAACCGACCCAAAGCCCGGCTTCTTGGGAGCAGCAGGCTTCGCGCCGACAGTTTGACCAAACCCAAGACGTCCAATGCCCATGCCAAGACGCTCCACATCGTTGGAGTTCCGCTCCTGGGAGCTCTTAGTGGCGCCGAAGCCGCCCTTGTTCGGACTGATCGGTGTCGGGGACGCAATGGCGGTGGCTCCTGTGTTTGCCGTCTTGTTCTTGGCATCAGCCTCGGCCTTTTCGGCCTCGGGGTCATAGCCAAGTTTCTCGATGCGCTCTGCCTCCTCCTTGGCTTTCCGCTCTGCCTCGTCGAAATCGATAATCTCCGCGGCAGCAACCTTCTTGGCCCCGAGTTTAGGAGCCTTCTTGGCACCCAGAACGCTGCCCTTCTTCGCAGGACCCGTCGACGAAGTCTTGCGTACAGAGGCGCTGGCCCGGATAGCAGCCGGAGCAGGTGAGGAGTCCTTATCGGAAGCCGAAAGCGGGGACTTGGAGCGAGCGCCGTTGGCATTGGCAGCGGCAGCGGTGTTCAGGAACGGGGTGCCATTCCGGCTGACAACTGGAGGGGTGCCGGTGCGGGAGGGAGGATTGCTGGGGCGCTTAATGGAGGGCTTGTCCCACGAGGAAAAGAAATCATCCTCGTCGGCAGCAGGGGTGCTAGAGCCGTTCGACGAAACGCCGGCGGGGACATCGGTGATCTCCACTTCTTCGGGGTACCTGAGGGCGAGAATGCATGGTTAGGTTCACGAACTGCGAAAAGAAGGTCGAGATGCGGCACTGACAGTTGAGCATCCTGCGCGGCCCGTCTCTTCAATTCATCCTTGTACTTAACGGCGGCATTGCACGTGTACTTGACCTTGACGTCCTTGCTGGCGAGAGCGGCAGATCCGCCATGCGATTGGAAATATTTAGTGGCGGACTCGTTACCGCCGACTTTCATAAGACGGAGCTGCTCCCATTGCCATTCTGTGGATCGCAAATTAGCATCGCATTGGAATACCGACTGGGGAGGCACGGGGGTGGAAGAGACGCATACGGTCGAGGTTCGTGGAACGAACAAAGGAAATGTGGACACCCAGGTTACGATGGTTGGCGGAGCAGTCCAAGCAGAGGTAGATACCGAACGGCACCGACGACCAGGTGGGATTCTTGGAGCCGCAATCAAAGCATATCTATGCAGCCATACCAACCGTCAGCATAACGACGCTCTAGTGACCCAGCGGGGAGGGGTTAATTTTGCGCACCTTGTTAGCGGGTTTGAGTTTGAGTTTCTCAAAGATCTTCTGAGACTCCGCCTTGGAGGCACTCATGGCGACGAGTGGGAGAGAAAGAAGGACCCGAAATAAAGGAGAGAGACCGTCACGCAGACAAGACAGGAAGTCGAGGGAGGGAGGAAAGAGGATCCAAAATGCATTCGGGAGAGCGAACGTGGTCGGAATCGGTTTGGAACCGGGCCGTGGCTTTTGCAATGGGAGCGGGTATTTTTCACTCAGATCCTCCTTACTGGGAGGCCTCCACCAATTTGCTTGCCGCCCACAGCCTCAGCCCCGTATTGCAAATACACACACGGCGAGCCGAAACTTTCAGGCAGCGGCTGAGGGCCTGAACCGCCAGGCCGCGGTGTCCACGTGACCCACCCTTTCCCCACATCTGGAAATGGGCGGCGAGCGACGCTTCGTTTCTTCGGCGGTCGCTGCAAATTTCCGGGTCTCGCGCGCGGCCATCCAACCTGCTTGCTGCCATCTTTCCATGCCCCCCACGGCTGCGCGACCTACTACTGCGATTCAACGCGAACCCGGGTGACGCTGCGGTCAGCTGTCGTCGTCATGAATCCGTCTCTTCGATCCAGCCCTGCCTTTTCGAGGGCATCCTCTGCCCTGGCCCTGCGTTCTGCTGGTGGTCTTCCCCGCACGACGGACCTGGCTCGTCGGTATGCGACCCAGAGCGATATGGGTCGGGGTGCCTCGGGGCCTGCGACGCCCCGGAGAAGGAACGTTACCGTCCTGTCGGACGACGGGCGATACGAGTGGGGGGAGCTGAGCGGGCGGGAAAAGGCCGCTCGGGCAACGCAGCAGTCGTTCAACTTTGTGGTGGTCTTGGCGGGTGCGGTGTTGACGGTGAGTGGACCTGATACTTTCTGATAGGGCGATGGTTGGATGGGAAGCTGACCGGGTTGCTAGGGAGGAGTCTTCTACCTCCTATATACCGAGGTCTTCTCCCCGAATAGCAGGACGTGGCAGTACGAAAAGGCCGTCGAACGCATCAAGAACGACTCGCGGTGTACGGACTTGCTCGGAGATCGCAGGGAGATTACAGCTTTCGGAGAGAATACGGGGAGCAGGTGGGCGCGGAACCGTCCAATTGCGTATGTTCCCCTCATGTCTAGGGATGTGTCGACAACGCTGATCTGGTTTCTAGGAGCTCGATTGACAAGGATCGCTTGGGTCGCGAACACTTAAAGATGAACTTCCATGTAGGTTACTCGGCCCGGGTTTACAACTGGACGGAGAATTAACGGTGAACAGGTCGAGGGACCTCGCAACTCGGGCGTTGTCTTTGTGCACATGATCAAGTCTCATGACCAAAATGACTGGCAATATCATCTTCTTGCGTTGGAAGTGAACGGTTCGTTATTCAAGTTGGGTCTCGGATGTCTACTTTATACTAATTGGTTTCTGTTGTAGGTCACTCGCGGATTGTGCTCGAGCAGGCTCCTGAGAAACCAGGAGTTGGCAAAGCATTGAAGCTCCTCGGTATTCAGTGGCGTTAACTCACAACTTTATATACCACGGAAACTGTGTGCTGCATGGCGTACGCCACGAAGTTGGCATTACTTGTTCCGATAGCGGAACTGAGATGCCGAATCTGCTTACATTTGGCTGACGGGCAAGAATGTCGCCTAGTCAAACCTATCGCAGCTTTGGGGCCAGGAGACCAAGCTGCTGGTAAACCTAGAGAGCGGTCTGAAGAGGGGTGTCTTCTCTGACTGTCCTATCATTGTATCATAGTGTATTATTCATCAAGATGACTAGGTTATTTATCTACATAGCATATTTGCAATAGCCATTCAGTGCTTATGTCATGAACAAGATCATGATCCAGAATGAGACGAACAGTATCACCATTTTATTCAATACAACAGTATTAACAACAAAGAATTGACCTTCATATCACATCAAGCATATACATTAAACCACACAAGCAAATCCCTTATATCCGAGGCCCCTCCAGAATGGGCTTCGCGGCCTGTGACCTCCACCAGCTCTTGCCCTCCTCGCCAGGGAAGGCAAACTCATCCATACTCTCCGGCTTCATCTCCACGCTATATCCAGGCTCCAAGGGAGTCACATAGTATCCGTCCCGCACGCTAGACGGGTGCACGAAGTGCTCATGCAGATGGTCAACATACTCCAGCACACTCTTCTTGCCGCTCACCACCACGTAGTCGATGGTGCTCAAGTGCTGCGTGTATTCGGGCAAGCCCACGCCACCAGAGTGCGGCACGATAGGGACGCCGAACTTGCGCGCCAGCAGCAAGATGGCCAGGACTTCGTTGACACCGCCGACGCGGCAGGCGTCGGCCTGGAGCACGGTCAGGGCTCCTGCCTGCAGGAGCTGCTTGAAGACCACGCGGTTCTGGCACATCTCGCCGGTGGCAACGCCGATGGTGCCGTGGGGGGTGTTCTCGAGGGCCTTCTTGATGGCGGCGTGGCCGAGGATGTCGTCGGGGGAGGTGGGCTCTTCGATGAACCAGGGCTTGTATTCGGCGAGCTCTTGCATCCAGGTGATGGCTTCGGGGACGGACCAGACCTGTTTTGAGAAGCGTGCTTCGGTCAGTGGTCTGACATTTTCTCTTATGGGACGGTAAAGGTAGAAGGAGAAGGGAAGAGGAGTGGGAGGTGAAGTCCTTACCTGGTTAGCATCCACCATCAGGATGTTACCCTTGTCATATCCAATGGCCTCACGGGCAATGCTCAGTCTCTTCTTGTCATCCTCCAAGTTTCCTCCGACCTTCAGCTTGAAGTGCTTGTATCCCTGAGCGACGCTCTCACTCAGCAGAGCCCTCAGCTTGTCCTCGCCATATCCGAGCCAGCCAGCACTGGTCGTGTACGCGGGCACAGCCCGGCTCTGCTCCGCCTCCTTGATTCGCTCCTGCTTTCCGGACTCGACTTCCTTGAGCAGAGCGATGGCCTCCTCCGGCGTAATAGCATCGGTGATGTACCGGAAGTCAATGCAGCGGACGAACTCCTCGGGGCTCATCTCGGCGACGATGCGCCAGACGGGCTTACCAAGGGTCTTCGCCCACAGATCCCAGAGCGCATTGACGACGGCGCCCAGGGCGAGGTGGATCACACCCTTCTCGGGTCCGATCCATCGAAGTTGGCTGTCGGAGACCAGGTAGCGCCACGTCTTGCCCCAGTCGGCCGTGAGCTCGTCCAGGTCCTTTCCAACCACGAGGGGCGCCAGAAGGGAGATGGCGGAGCAGACGATTTCGTTTCCGCGGCCAATGGTGAAGGTCTGTCAGTGGATACGGTCAGTATCTGTGTAGTCGTGGGAAGGGACTTCTAGTCTCATACCATTCCATGTCCGACATGTGGCGAGTCCGTGTTCACAAGGCAGTAGGCGGCAGAGTAGTCACCCGCGGCGTTCATGGCATCGGAGCCAGTCTTGTCGAGGGAGGTCTGTTCTGGGTCAGCGACAAGATGCCATTACAGAAGTGTTTGAGCTCTGAGTCCTTACCGGAAACCTCACGTCTCTCGTGGTAAAACCTGTGATCTTCACCATGGTGGCGGGCGTAGAGTATCACGCGATAGAAATGTGTATAGAGATAGATTGGGATACTTTCGAGTGTCCTGCCGTTCAATGCGCAAAGACAACGATCAATGACCACGAAACTGCCACACGAAACACAGATAGAAGAGAAGCGAAGGACAGGAAAGAAAAAGGCGCAATCTTGACCCGGGAGGAAGAGAATAAATATACCTAAGAGTCACCCCTCACCCCCCTCCAAACACCCCCGCGGACTGCAATTGTTCCGCCAGCGTGGGGAAGACAGTCCTGATTGGTGGAGCAATTCTTCCTGGCCGTGGGAGCCATTTTCCCACCAATGAGAAAAGCCCATCGGATTGTCGGCGGGTCTCCGTGTTCCTGACGGGATGAGAGCCTGAGGCACCTACTTGAGGTTGTCGAATGTCGATACGCCGTCAGCCCTAAGGCTGCGGGTTTACGCGGCGAGGATCGGCCTATCTCCGGGGTGTTTTCTATAAATGCCTACGGTGTAGCATGCGGAGTATCGCTATAGTATGTAGGTGATTTATACATTATACTTGCCTAAATATCGCAGCGTAGATAGAGTGCGTACGAAACTCTCAAGCAGAGCTACGGAACAAGACCAAAAGAGTACCGTTTGTATTGTGCCCCTCGCTGGAGCGGATATCTATTAGAGCATCCTATCATTCCCATGTAAAGGCAGTTCCATCCGCCGTAACCATAGCATAAACAACAAGGGTGGCTACACACCAGGCCTAGCTTATCCACCCGCCATGTACTGCTCAACCGGAGAGACCTCGCTTCTCGCTCTCCGAGAAGAAGATGATCATTCGCCAGAGTTTTCGGACCAGAACCTCGGCCTCCTCGTCGAGTGCCTATACGGGTTGGGTTAGAATCGCTGAAAAATCTGTTGGAAGATGAATCAAGAGAACTTACCTCTTCGAGCTGTTCCACTAACTCCTGAGGACTGCCATGCTTGTGGATATGCTCTTCCACCACGTCCACCAGCATCTGCTCCTGGACTCCCAGGTATTCCACAATCTTCTTCTCCACGAAGGGCTTGAGCTGTTCGCTGACAACGTTCTCGTCCACAAACTCCCATTTGACGTCCCATTTCCAGAGTCCCTCCTTGTCGGCCGGGATCTCGCCTGCCAGCTGCCGGGCAGCCTGGGCACGTTCCTCTTCGGTAAGTCCGGCCGCCTCGGCGGCGCTGTCGAACTTGATCGGAATGAGAGGACGTCTGGCCGTCGCTTGCGGCTCTTCCTCGTCCTCCAGTAGACCTTCGACTTCTGCGACCGTCCGACGAGCGGTTGCGGCTTGAGCCTTTTGCGCGGCGGCGCCGAGCGAGAGCTTGAAGCGCTGCGGCTCTCTCGGGGCCTGAGGGCGAGTCTCGAGCTCCTCCGCCTGGCGAGCAAGGAAGTCGTCGGCCATGCCGCGTGCTTGCTCGCGCTGTTGGACCGAACGAGCGCGTTCCCGCTCTTCGGCAGCTCGGTCGGTATCGTCCATGCTGATTTCGCGCGCACGGAAAGCGGCCCGGCTGCGCAGCCACGCTCCCCGGTCAGCGTAGTAGTCATCGGCTTTACGGCTGGCCTCAACCTCGTCGTTCCATTGCCCGAGTCGCTGATCGGCCTCTTCTTTGACTTCCTGGAGTTTGGATTCCTCTTCCTTGTCTCTCTTCTTCTCTCGCTCCAGGGCTGCGGTCCTGCTTCGCTCACGGTTGAGCCAGCGGCGCTCCTGGTCAAGGAACTGCTTTTCTTGTTCGGCTTCCTTTTTCTCCTGGCGCCTGCGCTCCAGCTCCTCGTCGCTCGCATCAGATTCCTCATCTTCGCGGTCAATATTTACGGCCGGTCCACCGTTCATAGATCCACCGTTGACAAATGACACCCCCTTCTGGTAATCTTTGGGAATCTGAGCTCCAAAGCCCTTGGGCCCGGCAGGCGCGTTCGGCATACTACGGTCCCTGGGACCAAGAGGCACGCCGTTTGCACCGGCAGCGGGTCCACTGGGGGCCGATGGCGGTGGGGAAGCCAGCCGGTTGACGCGGGAGCTGGCATTTCGGGCTCGCTCCATGGATTCAATCTCCTCTTCCCTCTTCAGGCGCTCAATGTCTCGGCGGTTGCTTCGCTCGCGGAACGCCGAGATTTCTTTCGCAACAGTTTCCCGCATATCGGGAGGGATATCCGACAACTCGTCTTCGATGGTGATAGGGATGGTCACGACTTCAGCCGAGCCGCCTTCCCCTTGACCTTCGCTGTCTTTCATCGCAACATCTCCCTCACGGTCAATTACCGAAGTCTCTTCCTTCTGTATGGGCGACGTGGGGTTAAACAAGTCGGAAAGAACCTCTTTGAGAGTAGCACGAGCCGTGTCAAGTCGGGCTTGGTTCTCTGCAGGGTCTTGATCGCCTTTGGTAGATTCGTATTGTTCCAAGTATGTCAAAGAGCTTTCGTCAACGACAATCTAAAAAGACAGCCAGTCAGCCTTGATTGTTGTTTCTTCGCGAATTGGAAAAACTTACCAGTAATGTGCTCTTCTCCACCTCCTGCTCACCCTCATCACCCTGCGACGGTGTCTGTCTTTTCAAAGGCACTTGAACGTCCTTTAGTACTTCAACGGCAGTACCTAGACTTTCAGGGTCCTCGTACTCTGCGAAACCGAACTTGCACGGCTTTTCATCCGCATCCGTAGCACGGATCCAGCGCCTAAGGTTCCCCGCAGACCGTAGAATTCTCTCGACGCCCTCATCCCCGCCAGCGCCTTCCGTGATTCCGCCGACAAATATCGTCCTCACAATTTCTTCGCGCGTCGGCGGTTGTAGCTGCATCATGGCATCGCGTACGTTCTGGCGTTGCGAATCCAGGTTGGCCGAGCCCAGCCCGGCACGTCTTCCGGGAGCCTCGCGTTCTTTGTTTGTGTCTGGGGTAGCAGATTTCGGCGGACCGGAAGTTCCAAGGCGAATGACAGGGGCCGAGAAGTTGATGTTGGGCATGTTCGGAGGGGGTTGAAAGTTCGCGGGGAAACCGCCCGGTCGTCCTGGCTGCTGGGCATTCGCCTGTTGCAAGCCTGGCGGGGGAGTGGTTCCAGGGGCCGTCATACCGGATGGCGGAGCTGTGAAATCAGTTATGATGATGATAATAAGCAGCTGGAGATAACAGGTAATACGTACCCATGCCTGGGGGTGCTCCTGGGTAAGCCCCGAAGTCAGGAGGCCTGCCATACAGACCAGGAGCTTCAAAGGTCAGCATTCGCTATGCAAAACTATGCACAGATGCATCGAGTTTGAATTGGGACGCGAAAAGACATACCTTGGTAAGGGTTGTACATTGCGACAAGATTCGCAGCTCCGAAGCCTCGATCAGGATAGCCGGAGAAAAATGATCGCCTCGATAACCTCGAGCCCCGGAGATAAAGAAACCGCAGAGCTAAGAGATATATAGATCACAGATTCCGACCGTAGCAATTCCGCCACCAAGTGAAATGAGTCGCGGAGGGCTTGGATGGAGAGAAGGGTTGATTCAGTCGGAGAAGATTGCGGCCGGCGGATTTGATGCTCGAGAAAGACCAGTTGGCCCGTGCGTCGCGCTTCTTGGCGCAGGGAATTTCCGCCGCCTACAGACTGCCTCACAGCGCCTGCTCCGGACAGAACCGCTCTAGTTTTATATTGTTTGACGGCTCTCTGCGCAGAAGCATTATTCTGTCTCAGATGAACTGCCTGCATAGGTACATTCGCTTACGCTTATGATAGGAGAGCCTCTCCTCCCGCTGGAGTGAGACAGTTTTATACATTTACCATGATCCTTCGCCCCTTTTGGTTCGGTTCAGAGTTCGACTTGGGTACCTACGCTACTTTTCTATCCAGGTTGAGCTTTCCATAAGCAGTCTAATTGATACTCGATATATGTGCTTGCCTGGGTGCCTTATACTTTGTCATGTGATCATGCATCAGCGAAGTGGCGATCTGATTGGCGGAAACTTTACCCACTAATGATCTTGCAGCCTGAGGCATGCAGCTCTTTAACAACAAAGAAGTCGGCTCGATGTACGAGATCCCCGTATCGTTTGCAGAAATTCAAAGGGATTCGACTCAAGAAAAGTTTCGATCAAAGAAAGTCAGTGAGACTTGTGGAGGAGTCTTGATTAGACTTTCGGGAAGCTCTATTTTTCTGCCAGGTCGGCCAACTCCGTTGAATATAGTCGCGATATATCATACATGGCAAAGAATCAGCATCCTGTCATATTCAATGATTGGATTCACTTAGGTATTGGCGCCCAACTGTGCCCAGCCCCCTGCTGCCGTTTCTGCGAGCAATCTTATTTCCCTGTCTACGTGCCGGTGAACTCTGGAGACATCCTTGTTACAACTTATGGCTCTTAAACACATTCAACTAGCCAGTCAGTCCTCTACAACTAGAACCTGATGTAAACTTTCTCTTGTCAGGCCACATCACCCCTTGCTACTGTTGACCATTCGAATCCACAGGCTTGTGAAAGCCAATAACTTGTGGGACAAAAGCAAGATCAGTTTCCGTCAACTTTCACACATCATAAATCGGGAGACCCAACCAGTCAATATATCATTATAAATTTTTCAAACACTCCTCAGGCAAGAAGTGCTCAGCTGTGGGATCTTGAATTGCGTACCACTAGTTCCACCCCTTACAGCCAACCCAACAACCTACTACCATGCCGGTTTCAAGATCAGAAGGGGCTTTATCACAAACAAGAGCCCCTAACCTCTTGAGTTTACCTATTGAGGCTCGAAACAGAATCTACGAACAGGTGCTTACGGTACCACACCCGTTGTTTCTGTTTAAGGACCCGGGATGTCCGGTAGCAACCTTTGCGCCGGAAAAGCCCCGTCGATGGCTTTCACTGCTATACACCAATCGACAGATATCGGAAGAGGCGAGTGTGGTTCTTTACGGCATGAACCAGTTCACGCTGGAAGAAATGGAAACGAAGAACCGCCGGAGCGGTCTGCTCAGATCCTTTCTCAACTGTATCGGTCCCGTGAATGCAGCCTCACTGTCCCATCTATGCATCAACTTCCCAGCTATGGAGCAGATCGAGGGTCACTCGGAAGGGATTAGGCTCGAAGAAGATGGCCTGCAGACTTTGCAGCTACTCCAAAGGGAGTGTACTGGACTGCAAACACTGGAGCTTCTCTTATTTTGAGAGAACGCAAAACTATTTGAGCGTGATGACCAGGACGACATCAGATGTGTTCGAAATGTTCTTTTGGAAGGCAATATGCAGCTCAGGACCATTGTTTCGCTGAATAGAATCATTCTTCGGGTCTGCAGCGGCGCTCCAGCCCCTTCATTGAAAGAATTCGTTGAGGAACTTGGATGGGTTGTCTTGTCTGGTAACAGATAGGTATACCCTGACGCAGCTGGCATGTTCAACAACGTATATTATGCTCTTTTGATGGCAGGTATTATCGAGGGTATCGGTTTGATCACGCAAGCCAACCTTTACCCGCGTTGGCCGCATTTACGATTCTTGGGCGAGACTGAAGGTGAACCACTGCAAGCAGGATTGAGGAACCACATGGACCTCAAGATGCCCGTCATGAGAATTAATATGCTCTCACAAACGAGACTCTTGTTGCTAGTGTTCATATGGAAATAAAGCTGGGCTTGGCCAAGCTTACAAGTAGAAGACAAGTGAGCAAGATGCAAATTGACCCAGCAAGTGTGGCAGGAGGAATTTAAATGGATCCATTCTCTACTTTTTAATACCCTTTTCGAGGTCAAGGAGCCTTGACCATATCACAGTTTGCCTAGGGGAACGGCGGGCATATTTCAATGCAGTGTGCGTAGCCTGGATGACCACTCCTCTGTAGGGGTGACAGGGTTTCAATTGATCGACGCCCGAGCGAGAGAGTCTAGACGATGAGTTACCTGCACCTATCACCCGCAGCTCCCAAGGAATGCATTTAACCGACGGCGGAACTTTATCCTCGAGATCGTGAATTTCACCGGCCACCAATTTCCGAGACAAACCTGAGGTGGTCATAAATCCCGCCTAGTCGTGGGGGTGCAAGCCGATTCACCCGTTCCTGAGAAATTAAAGATTCTCCGGTGAGAAAGTTGATATTCTAGAATTCTAGAAGGGCGTTGATGACAAACGAACGTCATGCAAGTCCGAAGGTCAGATGACCGGATATCCGACGATGGGTCTCTTCGGAGGACTGTCTGCCTTGATGCCTGTGCACCGCAGGAAAATCAACACCAGTAAACACCGGAAATTACCAGAAATACCTGACGAGACCGTACGGAGGAATTCTGCACCGACGGCGCTGCCCCACCACCGTCCGTGACCGTACCGTACGGACTGCCCCTCCACGGACCCCAACAGGCCGGCGCTTGACGCCATACCTTTCAGGCCTGCCCGCTTTGCCCACCGGCCATCGTCATCTGTCCTCCGTGACACCCGCTTCGCTTTTTCTTCACTTCATCCCTCCTGGTTCCAGTCAGTTTGTATCGGCTTCGGTCTGGTTTAAATTCAGGTAAGCCCACTTCCCAACTCCTGCTCTGATTCCTCCTTTCCTCCCTCAATCCCTCTGTCGATATCTGCCCCGCACTAACGCCAACTGTCCCTCATTTAGAGCTTTTCTTCACTACCCAAAAGCATAAACAGAGCTCCCTCTCTCCACCACAAACCGTCCACAATGCCTGGTTTCTCGCAGGCTACCGAACTCTCCGCCTGGAAGGAGCTCCAGGAACACCACAACTCCGTCGGACGCAACATTGTCCTGAAGGAGGCCTTCGAGAAGGACCCTGAGCGCTTCCAGAAGTTCAGCCGTACTTTTGCCAACACCGTCGACAACTCGGAGATCCTCTTCGATTTCTCTAAGAACTTCCTCACCGAGGAGACTCTCTCGCTTCTGGTCAAGTTGGCCAAGGAGGCCAATGTCGAGCAGCTGCGGGATGCCATGTTCCAGGGCGAGCCCATCAACTTCACCGAGAACCGTGCCGTCTACCACGTTGCTCTTCGCAATGTCTCCAACCAGCCCATGCAGGTCGGTGGCAAGAGCGTCGTCGAGGATGTCAACTCCGTGCTGGAGCACATGAAGGAGTTCTCCGAGCAGGTCCGTAGCGGCGAGTGGAAGGGTTACACCGGCAAGAAGATCAACACCATCATCAACATCGGTATTGGTGGCTCCGACCTGTAAGTTAAATTCCCCTGTCCAGGCTGAATGCTTTGGTCTCTAAACGCAACATGCTGACGGCTGCAACTAGTGGTCCTGTCATGGTTACCGAGGCCCTGAAGCCCTACGGCCACAAGGACTTGAAGCTGCACTTCGTCTCCAACATCGACGGCACTCACATCGCAGAGGCCCTCAAGGACTCTGACCCCGAGACCACTCTCTTCTTGATTGCCTCCAAGACTTTCACCACGGCGGAGACCACCACCAACGCCAACAGCGCTAAGAAGTGGTTCCTTGAGACCGCTAAGGACGAGTCTCACATTGCCAAACACTTCGTTGCCCTCTCCACCAACGAGGAGGAGGTCACCAAGTTTGGCATTGACAAGCGGAACATGTTCGGTTTCGAATCCTGGGTGGGTGGTCGCTACTCCGTGTGGAGTGCCATCGGTCTGTCCGTTGCCCTTTACATTGGCTTCGACAACTTCCACCAGTTCCTGGCCGGTGCCCATGCCATGGACAAGCACTTCCGCGAGACTCCCTTAGAGCAGAACATCCCGGTCCTCGGTGGACTGCTGAGCGTGTGGTACAGCGACTTCTTCGGTGCCCAGACTCACTTAGTGTCTCCTTTCGACCAGTACCTGCACCGATTCCCCGCCTACCTGCAGCAACTCTCCATGGAGAGCAACGGCAAGGCCATCACCCGCTCCGGCGAGTACGTCAAGTACACCACCGGCCCCATCCTGTTCGGCGAGCCGGCCACCAACGCCCAGCACAGCTTCTACCAGCTGCTCCACCAGGGCACCAAGCTCATCCCCTCGGACTTCCTCATGGCCGCCGAGTCGCACAACCCCGTCGAGGGTGGCAAGCACCAGCGCATGCTTGCGTCTAACTTCCTGGCTCAGTCCGAGGCCCTGATGGTCGGCAAGACTCCCGAGCAGGTGAAGACCGAAGGCGCCCCCGACAACCTGGTGCCCCACAAGACCTTCCTCGGAAACCGTCCCACGACGTCCATCCTGGCTCAGAAGATCACCCCTTCGACGCTCGGAGCGCTGATTGCCTACTACGAGCACCTCACCTTCACCGAGGGTGCCATCTGGAACATCAACTCGTTCGACCAGTGGGGTGTCGAACTGGGCAAGGTCCTAGCCAAGAAGATTCAGCAGGAGCTCGAGACTGCTGGCGCTGGCGCCGGTCACGACAGCTCGACCAGCGGCCTGCTCTCTGCTTTCAAGCAGAAGGCCAACCTCTCCTAAAGGGTTGAACGTATAAAAATTGGGCTAGCCATATGATGAGAACATGAGTGATCACCTTTCTAGTAATTTTTGTGGAAATTGAATGCAAATAAGTTTAATGATTCTCATTGCAGTCCTCGATGTCGTACTCATAACTAGAACATTGATTCAAGAACATATATTGTCATTTTGCCTTGAAGGCAGGATGATGAGAACCCATTCAGAATGAGTTGTAGTTCAGTTATGCCAGGAGTTAAGGGATGAAGGATCGGGGTTAGGTCAGACAGAGGGTCACATGACTTGTTAAAGCGGCAAGGCCCCCGGAGTGGATGTTTGGCTCCACTTCTCTCGTACATATCAACTTGAAGTCGCAGTAAGCATCACCGCGGCACGCCAGAAAGCAGCCGAGTCGGTGGGCTGGTGGAGTGTGTTTTTGACTATTATGGCATTCATTCGAGCCGGACTCTACGGCTCAATTGCCTGTCTTGCGTTACAAGTTTCTGCGGCGGGCAATGACCGGTCCAGTAGCAGGGCAGGTTACGGCCACGGCCAGCCGATGCCAGTGACCTGTCTAAACCGGACAATGTGAGTTTTTGCGATTGCGCATTGCCCTCAATTGGGTTTTCACATGGCTTGTGTCCCTCAAACAGCGAGTTTCGAATCGAAGCTAACTTTTCATTTTCTTCTCAAGCGATTCCGGTGAACATGTAATTCCCCCCTGACGCCTTACCTGTCCTCCTTAGTTATTACTACTGCCTACCACGCGCAATCCAACCGGAGATCAGATCGCCCGACAAACATCACACATAGCGACAAGCTAACAAACCACCCAATTCAAACCAGATCACCGACGACCTCGGCAAACTACAATACATCCCGTTCCCGGTCTGCAATGAGACCTCGCTGCCCCTGGCCCTGCGCTACGGTGTCCCCGAGACGGTAAATTGCACTGTCAACTCCCTCCCCGATGAACTCTACCACCTCCTCGAATACTACGTGCATTCCGACGTGCCCATGACCTGTCGCGTACCTACGGGACCCCTCTCCCCGGCCGCCGCCTCCTACGCGAGCACCGAGGACGGCGAGACCGTCGGCACCGAACTGGGCTCGCTCGCTGAGGACGGGCCCGCCTATACGCCCATTACCTTCGCGCTCCAGGGCACCCTGCAGCGCAGCCATTTGCACATTTGGACGGATATGAACGTGCTGATGCATAACATTGCGTCGGCGAGCAAGGAGCAGGCGAAGAAGAAGAGCAAGAAGAAGGCCGCGCAGCAGAGCCCCGGATACGTTGTCGCGGGAACGGCATACTCAGTTCCCGAGTTCGACGTGGCGCTGATGAAGGGCGAGAAGGAGAAGGATACCTCCGACAACGACGAAGAGGGCCAGACTGAGGCCGAAGCGGCCGCGGTGGCAGAGAATGCTCGCGAGCCTTGGACGGCCGGACACGGCACGAAGGTCATTCGCGGCGAGCCGCTCACGTTCACCTTCCATGTCAATTGGATCGAAGGGGGCGCGGGCATCGGGTGGCCGTCTCGTGCGGCCGCATTGTCTGGAAGCGAGTCCAGTTCGTCGGGGTTCTTCTCGAAATTGTTCTTTTTCGGTCTGGCTGCGTCGGTGGGCGCGCTGGTGGCGCTGTATTGGGAGCGTGTTGGGGGTCGTCGACGAGCTGGGTGGCGAGGGGATGGGATCCTGGGGGTCCCGTCTAGAGGGAAGGGGTCTATTGGGATCACTTACGGCAATGGAGGCAAGATGAACGGATATGGGGGGTACGCTTCCTCTAGTAGCTCGTCTACGCCTGGGGGTAGCGGATACGGAGGGTTCATGGCTGGGAAAAGAGATTGAGAGGAAGACAGTAGTGGATGGATGGGGATGTTGGGACTTGTATATGGCATGGCATGTATAAAGCACGAATCTTTTTGTCCTCTTTCTGTTGGTTGTTAAATTTTGGTTGATTGCATGGTTATGACAAGATAGATAGATGTTCAGGTTTATGTTTCTCATCTAGCCAAACATGATGATATAACTCCGTAAAACGAACATAAGAATCAAAACAAAACAGAAAGGTAATAATTGTACAAGACATTTAACTCTCTTCCACACTCAGGCATACCCTTTTCTTCCATCATACACTTCCTTTATCTCTGTAATTCCTCCCGAACGAACCCAGTCTATACACCCAATCCAGACAGATAGAATCCACCCACTCACTCACTCACCCAGTCCCAGAACCCAAGAAGTCAAGTGAAAGGATCTACCACCCCTGCGCCCTCATCCGATCAATCCTCGCAACAGTCCGCTGAAAAGAGTACTTAAACAACTTCCTCCACCTCTGCACCCTCAAATCCTTGCGGACCTGACCCCGTCGCACATGAAATTTTTGCGTATACGTGTCCTGCTTGACCTTGTTCTGGTTACACGTGCTCTGCAGCACCCGCAGCGACGACGCCAGATCCATCCCCCGCTCAGGCTCGACATGCACCTGACGGCCCAGCGACGGGCCCAGCTTCAGCGCCACCTTGCGCAGCGGCACGACGGGCGACGTGGCGGCGTTGAGGGCGCGGGACACGGCGAGGGCGCCGTCGTTGTTGCTGCTGCCGTCGCTACCGGTGCGCTGCTGCGTGGCTCCGGAGGTGGTGGAGGCGTACGGGTTCTGGGACTTCGGGGCTGCGTTGTTGATGTTGAGCTTGTCGAGGATTTGGTCGAAGTCGGAGGCGCCGGAGTCAGAGGGGGAGGGTTTGTTTTGAGACCGAGGGCCGTGAAAAGGGGTGGTGGTGGAGGAGGAGGAGGCGAAGCGCTGGTTGGCGAGGAATTGGCCATAGAGGATAGACGAGGGTGCTGTGGTGGTGTAGAGAGATGTCGGCCTCGCGCGGAGGAGGCTGCGGGTTAGGGAGCGCATCTCCATGGTTTTTTTTGTTTCGTTGGTGGAGGAGGAAAAGGTCGTCGAGTATTGAATTAGAGAGGTAGGTAACACTTCTTGTTGTTAATTGAGGTCCAGCTATCTCCGGTATTTGACTGGCCTGGGGAAATCCGAGGGAGGGTTGAAGTCAAGAAAGCTGTCTCTGCTGGTCTGGAGGAGGTCAAATCCGTTCGGTTTTCTGCGGGCACGTGACCTGGCTTGTCTCCATGCAACTCTTTCCCTCGTCTTGTCTTTGCTTTGGCACCAACATCGTGAAAATTGAATAAAGCTGCGAGGGAATAGCACAGTGGCTTTTTCCACTAAGTATTATCCGAATCTTACTTCTGTTCGAACAGTCTCTCCAAAAGAAATCCCGCCATGTCGTCCATCTCCATCGCGACTCTTCCCCGCATGAGCCGGGACACTCTTTCGGCCCTCCTACTCTCCGCCAGTACCCCCAGTAAACTCGCAATCATTGACGTGCGAGACTCCGGTACGGCTGTCCAGCTTGCAAACGCAGAATGAAGAAAAATGAGTCGAGACCCTATATCTAACTATCGCAGACCACATCGGCGGACACATCTACTCTTCCACCTGGGTCCCTAGCTCGTCTCTCGACCACCGCATGCCCGAACTCGTCCGCACGCTGGCGGACAAGGAGAAAGTCGTCTTCCACTGCGCTCTCAGTCAGCAGCGCGGGCCGTCTGCTGCTCTGCGCTACGCCAGGGAGCGCGAGAGCGCCCTCGGCGTGGAGGAGAGCAAGAAGCAGGATGTGTATGTTCTGGAGGGAGGGTTCGTGCAGTGGCAGGAGAAGTATGGCAAGGATACGCGATTGACGGAGGCTTATGTGGAGGATATCTGGCAGGAATATTGAGGGTTCGTTCCTCTGGGATGTTATTGATGATGAAATGTATGCATGCAATGTTGGGCGATACCCGCGGGACTGGACTTGAGTTCGGTTTGATGATTGATGTATTAAGATAGAAGGTTAGATTAGCATTGATTCTTGGTTCATGATATATTTAAATATTTACATGCGTAATATTACATTGGTCTGTAGCGACAACGAGATCTAGATACCCCCGCCAAATCCGACAGGACGACGCTTGCCACTGTTCTCTGGGATGATGGCCATGACCTTGTAGATCTTGCCCATGCCGCCTTCACTCTTCTCGACCAAGCGCTTCCAGCTGCTTTCCAGAGTTTTCCGCTTTTCCTCGTCTTGGATGCCCTTGAGCAACTGCTGCATGCGCTCTGCGATACCCATGCTCTGCAGGAAGTCTCCTTGCTCCATGGGACCATGAACTTCCACACCCTCGCTTGCTTCGATGGCTGCTTCCGCCAGCGAAGTAAAGTCGACGTCGGCGCTAACATCGACCTGTCCAGGGGACGAAAGCGGGGGCACGTTCTGGTGGTTCTGGATGCCGCGCAGAGAGTTGATGGGAATCGTGGACATGGTTCCGTAGTCCATGATCAAAGCCGCACCAGACGGAACACGCTTGGCGGTTGCCGGAGGAGCGGAGGAGCCCTCTCGAGTAGCGGTCCGCGGGGGTTGCGACGAGCCACCAATCCTCCGTGCAAAGTCTGATGCATAGATGCGACTTTCCGGGCTGATTTCAATTGTGGACCCAGGCTGGGACTTGAGCGCTTGGTACCGTTTGGAGATCTCGGGAATGACAAGAGACGACGGGGTTGAGGCTTTCGCTAAGGTTAGAGAGAATTCGGGCTCGCCGGGCTGGTTCTCATCAACGGCTTTGGGGTTCAAGGTGACCATTAGCTCGCGCCACTGGGGGGTGTTGGCGGGCTTCTGCGGTTCGTTCAGTGTAATTGGACCAGTAGGCGTCATGATTTCCTTCTGCTGGGGGGTGTTTTCGGGAGAAGGAGGAACGGATTCAAAGGCGTGCATTGGAAGGGCGTCAAAGAATTCATGTGCGAATATGAACGGCGTCTTGCTTTCATCTGTTGTGAAGGGTAAGCAAGTGGCATGTAGGTTGCAAGACTTCATCAGCACATACCATGAGGCAACAACCTGATATCTTCCACCCAGACCACCGGGACGTCGAAATATTTGCTGGTGCTCTTGTGACCGATGTCAGTTTCCACCATGGGGGCATCGCCGCAGAGTCGCTGTTTTTGGACCTCTCGAAGCGTAGCACTAGCTTCCACCAGATAGATCGCTTCGATGCTCGACGTAAACGTCTTGAAGTTCCTGAGTGCCTACTCATAGGATCAGCACCCACCACTCCAACCAGGTGAGCCGATCAGACTCACACGAAGCATGTCATCCATCAATGTCCCCTTGCCCGGCCCAACTTCCATCAATTGAACCCCACTGCGTGTCCGTCCCTGCGCAATCCATTCTGCTATTGTCCACACACCGACCAATTCACCGAAAACCTGGGATATCTCTGGCGAAGTGACGAAATCACCTTTCTTGCCGAACACTTCCCCGTCGCCTTCGGGTCGAGTCGTGTAATAGCCACCCTCGGGGGACGTGAGGACTTGACGCATGAACGCCGCAATGGGAATCGGACCGGTAACCTTGAGAGGATAGTCGTTAGTGAACAGGTATGCTGGCCAATTGAGAAGTGTAACCAAGTACTTTGATGGCATTGGCTAAGGTTCGAGCCAGTGGCGTAGACCATTCTCTAGTATCGAATGTCGATGAGTATCGTCGCGGCCCGAAAACCAGTGTCCGGTTGGCATATCGCCGGACAAGCTGGGTCAGCGCACGTCTGCTCCCAAGGTTCATGTTGGCGAATGACCGAGGGAATGAAGGTCTGGATGTTCAGAAGTGATTGTAGAAAAGTCGCCGCTTGTTTCTCCAATTCTTCTCCGCAACGGTTCCGCGACACGTGATTGTCCTTATCATATCAGTTGCCACTCTGGCGCTGCCGAAGACCCTCTAGATCATCCCTTAAATTACTATATTGCTACATTCTACAAACCAGTAATTATTAGCATTCAGGAACCGATTAACTTTTCCATTGGTTACTCGATAAGACAACTAGCAACCCCTATAAATCCCTAGTTCTGACATTTTCCTGTTTTACTAGTCCTTCCTGCACGATACTGAAGATAATAAGGAACATAGCCGTAAAAGGAGAGCACTGCCGAAAACCCTCCAGCTGACCAACTCCATCCTTAAACCGCTGCAGATACCAGTACATATATCGCTACATTAGAAGGCTTGAAGCACTCACTCCTGCCACAGGGAGTAGCCACCGTAAGAGATGACCTCCCTGATTTGACGCTCAATTTGTCAATACGTAGGGAAAACCCAGGATATTCAGCTGAGAATCAAAAAGCCGCAATTCCCTGAATTCATTTTCGAATACGGCGTGCAAGAGTTTTCTTTCATCGAATTCTATTATATTGTCAGCAACAAGAAGATGGATAGGAGCATAGGAAACGAACTGTGCGTTGGCCGGGTTGTTGTGCAATTAATGACAATCCAGTCTAGAACTGAATCGTCCATACCCAGTGACTGCAGTTGTCGGGTTCTTAGAGTCGGATATCGAGACTTCCAGTGTCTCATATCTGAATGCTTGACGTGCGGCCTTTGTTCCGAGTGTCAGCACGCCATAAAGATCCTGGGCGTCCATAGATTGTATGTTATCCGGGAAATTTTCCGCTGTCGATGTTGACCGTCAAGACTGTTTTTGACGGACAAGTAATACGATTCAAACCACCTGTGTGCGTCGAACGCACGCCTCCCCGTCGATTCGGAGAGTCCAATTTCGACAACCCATTCGGTAGCCTGGTGGTTATCAAGAAGTCCCCAAGGAAGTCCGGTTCTTTTGAGTATGCTCCGAATGTCCATCATGCTGCAGCCAGGGACACGATCACAATAAGTACGCCGTTGGGATAGAAATTTGGATGCCTGTTCGCGATCTGCTCATAGAATGCGATCTCAACTGCTACTCTATCCTGATTCGCTGAAACAATTTTCTCCCATCCAGTAAGGAAAAGAACCGATTTGCCTTGATTCAAGAAAGCACGTGTGAGGAGCTCTGCGAGAATCGACTTCCCGGTGGCGGGGGTCCCTCGTATGTGGATGAAGGGGCGAGTCTCGCTCAACTGAATTAGCTTCCTGACAGTCTCGGTCCTTTGACAGTGTTTTGGGCCTGTGGATTCTCGCGTTGCTGATACCTCTTAGCTATAGTATGAAAACTGTAGGGGCAGATCCAACCTTTTGTGTGATGCTTCTGCCAATCGGCGAGGGGTCCTGGAGGCGTGGTTGATCGGACGGTTTCGTGATCTGAGAGGGGGTGGGTACATTTATTGCTCGTTATCTTGTTGTCATTATCTAGACCAAATTGCCCTGCTGGACAGCCACACGAGGTTGTTAAGTAAGGCCCACCCCCGTTGCAGACGAACGTGCACTTTCCTGATGCCATGACGCGCATGGTAGACTCTCGCCAGCTTCAAATGAGGCTGGGAAAGTGATCGTCGATGTTGTAGCTATTGAAGACATGCTATGGGTGAGAATGAAAAGGGAATGAGAAGGGAATGAGGAAGGAACTCTCAGTGAGGGGTAGAAGGCAGAAGCGGTCCCATGAGACTCCAAGATCTAGAGCATCTCTCCGTCCTGACTTGCCTTTATACTTTTTATTCCCATTCCCCTTGTCAGTTGCCTTTGTGGTTTTGAGTTAATTGAAAATCATTAAATTGGCATTCCTCCTTGCTCATGTCTTTTTCTATCCGTGACGATTTCCTGTATCTACCACTTGGTGTTTTCGATTGTTATACGCCAAAGTCCTAAGGAAATATCGGATAATATTCATACACGCCATCATGCTTGACAAAAGTACACAGAAAGATCCAATGGCCGAACCCTTCAAACCGTAAGCAGAGAGGTGTCGACGTCAATATTCTGCTGTCTTTCCACCACTAGTTATCATTACTTGTATGTGGGCATCAATAGCCAAAAGCCTATTTCAATTAACTGCTGATGGCCGATTCCTATCGGTTCCAGTTTCCCCGGTTCCTCGAGTTCTGAGGTGCGTCGACCATCATTTCATCACTGTAGAGCCCCTGGTCGTTTGCGTCTTGGTTTGTACTCCTCCCACCTCTCCCTTGGTTACGACCTCTGAAGTTTCGTCGGTTGTTGCGACCGGTGCTCCGAGTATCGTTTTGAGCAAAAAGATCTCCGTTTTGCTCGCCAAATCCATAGTTTCCGTTTTGAACGGTTGCATCAGCTCCGCGATGCAAGCGACGCTCACGGTCTGCTTGTTCTCGAAGATCGTTGAAGGAGGGTTGAGAGTGCTGGGATCCCGATCCAGTCGATCGGCTGAAGAGGTCACGCTTCGCCCTGGAGGCACCCGTCGGTTTCATCCGCATGGAAAGGATCAGGCCATCCGCCTTGGTAGAAGTTAGCTTAAGCCCTGGAGGCACAGTCATAGTTAAGATTCTCACCCTCTGGTTGTGGAGGTTAGCGATTGCGTTGTCTGCTGCCCATTTCTCGGCGAAGGTAATTTCCGCGGTCACGGTAGGCTCGTGCGATGTCACCCAGCATTTCAGGATCTCCCCGGACATAGGCTCAATTGTGGACTGAATATCGGCGGCGGTGGTGCCGGGCGCAAAGTTGCTCCCGATGACTACGAACGGCCCCGAGGCTCCCTTGATCGAAATTCCAGCCGGTCCCTCCCGGATCGATGCTTGTCCACTGGTCGGATTGAGAGCCGACATCAGGCGATCTTCGTCGGGGCGGCGCTTCTGATGCGATGCATTTCCTCGAGCGGGCGCAGACGGAACTCGTTTCGCGTTCTTGGTCTTGAAGTTGGTTGCGGGTGTCGAGCGCTGAAAGGTCATCGAGAATTACCGGAGGTCAGTCCACTGTGTAAGGCCATGCTAGAAGCAATGGATTCTCCATGGTTACCTTAGCCACGCCGATTCGACTCGCCAGACTCCCCGATGCTGCGTTCTGTGCTTTGTTCCCAGCGCCCGGGCCGGGTGCGCTCGACCTTCGATTCTTTCCTAGGATTCGGTTTGCGAGTTCTTCATTTTTCTTTTTCTGGCGATCTGATATTGTTCGATGCGGTTTAGCGACTATTTCGACAATGGAAGGATGGGGTGTTTGCGGAGCTCTTACCAGCGTTGATAATCTGGTCAAAAGAGACAGCTTCCTGGCCGCGGGCCATGACGACGGAAATTGAAGGGCTCGGGCGGGTTTGGCTATAATAGAGAAAGGCGGCAAAAGAATAAGACGAGTTACCCAAAGAGTAAGAGCGAGATTGTGGATCGAGAACAGGAGGAAGTCGAAGAATGGTGTGGTCAGCAAGGCGAAGGGAGAGAGGGAGAGAGAAGTTCGGGGTAAGTTTGGAGGTCCCATAGAAATTCCCTCCATTTATTTATGCAGCTCCTCTGACGCTGCGCAACACCAAACATGACCCGCGCATTGCTCTCATCATGTCCAACGTACGCCCCTATGCGAGCTATAATATTCCTCCGGCACATAAAATGCTCGGGTTTGGTGTTATCGGCACTAGACATCTTCCCACCTGGCTCTGAAATTTCCCTCCTGGTACTCCTGGGGTAGGAACGATGCGCAGGATGAAGATGAAGTGGAAGCTGGGAAGCCAGCCTCTTCCCCCAGTCCCTGTGCTCTGTTTTTCTTCATTGCTCTCTGTCCGACATTGCAAAGTCTCCTAGTCCCACGTTCACGTCGTCTTTGTCTATGAATGCAAGTTGTTTGTCTTGATATATCTCTTCAAGCCCTAGTTCAGTACTGTCTTCTACTGTGCTTTCGCGGGCCTTCGATCTTGCCTTTTTGGTACCGACTGGCTTTCCCTAGAGTGATTCCACATCGAAGATCGACTTTTAATGCGCCATGGCTTTGGACAATCAAAGCAGCGACTCTGGCAGACGCTACCAGACACTGCCTTCATCCGCTGTCGTCCGCTCATCACCAGCAAGAAGAGCCAGGTAGGACTGATGTAGCTCGCCATGCTTGGCTTCAATGTTGATGTTAGGTTCAGGGTCACCATTCCTTCCAACTCGCCGTATGTATGCGAGGAAAGTGTTCACTATCCGGTTTTCAATCCTTTGGACCCTAGACACAACCCCACAGCTCCTGCATCATCGTGGCTCGACGATGACTGCCCTCCAGAAGCGCCTGTTGACCCGGACTCTGAGGGTTGGATGCAAAGTTTCTCAAGGAGGTCTATGCGTAAAGCACGTTCCGGGTTTCTAGCTCTCAGATCGGGGATGCAGAGACGTCCTCTGATGATTGTCCCCCGTGGCAATGGCGAAATGCCGAGGTCTACTCCCAGGCCGGAGAATCATTCTGACCAGAAAGAAAATATGTTCCCGTCCACGGTATCGGAAGCAAGTACCGAAGAGGATAACGAGTTCGGGTCTCATCTGCATCGAACTAAATGCAAGTCTTCTCCTTTGACTCTTGGCCAGGATAGACCTATACCCAGGTCGCGATTCTCGACGGCTTTGGCCGATCTCTCGTCTTTTGCCAGAAGAAGCGAAGACGCAACTGATTCACCTGATCCGGTTCTCACGGAGTTGGTATCTAATGCTCGCGTGCTTGAATCGGCCAGTGAGAATGCAGAAAAGTCAGAAGAGTCCGATGTACCTTCTATGAACCGTGAAGTCGAAACTGGAGATTACTCCTCTGCCATCAGCGGTACAGAATCGAGTACAAAAAACTCTAGGCCTAGCAATCTACCCAAAACCTCTGCTTTCTCGGAGCTTGCAGATGCCACGGCTGCAGACACTGCAAGTCTTGCTCACACGTCCAGCAGCGTCGACGATTCGGAGATTAGTCGTGTTGGCAAAAGTGCGGCCTCCTCACGCTGTGTGGCACAACCTGCGCTAGGCAAGAACTCTTCAGAGTCAAACAGCACCCCATCCCATGACACTAAAAAGTTTCTTCGTAGAGAGGACGTGGTAGTACCCGCACGTCCTCAGGAGTCAAGTGTCGTCGAACTGAATGACTTTGATTTGATGATGGACACGCTTGGAGCCTTTGATCGTCTCAGCACTCAAGACAGCCCTACTAAGAGCCTTGTGGAGCCCCAATCCAATGAATCAAGCCCAGGTTCTCCCAGACGGATAGATACAGGGCCTATGCCCCCGCCTCGCTCATCTAGCACAGAAAGAGAGCCGCGTCGGAGCAATGGAGAGGCACAGCCCAATGTGCGTTATTTGTCAACGCTGCTTGAACAATACTAATGGCATATAGGGATCTTGCAATATCAGAATTCAGGTGCAAAGTGGCGATTGGAGTCGCAGTCTGTCCCCTGTCCCCGAAAGCGCTGATTTGGTGGACTCGAACGACTTCTTCGGCGACCAGGCGGCGTGGTCAACCCGGCCGAGTGAAGAGGGGACAATCACCGACATCACGTCGGTTTCTAACGCTCTATGGTCACCCGTCGAAACCGAAGACATGACGTCCGTGGTATCCCTAGGGGACGAATATTTCCTCGTCGATGGCAAGACGAGCGGGTTCCACCCGGATCGGGGCGATAACCCAACGAAAGCCGAGCGGAGGCTTGTTAGTGACGGCAGCTTATACAGTGACCCTAGTCTCGAGCGCAATCCATCGGTTCGAACGCAGGATATCCCCGAAGTGATTGGGCCCTCAAGTCCGATGCACCGGCCGCCGTCAGGGCCACGCCGAAGGGATCGAGATGCAAGTGATTCTACCGACGAATATCTGCTTACGTATCCCGTGATCCTAAGACGATATCTCTCTTAGCTTCTTAATGAAGGAGCTATTTTATCTTCTGAGTCGGTCTGATACACTCGTTTTCATATTTGGTCTTTACGGTGACTGCGCTTGGTCTTGAATGCATGAAGTCATCATTTTACATTGCTGAGAGCCCGTTGGCTATTGTTTCGGTTCATCCCAATGCTTTCTTGTATCTTAGTAAGTTGGAACATTCTTGCAGGGGACGCTACTTCCAATGATCATTGAATACATGGTTGTTGGTACGTATTTTTAGTTACCTTCATAGCAGGTCACCCATGCATATAAAGTACACATTCCCGGTCGAGCTTGACATGCTTCTTAGGATTTCTGGTCCAGTTGGAGCAGTCTTATTATGGAGATTTCGCCACTCAGGCATGGCAATTGATAAGATAATGTAAACAGTCCAAAACATGTTACTTCTTTATCAGTAAAATGATTCCTCGTTTCTTCGATAAAATCATTAGTCCGTTTATCTATGATAATGTACAATCCTCTCCTTCCCGGCGTTGTATCGAGTAGGCTGATGAGAAGACAGCGATGGGCCAAAAGCTTTAACCTTGCTCCTTATGCAACTCGAAACAAAAGTCGGGTCTAATCTGCAATCTGCCTGCCCAAAGCAGGGCCTTGATCGAGAACAGAAGCGCCACTCATCAGCATCCAATCGACAAGGCACCACCTATCCTAGTCGAAGAGTAAAGCCTGCGCCCGCTTCGCCCGTCTCGCTAGCAGCAGCCTGACCACCAAAGACGCTCGCAAAGTCCAGCTTCGGAGCGTCCTGGCCGCGCTTCGGCGCTTCGGGAGTCTCGCGACGTCTCCGCCTCTCCATGCCAGCTTTGGACGGGAACGTGGGGAACATCTCCTTGGGTTTCGGACGGGGGTCTTCGCGGAAGTACTGATGCGCGAGACATTCTTGGGTGGTGGGGCGGATGCCGGGGTTCAGGGCCAGTAGGGACGAGAGGAGATGGAGGCCGGCGTTTGTTAGGAAGGGGAATTTGGACCGCGGTAGTAAGGGGAGGCTGCTTGAGTCGGATGATGAGGTGGGAGGAAGACGGAGCGATTTGGCGTTGGGGAGAGATCGGAAGCCTGGCCAGGATTGGGGTGTTGGGGGACCGGTGAGGGCGAAGATCTTTTGGATGGGTTAGCTTTCTGGAGGTAATATGCTCGGTCTGGAGGGCACATACCTTGGAGACTTGGTCGACTTCGTTCTTGCCCTGCAGTAATGGCTCCTTGGTTAGAAGCTCGCCGAATATACAACCGATACTCCACATGTCTATCTCCGTGCCGTACTTCTCGGCGCCTAGGAGCAGTTCCGGCGATCGGTACCACAGCGTCACGACCAGCTGGGTCAATTTCGGAGGCGGGTCGCCGTAGTACCGGGCCATACCGAAGTCCGCGATTTTCAGCTCGCCGCGGTTGTTGATGAGCAGGTTGGAGGTTTTGAGGTCGCGGTGCATAATCCATTGCGAGTGGAGGAAGCCCAGGCCGGAGAGGACTTGGAGCATGAGGGTTTTTGTTTCGGAGGGGAGGAAGGGCTCGCGCATGTCATCCAGAAGGGTTTTGAGGTCATGCTCGGAAAAGTCCATTACTAGGAAAATGCTGTGGTGGGGATGTGTTAGCTGTGTTCTGTTTCTTGTTCTCTGAGGGCACTGGGAGGAAGCGCGTACTCGTCCAGTTTATTCCCAATCACCACTTCTCGCAGATATACAACATTCTTATGGCGCGCTTCCAACAGAGTCTGGATCTCGCGAAGACCAGTCACAGGGAATCCGTCCGGCGCGTTCTCCATCTTGAGTTTCTTCAGAGCCACGACTTCGCCGGTCACGATGTCCTTTGCGCGACTAACCCAACCGTACGAGCCCTCTTCGATGTGATTCAGACGTTCGAAGTTGTCGACATGGCGACAGGGACCCCATCCTGGTCCCGGAAAGCGCAGCAGCTTTGAAGTCTGGGTTGCTTTCTCTTTCTCGCCTCGGGGATCGGCGAACTCGGGCAGCTCCTGTTGGTCGTCGGGCTCATTGGACAATCGTCGTCGTTTCTTGGGAGGCGCATCGACATTACCGTTGGTCTCTGGGGGCGGTTGAGGCTGCGATTGTTGTTCCTCAAGCTGGCGTTGCTTTTCGGCTTTGGCGCGTCGTTTCTCTTCCTTCTCCCGTTTGCGTTGGGCGACGATGGCTTCGGTCTCGGGGTCATCGTCGGCCCATCGGGACTTGGAGGACATAATTAGACCGAGCGACAAATTCCCGATTCCAGAATGACAGGAATTGGAGATGGGTCGTATGACGTGCTGGATTAATAAGGGAGGGGAGCGTGGATTGATTAGAGGTGAAAAGGGCGGAGAAGAGCGACAATTGGAGGGATGACGCCGTTTGGGATTTGGCGGCGGATTTCAAATCATCCCCGCCTTCGCCGCCTCTTCTCCTTCGTCTTCCGTCGCTTCCTGCGCTCGTTCTTTGCTTTCGCGTCACCACATTCTTTTACTTTCATTTTCCTATTTTCTTTGGAAAGAACCTTTCTTACCGTCCAACACACATCATGATTGAACCCTTCCAGGTCGGTGGACCCATGGATTGTCGGCGTATAGTTCCTCCTATTGACTGACGCATCCGCACAGACAACCTTCGCGGTCCCGATGACCTGCGACGGCTGCGTCAAGGATATCTCATCCTCCCTGAAAAAGGTCGAAGGTATGAGAGCCTTTCCGTTCTCATCCGGAAAAACGATCCAGGCATGATCAGATCATTGATCGGCCCACTAGGAGTCAACAAAGTCGACGCGAATCTTAAGGACCAGCTCGTATTCATCGAAGGCACCGCCGCGCCGAGCTCCATCGTCACCGCCATTCAAGCTACAGGTCGAGATGCCATTCTACGAGGCAGCGGGACATCCAATAGTACGTGTGAACTCAGGAAATCAGGTCTACTCGAGCCGCCGCCCAGGCTAACCCGCACGGTGATACGTCCGTAGGTTCCGCCGTGTGCATCCTCGAAACCCACTCGACCACGGTCTCCAATAAGATCCGCGGACTGGCGCGCATGGTGCAAGTGTCGCCGACCATGACTCTGGTGGATCTGACCATCAACGGACTGGCGCCGGGACAGTACTGGGCGACCGTGCGACAGGCGGGGGATATCTCGCAGGGCGCGACCTCGACCGGTGGGATCTGGGAAGCGCTGAAGTCGACGGTACTTGGGGCCGAGACGACGACGGCGACCAAGGAACCTCGCGGGATCTTTGGACGGGTGGATGTGGACGACAAGGGCCGCGGCAACGTGTTTCTGGACCGACCGGTGGCCATCTGGGAGATGATTGGACGCAGTATGGTGGTGTCGAAGACGAAGGAGGGACCGTTCCGCATGGACGACGCGGATACGCTGGTGGGAGTGATCGCTCGCAGCGCGGGCGTGTGGGATAACGACAAGATGGTGTGCTCCTGCTCGGGAAAGAATGTGTGGCAGGAGCGCCAGGAACAGGTAGCCCAGGGCATGGCGTAAGGGGCCTCTCTCTTGATCTTACTCGATCCTCCTTTTCCATGAGAATGAATGAACGAATGAACGGATGAATGTACATAAGTTGATACCTATCCCACGAGGAATGGAAGACCCGCGAGTGGATCCAGGAACTTCACCTGACCAGAGAAGACGCACTCCGTATGCATGCGCGAGATAAAAATACTCAGGCCACGATGATTATTGGGTCAAGGCCCGCAGGATTTGCAGACGACGAACGAGTCCCGAGGGAGCTTTGGCGTCGAGCGATGCTGCAAGCGCCGTGGCGGGGACGGCGAAGTTTAATGAGTATACGGGTCTGTATACTTCGGAGGTCTGGATATTTTCTAGGGCACCGTTAACAATGGACAGTCAATTAGTATTCTGGGCTATATCCATGAAATCGCACATATTGTTTGCCTCTCCTGAATACCAGAATGTATAGATTCGGTGAATACTCTGGTAAATACTAAGTCAATCCAGAAAGGACGGCCTGAGGTTGGGCGATGTGACGTCTCCTGCAGGCGCCAATCACTCGCCCACTTCCCCTCTTCGCCGATTTATTTTTATCTTCTTCTGCTGCTGCTGCTGCTGCTGCTTCTCTTTCTCTTCCTCTCTGCTGCTGCATTCTCTGCACGCTAACTGTCTTGGTAGCGTCGCTCTTCCCTGTCTCCCCTGTCGCTTTACTTTTTTTTTTCCATCGCTATTTCTGTCTTCTCTGCTGGTCTTCCACAGTATATACCTACACACTCGGTATCCTATCGACATCCCACTTACACTTACATAGCATTGTTCCAGTCTCTACACCATCCTTCATTTCAGCCCTCATACTCCGCCAAGTTCCTTCCAGCATCCAAGAATCCACTCAATTGACCGCATCAACCCGCACGGTGGGATGTTGATCGGACCACGCCATTATCGGTCTACTATCTGCTTGTCATAACCACTAGCGTCCCATGCCTGGAGAATTGACCCCCGCGGTGATCTAATTATATCCCCAATCTATCTTGATTCTCTCCGCCCAACTTCCTCATCCACCGGCTGGCCATTGTCCTTGGTCCGTCACAAAGTGGCACTTCCTCCGTTCCCCTCTTCGGCGATTGCCAATCCTTCCCTCGGGGATTGATTATCACGGTTTCTGCTCAATCTGACAATCCTGTCGTGTCCGGCCCCCCCTTTTTTTGTGCTTTGGCTCCCCCTCCCTCGGCAGCTTAGGGCCTGGTTCCTTGGCCTGGTCTAATTAATATCCCTGCTCTCTACGTGGTCGGAAACTAAACGGTCCTTTTCTTGGCTGTCGGAGCAAATATATTTATTGACTCGCGCTGGCATCTCGTGTGGTCGGGCTTCTCCCTCGTCCAGCGGAGCGGTGGCTGTGCCTCTCGGGTGTCCCTGCATAGCATTGTCAGAAACCACTCCGTCGGGCTGACGACTGTCAGAATAATCCCTCCCTGAGCTCCTCCTACTGCACGGGTGGAGCGGAGACGCAAATTCTTTGACAACAATGTCTCTGAAACAGGTATAGCAAGAGATGGGCCTCGTCCCAAGAAAATGGTTCTTTGTTAACGAGTGTGGCAGGAAATCGAAACCTGGGTGCTGGCCCTCGAACATTATGACAGCCAGGAGTTTGACGAAGCGCTGCGTGTCTTTACGGCCATTGCCGATACGTCCAAGATCTGTTTCAACTGCGGTGTGATCTATGCCACCCTGGGTGAGCATGAAAAGGCGGTAGGTACGCTGGTGTCGGACATGTACCACCCAGATGCTGACCAAACGTAGGTCGAGTGTTACCAGCGTGCCGTCAGTCTAGACCAGTATCTTGCCATCGCCTACTTTCAAGAGGGGGTGTCCAACTTTTTGCTGGGCGACTTCGAAGAAGCGCTGGCCAATTTTAACGACACCTTGCTCTACCTGCGTGGCAACACCTCCATCGATTATGAGCAGCTGGGCCTGAGGTTTCGCCTGTTCTCCTGTGAGGTCCTCTTCAACCGCGGTCTGTGTTACATATACCTGCGGCAGATGGCCCCGGGTATGCAGGATCTCGAGTACGCAGCCAAGGAGAAAGTTACGCCGGATCATGGAGTCATCGACGATGCCATTCGAGAACGAGCCGAGGTATGTCAAATCATCCAGTCAGGCAGCCCCCAACTGATTGAGCTTTTTTGGTTAGGGTTACACGGTTTTCTCAATCCCGGTTGGGGTTGTCTATCGGCCTAACGAGGCGAAAGTCAAGAATCTCAAGACCAAAGATTACCTGGGTAAAGCAAGGCTGATTGCTGCTTCGGACCGCAGTAGTACACCCACCGGTCATAAACGAACCCAGTCAGCGTTGGATAACCGGGTAGGTGAGGTTCCCCCGCACATTGCGGCCCAGCTGGCACAGAAGCCGGCGGCGGGTCGGAGTCGTCAGCATTCCGAGCCGCCGCTCAATCGCAACCTATTTCCCCCTACGCCTCCGCCAGACCCAGACAAGGCGAGTACTGGTAGTTCCGGCGCCAGTCTCAGTCGACCAGGGTCTGTTCGCGCAGCACGACCGCCGCGGCTTGACCTCGATCGGCCGGGGGCCCATATAACCGGTCGAAATGGTATGGACCCCGCGCCGACGGAAAAGCCTCGGATTGGGACCACTCGGACGGCCTCTGAACCGCGAGGCCCCTCCTCTCGTCCCTACTCGCGCGGGTTCCCCAGCGGACCCGAGCCGACGCGGGGCCGACAAATCAGCCACCGCCGGGGAGGGAGCGATACTACCAATTTTCCGGTAGGAGCACCTCAAACGCACGCGGACGACGGGCACGGCTCGTATCCTCGGGCGCCGGCCAATGGGGGGCGGCGCGGGGTCCCTCGGCGGCAAGAGCGGTTCATTGACGAGGAAGAGGAATATGCTAGCGAGGCTTACGAGGAGGACGGAGCGGCAGATGATGGTTTCGAGCTGGTTGGCACGCGGTCACGGCCACGGTCCCCGGCTCGGAACTCGAGGCGTGCCGCCTCACGCCGGCCAGAGGTGCGCAAATTCCGAGCCAAGGTGCACGCGCATGAAGATACCCGGTACATCATGATTGGACCAGTGGTGGAATATAGCGAGTTTGAGAAAAAGATTCGCGAGAAGTTCGGGTTCAATTCTCTTCTAAAGATCAAGATGCAGGACGAAGGAGACATGATCACCATGGTGGATCAGGAGGACTTGGATCTGCTGGTGAGTTCTGCGCGGGAGACCGCTCGACGAGAGGGGAGTGAGATGGGGAAAATGGAGGTACGTCGTTATGCACTTGCCGTGAAATAGAATGCAAAACTAACTCTTGGGCCATAGATCTGGGTAGAAGAGCGCACGATGATTTGATGCCGGGATCTGGAATGGCGTCTTGGCGGCGTTGCATTGTTATATGGTGTTTTGCTACATGTTTATACCCTTCGACGAGTGATGAATGCTGTACATAAACCTGAATTTCCTTGATAAGATGACAGTTCCACAGGCCAAATGCTAGAAGTCATACCTGGTTGTAGATAAGATTAGATAGATACATAGGGCTTGCGGATCACGGGACCGGCATTGTTGACAGCGTCATCCCGTTGGCATCTTCAACGTAGCTTCTACCCTTCCCATCCATCCGCTTTCCCCACCACCACAACCATGACCGATCTCACCGTTGAGTTCTCCCGTCTCTGCGAGGCGAAAGGCAGCCCTCCAATTCCACCCAACCGGTACCTCGCCGTCGACCGAGCCGATGAATTCCTCAAGGAAGCACACCGCATCGTAAGCCTCTCCCTCTCTAACAAGATGAAGACAATCCACATACTAATCCCCATGCCTCTAACAACAGAACTCCCACATCTCCTCCCTCCTCAAATACCTCCACTCCATTCGCCCGTCGTACCTCTCCATCACCGCGGCGCCCCGTCACACCACCAGTGCCAGTATTAGTACCTCGACGCCGACTCGCCAACCCACCGACCCGAAATCCAAACCCCTCTCCGACTCCGACCGCGACAATGTCGACTCCTCAACCACCCTCCTCCTGCACGATCTCAGCTCCTCCATCTCGACGCTCTCTTCCGCTGAAACCCTCCGCCAGGATACCCAAGCTGGTGTGCTCCGCAAGAAATACGGCCACGGCGGCGCCGCTGCCCGCTTACTTTGGAAATGGGCCGGTGGGGACGCCTTGTCTAGTTCGACAGGGGTAGATGGAGATGGAGAAGGAGAAAGTGAAGAGGGGAAAACAGACGAGCAGATCCGCGACGAGGCGCTCGAAAAAACGACCAAGGCGGTGCGCGAGAACGTGCTGTGGTTCTTGAGACGGGGGCTTGAGGATGCCGTGAAGGTGCAGCGGGAGATGGTGGAACGGCGGATTGAGCGCGTGCGCGAGAAGGAGAAGAGTGTGTTGTATAAGGCTGCGTCTGGTGGTGGTGGTCGACCGAGGGGGGTTTCGTCTGCGGGTCAGAGTTCGAATTCGACTCGGAACCAGAATCAGGGATTCGTGGATTCAGGCGATGCCTATCTCTATGATAAACCCCGTTCGACGATGGATGATGCCGAGGTTAAGGCTATCGAGGCGGAGTTGTCGCCGGAGCAGCTACAGCTGTTTGCGGAGGAGAATGACTCCATGGTGAAGTATTATGAGGATACATTGAGTAAAGTACAGTACGTTTTCCTTCCTTCCTTCCTTCCCTCCCTTCGTTCCCCTCCCACATTATTTCACTTGCAGAGAGACAACCCCAAAAGAAAGAAAGAAACAGAACTAACGTATATATTATTATAGAAACGCCGAAAAATCCCTCCTCGAGATCTCCTCCCTCCAACAAACCCTCGTCTCGCACCTCTCCACCCAAGAAGACTTCATCAGCCAACTCGCCACCGACGTGACCACCACGCAGACGAACATCGGGCAGGGCAACAAGGAGCTGAAGCGCGCGACGGAGCAGCGCAGTATCGCGCAGGCGGTGTTCTGGGGAACCGTGGGGTTGTGTACGTGGTTGGTTGTTTGGGATTTGGTGTTTTGATCCCTGGACATCATACTCATAGCCATGGATATCTAAAGGGGGGTGGTTTGTTTGACTACCTGTTGCATTATACGTGCCTGCCTGGTACCTGTCATCTATTGTCTACTATCAACTTACCTATGTATCTAGTACCTAGTCTATCCTACCTGATAGTCCGTTTGCTTTGTCTAATGTGTTAGTGGAGATGTGGTACGTCTATATCATATTATCTATACCCTATTTTATTTTATTTTATTTTTTGTCTTCTATATTTGGATGGGCTTCATTATTGATTCCAGTAGATTCCTCTAGCTTCGTGGAATCAGATGAATTCATGAAACACGAGCAGAACGTCTCGACCTGTAGTAATACACGTCTAGTTCTATAGACATCTACAATCCATTCAAACTTGAATAGTAAACATATCTATTGATTTTCACTCATGTGAACTATGATCATAAGTCGCTGCTAGACGGAGAGATATCAAATGAAACAGTCCCGAAAGAGGGCAAGAGGGGGGAAGACAAGAGGGAACGGAAGAGAGGGAGAGAGAGAGAGAGGGGGGGAGGGAGAGAGAAGATAAATATAAGACAGAGAAAGAAGGAAAAAGGAGACCAGGCTACGACGACTCACGCACAACGCTATCTACTGCCTCGGCAAAGTAATCTAGGTTGTGCGTGTTGAGGCCGGCCATGGAGATACGACCGTTCTTCGTCTGGAGGATTGTTAGTAAGGTCATGTTTTTATCGTTTGGAGGGCGAGGGAGGGGGGACTTGTATGAAGAGGAGAGGAAAAACATACCATGTATACATGCCACTTCTCACGCAACAGCTTCACCTGCGACTCGGACAACCCCGTGAAACTGAACATGCCGATCTGATCCGTGATATGGGCCCACGTGCCCGGGGTGCCCTTGCTCTCTAGTCGCTGACGCAGACCCGACCGCATCTCGGCTATGCGACCGCTCATCGTGCGCAGATCGGCCTCCCACTCAGCGAACAGGGCCGGGTCGTTCAGCACGCGGCTGGCGATACGGGCACCGTAGGCCGGGGGGTTGGAGATCTCGGACCGCTGCAGGATGGCCAGCTGGCTGGCGACGTTGGCATTGGCCTGCTCAGCCTCCGCGCCGGGGGCCGACACGAAGTGGAAGGCGCCGGTGCGCTGGCCGTAGAGACCGAAGTTCTTGGCGAAGGACTGCGCGATCACCAGCTCGAAGCCCTGCTCGATGAAGTAGCGCACGGCCCAGGCGTCGCGGTTCAGGTCGCCCGAGGCGAAGCCCTGGTAGGCGCAGTCGAAGAAGGGGAACAGGTTCCCTTGGCGCATGATCGTGGCCACCTCCTTCCACTGGTCCTGGGTGAGGTCGACGCCGGTGGGGTTGTGGGCGCAGGCGTGTAGCAGGATGACGGAGCCCGAGGGCGCGGAGCGCAGAGCACTGGTCATGCCGGCGAAATCCAGGCCCTTGGTCTTCTTGTCGAAGTAGGGGTAGTCGGCGAGGGTGAGGCCGACATTGGTAAAGATCTGATGGTGATTGGCCCAGGTGGGCGAGGAGAGGTAAATCCGGGGTTTAGGGTTTGCGGGGTGGAATTTTTGGAGGAAGAGGGCGCCGAGATGCACGGCACCGGTGCCGGAGATGGTTTGGAGGGTGGAAACCTAGGGAGAATCAAATGAGCGACGCTGTTTTGAGGGGTCTGGCCGTTGGGACAGGGATGCTTACCCGGTTTTCGCGGATTGCCGGACTGTCGGGTCCAATGATGACTTTCTGGGCGGCGGAGGTGAATCCGGGCAGACCCTTGATTGAAAGGTACTCGTTGTCGTAGCCCTCGGTGCGAATCAACTCATCGGCCTGGCATCAAATAAACAATGATTAGAGAATGAACCTCGGCATGCACATGACGACTCGGAGAATTTCTCTACCTTCTTGACGACGGGCAGAATCCAAGGCTTGGCGTGGTCATCGCGATAGGCGCCGATGACCAGATCCACCTTCTTATCGTCGGGATCCTGGCGAAACGCTTGCGCCAGCCCAAAGAGCGGATCCTCGGGGGCGGCGGACACGACGGAGGTGGAAAAAACGGAGGGGCTGCTCGAACCCATGATGTGCGAAGAGAGCGAGGCGAGACGGTTACGGGCGGAGGTAGCGAAGGAGGAGGATGAAGGAGAAGAAGAGGAAGAGGAAGCAGGAGGCGACATGACAAAAGAAGTAAAATAACTGGGGACGGCGATGGAATTTATTAATAAAAAAGGAATTGGCAGAGGAGGGGAAGGGCAGGTGTCACACCACCGGAGAATCAGTCCAGGCGGTTGCTGCTTGCGTTCACCGGGAATATTCACGAATAACCAAAGAGTCCAAGACTGACGATTCCCTCGTCCGTTTCGAAAGAGAAGAATTGTGACCCAAGCAAAATCGAGAAGAAATAATCCCGCAAAAAATTGGAGGCAAATTCCCGCAACAGGAGGGGAAAAGTTACCTAATTGATTGCCTCGAGGGCGATGAGGGGGAATCAAGTGGGAGTTGGAGAACAGAGTATGGACTGAACAATCACTAATTCGTTCTGGATTCCCCCGGATTGCGAGTTGTGATTAAATATACTCATATACAGACTCAGAGTAATCAATGATCGGGACAGTCTCGAGCCGAGGAAGTTCAAAGACCTCAAAATCCCGATTCACATGATGCCGCGCAGCATCACGTTCTCCTCGCCTTCTTGGGGTTAAAAGTTCCCCTGTGCGGAGACTCTTTTCTCAGACTCTTTCACTTCCATTTTCCCCGAGAGCCTTGAATGGGCTGATACTAACCCAAAGGACCCAAATGCGGAGACCATGACATGATCCCCTTCCTCCCCATTACCTCATCGGGTCTCGCATGGAATATTCCATCTGTACGGAGTAGTGATTCAAAATAAGACCTTATCTCTCTAAACACCGCCAAATAACCCAAAGAAACAAATTAATTCCCGCTGGTAAGCGTTCGCTTACTCTCAGTACCACCAACCACCACAAACGCAAATCCAATCAATTACTTCCGTTATTTAATCAAACAAATAAGTTAAGAACAGTAAACAAATGACTCCCGATGGGAATTTATCCGCCACCCCCCCGGACTTATTCCGAACCCTGTCTTTTTCTTCGAACGCTTTTCCCTTTCCCCTATGCGTGATTTATTTTGTTTATCTTGTTGATTTATCCGGCTTGTCAACTCCGTACCTGGCCTGGACTTTCCTTCCCACGCCGGGCCGGGCTGGATGTTCATTGATTCCCTTTCGTTTCCAGCCCCGTTTATGATTTTGTATGTCTGCATGTCTGCATAAATGTATCTGCATATCTGTATTCTGGCAGGTCGTGGATGGAAAAGACATTCCATTCCGGTGGGCGTTTTCCCTCTTTCCTTCCGCCTTTATCATCCTTTTCTTCCCCTCGAGAACAGATAAATCTATCAATAATATGCGTAGAATGACAGTCAATATTCTTCTCATGACTATGATGCCTATGTACACACATGATTTAAACAGGGATTAATACATTCATGTTTAATTTCCCTCGACTCTCCCCGCCTTCCCGGGATCTGTTCTGTTCTGTTTGTTCTTCCTCGAGGTCCCCCCAATCCTTACCCCACGGGGGTGTCCACTTCGGGAAAGTCATGCGAGGGGCTCGCCGGATTCCGGAACCCGCCTTCGTCCCGGGAGAGGGCTGCACTTGCCGTTTCGGGGCTTGCTTCCCCGGGGAGTTTACGGGGTATTGCTCACCAAATCGCTAGGTACATACGGAGTAGACATTTACCTACTGGGTAGTGTGATTTCAGATGCATCTGTAGCTGTATGTCGCGATATATACCTAGAATGTAGCAAATAGGAGAGATGTACATATGTGCTCCCGACACCGTCCAAACCAACCAAGCAGTCTTTTAAACCCCCTTGTAAATCCTGTCAAACGCCGTGTATCCCGTCACTTCGTAAATTCATCGCATGAAAACAAAAAAGAAAAGAAAAATATGTGAGCCCAAAATCCACAAAGATAATAAGAATAAAAGCAAGGATGAGAAAGAGAAAAAATGTCCAACCCAGTCAAGGGCGCGAGCCAGGCTGTCTACAGCTTTCAGGCCCTTCCATGCAATATATGCTCAATGGTGAAGTATGCACTGATGTCACACAGAAATCGGAAATGTTCAAGTATCGACAATCGAAGTGTACAGACGTATCATATGCTACCGCGCGCTCGGAACGCACGCTCACCCTCGGGATGCCTCGCCGCCGTCTTCCCCGTGCGCGCGGGTTCGAATGCGGAATTTCTCCTTGAGTCGCGCTGTGAGCCGGCTGCGTCGCCGCACTTGCTCGTCATTGTCGGCATTCTGCGCGTTCTGGTTGGCTTCTTCTCGAACGCTGCGAAGGGCAGCCAGTCGCTCCTCCACGCTCGCATCGCGCATCCGGCGCGCATTCAGTGATCCGTGGAGGTAGTTGCTGAGGCGGTGATGCCCACGCTGATGCGAGCCGTCGGCGGTCGACTCGTTGGTTCCTTGCGCTGGAGTTTCCGTTGACTCGTCACCTTCGCCCGCCTCGTGCTCACCCTCGGCCTGCGTGGGATGAAGGTCGATTCGACTAGTACATTGTTAGTCCACGTACAAAAAGGAGAACGAAGCATACATACCAGAGAGGACAGGTTCCGGATACGTTCACCAGCCACGGGTCGATACACTCCGGATGGAACTGGTGGTTGCAAGGAAGCACGCGCAGGTCTTGGCCCTTGACGAAGTCATCGGTACAGATGGGACACGAGTAATTCGGTTGTTCGTCGCCTTCCGTTCCGGTCCGTTTCTCGGGCGTCGTGGCCTCAGGCGGAGAGTTCGGATCCTTGGGTTGCGCTTGAGCAACCTCCGTACCATCGGCTGCCGTTGTCGTGGCCTCCCGCGCCTCAGGGTTCTGTCTCACGCCGTCCTCAGATTCCAGGGACATCTCCACGTCACCCTTGGCGGCATCCACCTTGGGGTCGTGAGCGTCGCCAAACTTGACAATCGGAATTGTCTCTAACATCGCCCTTGCTATTCCTCGTGCTCGACTTTGCCGTGGTCGTCCAGCCGTATACCGCGGTCCGTAGCGTTCCGGATGTCGGTGTGCCCGGACAGCGCCGGTGATGATGATCGCCAGGAAGAGCGCCGTTATGATACCCGTGATGCTGTACAGGATGATCATGGCTGCCACATTTTGTCAGTTAAGGGGTCATGTATCCGCGAAGAAGCGACCTTACCCGTGTTCGGGTTGTCCGACGAGCCGCCCCCCGTATCCTGGGTCTGGGGGGTCCCCGACATCGTGAACGACATATCGGGTACTACGCCAACGGTTGCGTTGCCTTCGGATGTGTCGTTTCCTTTGGGCGAGCTCAGCTGGGTCTTGATCTGTTTGGCAAAGTCCGGATTCAGAAAGGTGAAGACGTAGGGATACTGGGCAGCATCGGCTTCGTTGGAACTATAGTTGCAATGGTGTAGTTCAGAGCTATACAGAAGAACTGCAGAGGCCTTTTCCTTGGATGAGACGACGTTAGAAACGGTCGAACTAGCATCCAAATTTCCCGGATAGTCGGACTTGTCGCAGCTGATGAAGGCGATATCGCTACTATTTAATTGCAGTGAATTGGCAGCGTTGACATTCACCAACTCTCCTTTCAGATGGAAATCCTATAGGGATGACGTTAGCAAGAGAGTTGGGCATCTTTCGGGCCTAGACCGAGCGTGTAAGATACGACGAACCGAGAGTTCCTTTCTATCCAAGCTAACCAGGGCTGGGGTCAAGGGGGCGAGGGTGATGTTGGGAGGTAACTGGATCCGGGCACTCTGCAAGTGAAATCGGACTGAACGTGTCCAGGACAAATCCCGGGAGTTGTTGGATGGCAAGACAGTCCAACCGGATGGGTCTACCGCGTCAACGGTCGTGGAGAGCGCGAGGAGGCAGAAAAGAGAGGAAAGGGAAAGGAGGAGAAAAGAGAGGGGAGAGGAGAGTTCTTGTCTGGGCCCCATCGGAAAGAAAAAGAGAAAGAAACGAGAGGGAAGGAAGAAAAAAAAAAAAATAGAAAGAGCCAAGCTGGGTTCCCCACGATGACGAGGCTTACGGAGATGGCGGAGGGTATGGGGGAGCCCGGAAGATCATTAGTCACAGATCTTCACCGGGGGAGGAAAGAAGAGGTATGCACACAAGATAGGGAAACAGGAAAATGACGATAAAAAAATTATGGGGACGCAGGTAAAACCACACGGTAAGGACCAAACCAGAGTCTCATGGGCTTCTGATATCACGGTGCAGGGCGATCACAGGCGGCTACAAAATCGATGCGATCGTCGACCGGAATTGATTGGAAGAGTTGGGTGGAAAGTGGATTGGCAGTAACCGGGGATCAGGATTTGGAGGGGATTCAAAGTCAAGAGAAAGACCGACAACGGGGCAAATTTCCTCCAAGACTGGCCGCTGCAGTCACAGACAGGACAGACAGGCCGGTGGAGTGGGCTATGTCAGAGCCAAATGATGGGCAGGGCGATGGAGACTACCAACCACCGAGGTACACACGCTGTGGTGGAGAGGGAAGTTTCCAGGGTTTCCACAGTGCAGGACCCAAATGTCTTTGTCGATTGTCACGCAGGATTAGACGATGGCAGTGGCAGTCGTATAGGATAGAAAGTGTGGATGCCAATGCTTATTGCTTATGCTTCGGATGCTGCTGGTGCCGCTACTGCTGCGGCGACGGGGTGACGACGACCGAAACTCCCGGGCTATCCGGGAGAATTGGACGGAGAGAAGAACGAGGAGACAAAGGAGAAGAGAGAAGAGAGAGAGAACGAGCAGGCGAAGCGAATACGAGTTACGGGTACGGAAGGAACATGTCAGAGGGGCGAACAAGACCAGGGGAGGAGGGGAGGAGAGAGAGATGGAGATGAAGAGAATAAGGATTGTTATGATGATGAATTGGGTATTGACAATTTTTATCCGTCATCCTACTTCCACTGAGTCTACTGTGTACTACGGATGTCCTCCGTACTCTCAGAGGGATTACAATTACCTCGTACCGTCACGGGAGGCCGACGATCCGCGACGGATTGGGGCGTTTTTGCCAGGCGGCCGCAACCGATCGACAGGGATAAGATAGGATTAAAGGATATCCAATTCAATTGATCATCATTGACGATAGCTAATTGTTCATGTCCATTCGAA